CTTGTGATAGGTAATAATTATTTATAAAAGTAATTTTTTTTTACTCCTTGTGACGATTTTTTTACAAATTGCAAGTAACTTTGAAACGAATGATCGATGAGACGATCAATATTTTAGTTGTGCTTTTAAAAAGTTGCTATTTCAACCTTTAATGACTGCATCGCATTTCGACTCGAGTCACTAGTCAGAAGCCGTTTTGGGCGTTTCAGTCTGACTTTTTTTTATAAGCAGAGACCTTTTCTGTTAGTATCTTTATGCGCGCTACAACTGCAAAAACCATCCCTGTTCGATCCCCTTATCAGGAATTTAAGGAGGTGAAATTATTCAGAAAAAAGGACCTTACTAAATTATCTTATGAGTATAAAATGAGCCAAAAAACATATGAAAGAAAAGTAAGTTTAAAAACACAGAGCTATGCGACACATAAGAGCAATAAATCATGTGATTGTGAAAATTGTCACAAATCCTTTGAATGTGAGATATGTCACAAATCATTTGGACGTAAAGAACACCTCAAAACTCATATAAATGGAATACATAATAGAACCCAACCATTCGAATGTGATATTTGTCACAAATCATTTGGCCGAAATGGCGACCTTCAATGTCACATCAAGACAGTACATTTTCGAAGCAAACCATTTGAGTGTAATATTTGTCACAGAGAAATTTTTAGCAAATCATTTGGACTAAAAAAGGATCTCAACAGACACATAAATGCAGTACATGATCGAAGCAAGCCCTTCGAGTGTGAGATTTGTCGCAAAACATTTGGATACCAGAATGTACTCAAAAATCACATAAACGCAGTACATAATCGTAGCAAACCCTTCGAGTGTGATATTTGTCACAAATCATTTGGACAAAAGGGTCACCTTAAAACTAACGTAAATGTAGTACACTATCGTATGAAACACTTCGAGTGTGATATATGTCACAAATCATTTGGATACCAGCATATACTCAAAAGGCATATAGTGGATGTACATAAATGTTGCAAACCCTGAGTGCATGAACTTTGTTCAAAGAAATTTAGACGCAATGAAAACGTTCCGCTAAATGGGTATGCTAAAAAATTTTACACTATCTTTCACAAAAACAATAAAGCATTTGAACTGTTATTCATTTTGGCATACCTTTCTTGTGTAAACTATGTTAGAGCAAAGAGATAGATGTCTCTTTGTATACCATTTTCTCTGCTCCGTTCTGCCGCCGGTGGCTCTCACCTGTATACGTGTGTATGTGTGTGTGCCGAATGTGCGTGCGCCTCATGCGAGCGAGCAGATACCGCTGAGACTCAATAGAGAACACCTCGCCGATCATTGTTAATTTACATTGTATTATTTCTTTCCTTTAATAAATATATCTTCACTGTTTCAACTAATTGCTTATCAAACTAAAATATGAAAACGTTTTCGTCGTCAATCCGATAACCACCACCACTAATTTTCGTACACGCTGAAGGTTCAACAACTACAATCGTCGATAAAGAAAGCTATGAAACTAAACAAATTTATGTTAATTTTGAGACATCAAACCGATGACTAACTAAATTTGTATAACATTATCATTAACAACAATATTATATTTTTTTCATGTAAAAAAATCTTTTTCGTATGTTTTTCTTGTATAAAGAATATTGATCTAAATGAAAATAAATTAGATAAATTAAATAAATTAAATAAGTAAATGTTACTATTGTCCATTCGAAGTCGAGTGAAAAGATACTCGGCCAATCAGAAGTAATTTCAAAACGCTTCAATGCTGGGTCGATACTTATACGAAAAAAGTTCAAGCAGAAATCTTACTATAAAAATTGTTGGTAAGCGGTTTTGGTGGTCAGTGCTCTTTTGAAGAAAAGAATACACCTTTGTTCCGATAATTGTTAACTCAGTTCATAGAGAAACTTTACTATTGGTAATTATTTGCAAAGAGTTTAATTGAAAGTTAGAAAGATGTAAAATAATAAGTGAGTTGAAGAAAAGCCCTCATATCGTACTTGCACTTGAGCGCGAGATCGACGCAGTTTATAGCTGGAGCAATGTTCGTGGCCTCGGCGATCGCTTATATACGCGGGAAGGAAGAGAAAGAGCAAAACGAGCCCGCTGACCAATGGCAGCTATTATAAAGAATTTGCAAGTAGCCCCCTGCGCGCGAGCACATAGCTCGGCGATATTTTGGTATCGGTTGCGCGCGTACGCAGGAGAAAAGAGTCAAAGGCACAAAGAGAGAAGGCGAGGCGTTTCAGATGGTCGTATATAATATCGCGCACTTGTTTTTGCGAACGTGTGTGCGTGTGTGTGTGTGTGTGTGCGTACGTGTACGCGTGCGTGGGTGTTCGGCTGTACATGCTCCAGCAGCCGATTCAAAATATACGTATGCACGTCACGGATGAGGGGAAAAAAGTTGCGTATAGTAGTACAGGCCAGAGGGAGAGACGGGAGTAGCGATGCTGCAGCGCTCGGTACCGTTTCTATGGTACCGTTGCCGGATTAGCGCCCTACTACCTTGGCCAGGCTGCTGCGTTCGGCTCAGCTCTCTTCTCTCAATTTTCTAATGTTCGCGGGGCCGCTGCTCTACGTAGAGGGTAGAAACGTGCCAAACTTCAAGGCTGCTGCTGCTGCTGTGGGCTAGGCGCGCGCGCCTTGTTACCGCAACCATTTCCTCCTATATCCCTTTTATTGCTGCAGCTCGTGTTCAAAAGAAGGAGAAAAAATTGCTCGGCTCTACTGCTATACGAGCGTGAGCGAGGAATTCAATAATCTATGGTTTCAGCTCTCCGAAACTAATACTCAAGGACTCGACGAGAGACAAATTGCGCGGATGCAAGTTAAATACAAATGTGAAATATCTCGGCGTCGTTTTTCATGCGCAGCCGCCGTTTTTGCTGCCGTCGTTTTATTTCCGAGAGCGTACTAACTTGCACATTACTCGGATTTCTCGAGTTCATTTATGTACGATCTTTGATCATTACTCTGTTGAAAACAGAATTATTTTTTAGATTCTCGAAAGAGATCGGTATGATCATAATTTTCAACCATTTATTTTTTATTCGTAAAAAAGCTGTTTGGCACGCTACGATCTTAAATACTATACTGTTTAACATGCCACTTATGCTAACGATAATGTATCTTTATCAAACAATACACTTTTTGAGTACAGATTATTGTGCAATGGTTCAGCGATAGTCAAGATTTAAATTGTTTTTTGTTTGCAATATAATCAGAAATTTCATGGAATCTTACGATACCGATCGATGATTTAATCATTTTACAAGTTTAACACTAATATAATAGCAACAACGAGCACGGACACAATGCAGACCCATACATTCTCCTTTAATTTAAATGTCAAAGCCTCGATCTTTTCCGTTACAGAAAAAATTTAATCATATTCATTTTGTGACAAACATCACTAGCAGCAAAGAGCGAATATGCCGACAAAGCGTCAGTGTGTTTTTGAGGTCTCGTAAGCCAAGTTTATCTTGTAAGCAAACCAAAGAACAAATCAAGCTCTAACACAATTGAACAATCAACAAATATATAAATTGCCCTAAAGTCCGATCAGCTGACACATTCGAAATCGAGCCAGATACCCGTTCACAACAATCTTCTTATTGACAATTGAAGAGGCTCCCTAATATGCGTATATAAACGTTACTCTCTTCGAGCGCTCGACTCGGCAAAATATTAGTAACACAATAGACCATTAAGCGGGCAACAACTAAAATTTTTCGTTTTTTCGTCTAATCTCATAGTTTTCCAAACGTTAGTGCTGGTTTTCGATTATTAATTTTAATTCGAATTAACATTTAATGTGATTTTAGCATTTCAAACTACGTGTTCCTTGCCAATCAAATCGTAACATATACTATTTTTATTGGCAAAACATTGACTACCGACGACTGCTTCAAATGAAAAATCAGTCAAAAACCAGTACTGACTACATACGCAAGTTAACAAGTCCTGTCGTGCGCAATTATAACAAATTATCATGCTTCGTGGAGCTGAATCTGAACTACTTTTTCTTGCCCATCTACGAGAACTACTTCGGTTTCGATTTTTTCAAGTTCGTGACGTCGTCGAAGGTGTACGTAAACACAGACTTAAATTTGCGCGTGATCCAGAACAAAAATGCCAAGTTTAAGTTCAAATCGGACCCCCCGAAAGACGAGAAATCCAAGGTGAGTTGGAGCAAGCACAATATTCTATCGATACGCATGCATGGTACCATCGAGCTTCGTATATAGGCGCGTTCAAGCTCGCGGAGAACTTGTCCGTGCGAGCATGTCTTAACGCTGCGCCGCCGCGGCATTGCATGTCTGATAATTGACTGCGTCCGACCTTTCTCACGTGTAAACGCACTTGGATATATTTTCGAGCGCATATTTCACCTCGACCTCCTTAGTGCAAATGATTTTTATCAGTTACGTTATACATAAACAAATTCTCTCGGTGCGTCGAAGAAAACTTCCACGAACTTGCACAGTGCGTAAGAATGTATCTTTTACGCGAGAAACTAATAACGAGGATTTCGGATTCGATGATAATTTTCAGCGAAAAAGTTTATTTTTAATTTTTTTTCGCGACCCTACTTGGATATTTTTGACTTTTTCACGGCAAGTCCTGGTATTGTTCGATACACGTTGATAAAGCTCGCCGCTTTGCCGATAATATGGATACTGTCTGTCTTCTGGTACCCAAAATATTTTAGGTGGCACTGCTGCGCTTAGTTAGAAACATTTAAATTAATTGTTCTTAATTGAAACTTTGCCCTATTTTTTCATGAACTAGAATGTGTCCTAGTCTTTTCAAGTGGTTTCAAAACATTCATTTTCAATTAAATCAAAAGAAGAAAACTTAAACGAAAAAATTTAATAATAATACATATCAATTAAAAAATTATGAAAGAGTCAGGTATGAACTCTATACAGCAATAATTGAATATTTTGAATGGAGTTGAAATTAATAGACGATCAAAGTGTCGATTCAATAACTTACCATCTGATGCTTCTTCTTATAATGTGTGTGGCGGCTTTCTGCGATTTCTGGCTATCGGAAGAAGCACTGGTCCCACTGCTGTGCCTTCTCTTGGTAATTTCGCAAGGCTCATCCTCGTCTCTCTCGTCGATCTGAAGCCGAGCCTCGGATTCGTCGTCATGATCGAGGGCAATGGCCTTGTTATCGTCCTCGATGCCGCTGCCGTCTTTGTTCTCGCCGAGGACGACGGCTTCTTTGCTCGTCGCAGCCTTTTCGACCCAACGCGCGACTCGCTCGGGCAGGAGCGGCTGAGTCTCGGCAGCCGCCGTCGGCAAGGTAGATTTCTCCGCGCTCGGCGCAAGCTCCTTCTTCTCTTCCTGCGGCGATGCAGCACAAGCTCCTGTTTTGTTGACCTTGTCAACGACGGGCTGCTGCTGCTGCTGCTTCTGCTCGACAGCAGCAGTAATTTGTTCGCTCGGCGAGTTCTTCTGGTCGGTCGTCGTGTCTCGCGTCGGCGTCGCGCGATCGGATCCCGCGACCGGCTCGATCTTATCACTTTTATCTGCAGAAACATTCTTGCACGACGAGTCATTGGACTCGAGAGCAATTTTTGTGGGACTCGACGCCGCCTCGGACTCGGTAATTCCATCGACGCGATCGGATTTATCTTCGAGTGCAGCACTCTTGTCGATCGTATCGACGGGACTCGTCGGCTTGCTGTTGACCTCCGCCGATCGTTGTCCGTCGTCCAATGCTTCGTCGTCTTCTTTGTCGTCGTTGCCATTGTCGTCCGATTTCTTTTGCTCGATTGCACTGGATGGATCATCGGCTGCTTCCGTGGCAGCCACGGGCGGAATCGGTTGATCGTCCTTGGATTCGACACCGGCATCGGTAGCAACGGCCTCGTGGCCCTGCTTCTCGTCGATGCCCGCCTCGCTCGGCGAACTCTGCTTCTCCGCCATAATATCCTAGAAATACCTCTGCGGTTATATCGCTTGGATGGTTGCGTTATTTTTCTGGAGACAACACCACCGACTCCTGCAGCCTCGACTCATGTCAGGCTGCGCGTGTAACACGCGGGCCAATATCGACGACGATTTCACGATTTTGCGAAAAAAGCAGCAGCAGTTACAACGAAATTCGTGTCGCGATCGCTAGTCGACCGGCTCTAGAGGCGCAACATGTCGCGCAGCTTTCGCGACTTTGGCTTCACGGTCTTGGGATCAAGCACATACGGCTCGATCTCAAGGTCGTAGTCGTCGTCGTCGTCGTTGCGGATTTACCCACCGCCGTGCGATTTGTTTTTGTCCTCAATTTTTCGAATATTCATTGGTCACCTGAGGCACTGAAACGTAAAGAAAAAAATACTATTAAATAACACGTAATTTTGGGAGTCGCGAAGAATTGCTTTTTGTTTCGGCTGTATTCGCTAATTTACAGTATCAGATTTCTTTAAAAAATTCGAGCAATTCGCGGTTAAGGATCGACTTCATTTTTATCAAGAATGTTATCTTGGCCTATTGTTGTAGTCGTTTTTCATGCAAATTAGGTATGTGGATAAGCGCGCACAGGTATTATTTTGTCAATAAATCTCAAAAGCTAGAGCTGCATTACATTCGTTGATCGACGTAAGGGCACGCGAAAAGAATTACATAGTGATACGAGAGAAAAAATAAATCTACTTTACCAACCAAAAGTGTAGATTGAAAAGTATCTATGTAGCGCGGCATGGTACATGTGCTGTTGTTTGCATTAGACTACATTAAATTATACATCAATACTTGAAATTATTTCGAAAGGTATTCTGTCAAGCTTGTTGAAGATTAAAATCTCTGCGAACTTGGAGTCGAATGTCGATAGAGCTCGTAAAAAAGCTGCGATTGTTATTTGCGACAAACTTGCTCTTATCGTATTGTGCACACGACCGAGAGACTTTCTACAATGCGAGTTAAAAACTATTCAAATTTTTTTTTTTCTGGAACGAAAAGTGATCGCGCTGGCGAGTTTTGTCATATGTAATATAACCGATTGCATTTACGCGCGCGTATTAATATATCGAGAAAGTTTCGGTTCTTAATGGCCTGCAAAGCACATCGGAGCTCGAGAAAGTCGCGCTCATGCGGAATCGGTCGGTCGGTTTTGCAAAAGATCGTTTTTTTTTCTTTTTTTGCACAAGCATATAAAAGTCTTGGGGCTACATGTTATATTATAAAATATACCAAGTGCGCGTTGCTTAGTGTGTCTTATTTATGTGTTTTCGCAAGCCGCAGTATAGAGTATACGAGTGCGAGCCGAACGCGGAGAGAGAGAGAGAGAGAGAATCGAAGAGAAGAAGGAGAAGACAAGGAGAGAGCGAGAAAGAGAGAGAGAGAGAGAGAGCGAGCGAAAGAGGCTAGTGACCTCTAGAAAAGTGCCGAGCAGCACACACACATACACATGCACGTAGCAAGTATATATTGACGACGACCACTACGTTGGCTGATTACACGCCACTTACAGAGGAAAAATAGAACTTGAAATGATCTGGGCATGTTGAACGTAAACAGTGTATGTACTCGTACTCGTATATGCGTATGTACGTGTACACACGATGATTTTCCCGACTATTAGCAGCTTATCAGGGGACAGAAAAAAAAACTCAACCGCGGTGCTAGTAGCTGAGCACATCGTGTATGTGTAACGCTACTGCGTGTGCTGCACACGAATTGAAAGTGAAAAACATTTCGAATACAATATCTTGACCGCGAGCTCGATGAAAATGTCATTAATGCAATCGAGCAGCAGGTTAAGACGAGAAAATAATTACGGCGAGCGATAGGTTCGAGTTTCAAAGCCATTGTCGACCCTTTTACTATCTCTTGTCATTTGGCTCTCTCTCTCTCTCTCTCTCTCGAGAAAGAGAGAGATTACGATGCATTACAGCCTTGGAGAGATAATAGCGCGAGTCGCGTTGTATAGCAGTGTAAAACAACAACCGGCTGCGGGTGCACGAAGGCGCGCATAGTATTTTTGGATCTTTGTCGCGTACAATAATTGTTCAGGCTGATGTACGGTGCGTACACTGCAGACGGCTTAGTACTGCCTTACTTATATCGTCGAGTCTCGGGCTTTGAGTCGACAAAAGGAAGAAGAAAAGAATTTTGCAGGGCAGAAATAGCTCCATATTATATACTTGCCTTGTCGACTGTCGCGCATTGGTAAAAGATACGCTCGTACGCGGAGAATTTGGCGAATTTTTTCTCAATGGGTCTCGTACGTATAGGCCTGCACACACGAGGCTAGCTCGAGCTGCGTATGGTGCACCGCACACGCACGAGGCGTAAGACAAGGTATACTACACGCACTGCAATTGGGCTGCTGCTGCTGCTGCGTACCTATGTACCGTGCAGCTGACTATGTACTGCTATGTGTAGCGCGATGCACGCGCCGGTCGTATTTATAACTGCACACCGATGCTGCTACAGCTCGTCGTCGTCGTCGTCGTCGTCGTCGTCGTCGTTGGAGCACAAAGACAATTGTCATCGCCGGCAACGAGTCGCACGAGCACGACGATAAGCTTATGAGGCTCTCTCTGACCTAGGTACAGCTCTCGCCTAGTGCGGTGCACTGCAGCAGGCGTTGCACCTCTCGTCGCGTGCACTGACACACTCGCGTCAACTAATCTTACCGACTAACTGTTCTCTGCAGAAGTCTACTCGGTGTGTGTATCATTTAGGGTCACTTGCGACTACAGCTCGTGTCGCTGCACACGAATAATTGTCACGTAGCACGACAAGAGTCAATGTCCTTTTTCGAGACGAGTTGTAATTCGCAAGAAGTAGATTGGCGAATCGAACCTGCGCCCCGACGAAAAATTTGGCCAAGCTGACAGAGAGAGAGAGAGAGAGAGCAAACTCTCACGAGAGTTCCGAGTCGGAGCTACAGCAGAGCTTGTGTAAGGTAGTACGATCAGCAGCAGCAGCGAGACCTCGAGGCATGCGACTGCTGCGGCACTGTGTGCACACTAGTGTGCTGCCGAGATGCGAATCGACGACGACGACAGCACTACTGCTGCTATACCACTATACTATATAAAACTTCAATATAATTTCGCGCAGACGGCGGCCGAACTTTGCAGCAGCAGCAGCAACAACGACTACTACTAGACACTATGTATGTGTAGTGGGTACAGTGCAGGCAGACGACGGCGACGATGACGATCCGCTGACGGCGTGAATCGTGACGCGCGCGTGGCTGACTACGTATAACACTAACTCTCGCATGTATTCAGCCGCGGGACACATCGAACTTTCGCGCTGAGCGCCTGCACGACCGCAGCAACGTGCACGAGTAGCAAGGCCGATTCGGCCTGATGCAAAAGCTTCGTATACACGCGTGCGTGCAGAAAGCTCGAATTTTCGCCAAAAAATAACGCCCCGTACACTCGCTCGATTCTGCGCTGGACTCGCGCGAGTACACTGCACTCGTTGTTTCGCGATGATCGCGTAGTTGTATGAACTCGCGATGATTGAGACGGGCCGCCGACACCAGCGGCATTTACAATAGTCCACTCAGCGATGCATTTCTGCGCAACAGCTCGTAGCACGATAAGATTTAAAATTAATCTGTTTCTATGCTTAAACTACACCGCATCTTGTGCACGATACACTTGTTCTTCGGTTCTATGAAGCTGATTTAAAAACGATGATAGCTGACAACGATTCACCTAATGTCGGAATAATAGTTTCCTTCTATTATCGTTTGTGTACCCAAGAATTATCTGCCTCTACATAATTCGTCATCATTATGTATGCACAACTAATTGATTAGTTAACAAAGTCGTTACAAGGCTGCGTCGAACGGACGACGTATACACGATTACGCGCGATTTTGAATTCCATCTCGGCACGCACGCAGTGGCTCGCGGTCAAACAGCGAGATTATTATAATTGGTATGCGCGGCACATTATCTAATCGAGATCGACGCACCCGATTACGATGACATCGAGTAGAAATTTTTCTGGAAAACGATGATTTATGAACATCGTCGTACAAGTACCTAAATCAGAATGGGATAATATTCGTGTAGGGGTTATGTGATCGGCGTGGCCGGTTGTTTCCCTCGGCGAGCGAACACGGAGTTTAAATTTCTACAGTCGCAGCGTCCGCGGAAGCGAACAGTTCGTCGACTCGTCAACAAAAAAAAGGGAGTCTCGTGTTCAGCCAACGAGTCACAGCTGCACAGCCGCAAAGAATTCTCGGCATAGATAAAAAAATTAAGGATCGCATATAATAGGAGCTGTACTGGAGGAGCACGCGCGCGCTCGCCGCACCAATCTTGAGGTCGTCGTGTGTGTGTGTGTGCAGATTGTCCAGACGCAGACAGAGAATTGCTATACACGCGCAGTGCTATTCCGCTGGTGCTTTTTACGGCTCGATTCGCACGTTGCTGCGCGAGAAAAAGGAGTCGCTCGCTCGACATCGGAGCGCGGCTTATACAACGGCAGCAGTAGAAATTTGTAATTCAACAACGCCGAGCTACGCTGGTCAATACGTGAGATAGGCAGCATATTATAATGAGCCGAGAGAGGCTCTCAGGACGAGCAGAGATAGCAGCTACCGCATCGTATATATAAGAATTGCGCTCATTCGCACGCAGCACGTTTCTCATTCGCAATTTGCGCAGTTTATATATAGGTATATTATATATGTATTATTGTAGCGCTGTGCTGCCGCTGTTGCGCCACTACCGGCGAGTCTGTGTTCAGATTTTATATATATAACAACACGCGCAGTGAAAGAAGAGAGAGAAAGAATATATACTAGTATTATAATATACACACGAGCCGCGAGTGATAGCGACTGGCTCCACTATATACATATGGCGCATGGTAGTATATAGTATACACATTAATACGGAGTTGTTATATGTATATAGGCGGCACACGACAACGCCGAGACTCGCGGCGGACGACGGTGACGCAGTCCGAAGGCATCTCTGCGCGCGTAAGCATCGGAGCAGAGAGCAGAGCTATACACACACACTATCCCCGTCCTGCGTGAATTCTCGCTACAGTATATAGCGGCAGCAACACAACAACGCTCCTCCTCACTGTCATTCGCACACCAACACATACTGCTGCCTGCCTGCGTATATTTCTGCACGGAGAAAAAGAGAGAATCATACATACGCACATATACACATCGCGCGCGCGCTCGCTCGCCCGCTCGTGTCGTGTACGCCCGAAGCTGTGCAGTATAATACTTGTTTTTGCCTTTTATCTCTTTGTGCATTTCGACCGAATCATCGCGTGCACAGGCCAAGAAGAGAGAGGCTAGATCGTACGATCTACATATAGTGTAATCATCGATCGTATATTATGTGTCAGTGGCTAGTATCGAGCAGCAGCGCGTGAGTCGTCGCGCGGTTATGGACTGCTTGGAACCTGTTGCACCGGCTTCGCGTTGCGTTCTGCGCCCGATACCACTGCCCATCGGACAATGAAAACGACGCAGCTCCGCGATAGCCGACCAACGATATAGACTTTTGCCGACCGACGGACCGAGGACAAAAAAGGAGCAGCGTGCAAACAAGCAGGGGGAGCCTCGCCGCACAGTCGTCGTCGTCGTCGTCGTCGTCGTCGTCGTCGTCGTCGTTGTTGTTGTTGACGGACGGACGGACGCACGGACGCAGAGCTGCAGGATCGAGCACGAGGATAGGAGCGGAGTCACGGAAAGAAGTGCCGAGCCGAGCGAGGATCGCGCCGCGCGCCATGACGTCCCTGGCAGCGGCTGCCCACTTGGCCTGAACAACGCAGTGAACGCGCTCGGCTGCAATTTTGCGCCACCCACACTCGAGGAGCGAGTCAGTGAGCGTAGAGCTTCGCGCTCGCCTCTGCCTGCTGCCCGCCTGTGCCTCGCGCTCGCATATATTTCTTCTTCTTCTTCGTCGTCGCCGCCGCTGCTGCTTTTTTTTTTGTTGTATATGTACATTTATACATATGGCTGTGTCGTGCCGCTGCCTCGCTAGAGTCCTAGTCACGGCGATGATCGCTAGTCACTAATCAGTCGTCGACAAACTTGTTGTGTATATCTATCCAGTGCTGTGCAGTTGTGCGCGTATATTTATTATTTTGCAATAAAATATATATACGCGCAGTCGTGTCTGTGTGCCATTTCGCGCTTACTGCCGCTGCATAATCCTTGCGATTCAATGCCCGGTGTCGTTGTCGTCACTGTAGCAGCGGTGCAGCAGCGCTTTTGCAGCAGCAGCAACTCCCCGAGTGCCAGTGCACAGTTGTAGTAGTGAATCAGCAGAGTCTCGATCATGGGACTGACGAGCAGCCGCAACGCCGAGGCCGAGTGCCTCGAGCAGCTGCAGCGCGACATCAAGAACAGCCAGCCGTACAACCTGCAGACGAGCTTCAACAGCGGCAGCAGCCCGGTGAGGGCCAGCCCCAGCCGGGCCTCGTCCCATCACCACACCAGAGCTGGCAGCGTGCGCGGACCCCCGCGACAGCCCATTCCCGATGCCCTCGAGCTCGAGCGACGCTTCACCAAAGTCCTGGTGAGTTGTTTTTGACGCATAGCATTGCGCTCTAGTCACAGCCTCGCGCGCTCTTTAAATTTTTTATTATATACTTTGCTCCTCGCTTCCTCTCTCTCTCTCTCTCTCTCTCTCTCTCTCTCTCTCTCTCTCCTATAGATATACACTACACAAATTAAGCTGCTTTTTTCATCTCTTTTCTGCTGCTCCTTTTTCTTTGAACTGTGCTCTCGCTACGCTTCTCCTTCGGCTTTATTTGCTTTCGCAATTTTGTGCCTGTCAATTCTTCCCGATGCACACAGGTATCGCTTACACGACCTCGAACACTCTTCAACTTGTCTCGAATTTCTCAATTATGCCCATTTGCTTCTTTTGCAAATTCTTTGCGGGTAACTCGCAAGGTTAGAAGCTCTCCTTTTTCTCGCTGCCATGCTGCTGTTTACTTTTTAACGCATCGGGCCTATTATACTTTTATAATTTCAAAATTGAATCATTTCTTTTTTCAACGTAATCTTTTATTGCGTTAATTCGAACATCAATCAGTGAAATTATTAACCTTCGAACAATTTTAATGATTATAATCTATGCTATTTTTGTAAAAATTTGTCCTGATCATCTTACGAGTCTTTTTTAATCTACTGTTTTGTAAACGTAATCGTGCAAATTTAAGAAAATCTCGTCATATTTATTTTATGAAAGTTACGTTATTTTTAAATGTGACGGATTTGTAGGCGTTCCGCGTTGCATCAATGATGCATAATTAATAATTCCTACTTTATTACGGAAAGATCACGCCAAACATATTTTGTTCTATCATCCGGTATTTGATTAAAAAAACAAGCATACTTTGGCGAATAGTGCCGCATTGTGCTCGACTATTGCGCCACGAACATTGAGAATTTAAATAGCAATTGAAGTGGTGAATCACGAATTGGTATTACTTTTTTAATACCTACACAAGACTTGATGTCATTCATAAGTTCGTCGGGCTTTGAATGATAAAACGTTTTTCATCGCGTTGAAATAATAATCATCGAATTCACGACTGCTTCAAGCTAACCTTGACAATTAAAGTCGAGGAATGACTGCAATTTAAAAATAGAAGAATTTACAGATAACACTTGCTCCAAATTTTTTGCGCAGGATGTTCATAATTAAAATTGGAATTAATAAATAATTACAGATCATTAAAAAGTATACTTTTTTATCGATTTTACATTTTATATTTTTGAAAAATATATTTTTATTACGATACAACCAACTCAGAGACGAATCTCGTCATCTCTAAAATAGTTATAAATCACGATTAGACGTAATAGTGATCAGTATCTTCAATAGGTCAACAATCACTAGATGCATAAATTATGCACTATAATGTATCCATGCGAAAGCTAAAGACAAAGATTAATTTTTTTTATCTAATTTCTAAATTGTTCCCATTATTATATATAAATTCTAAAATAAACTGAACTCTTGGCCCGTCGTGAATTTCACGCGCATTGGGGCATGATCGTCACTTGAAATTGCAATTTTGACGATCAGTCAGTTGTTTTCGTTACTTGAAATTTTTTTGTTTCTTATGTTTTCATTATTCTTTTTTCATAGGTTATGAAATATTTGTCATTTGTTTAGGAAATTTTTCAGGCTTTCAGTGCCTTTCATTGAATAAAAACACAACAAGGTCTTGAAGCTAAAATACAAATGAAAATTTTTAAACACGTTTTCTAAGATTTTTACTCAGCATTTCCATGAACATACAGTAGTGACCTTCATTATGGTTTCACACGATACATATCTTAATGTCGTTTAGATCAACAAATAACGGGTTGAAAAATTATTTTGTAAAAATATTCAACTTCAGTCTGGTTCTGTTGTCCTCGTATATAAAACTTCAAAGTATAATATGCACTTAAAAAAACGTAAATCGACACAATAAGAATGGTAATTTAGTCACGTGTACTTTAAAATTCTGAATCACGCAAAGAAAATAGTTTGCAGACATTCAAAAAAGACAGATAGGATCGGACCTTGGCACAGTGTATTGTAAACCGAACTTATCGGACCGGCTCGGAATCTTTGAGTTGATCTGCGCAGTTGTGATTTCATTATGACCTAATACATTTTAATAAAAAAATGAAATCATTTCCTCATTATTCATTGTAACATATGCTCGTTGACTAGAACTTTCCTGCTATTATATATCGGTTAATGTATTGTTTATTGGGTTTCAGTAAACTCGATAATTGCATGGGCTAAATAAGTTCAAGTAATCCAATAATTTGAAAAATGCATCCTAAAATTACCCTATTTATGCGTGTATCTTAAGATCGCCATAAACCCTTATAGTTACGTCATACATTTAAATTGGATAGCAGGAAAGTTTTTAAATTCTCGAACCTCTTTACAATGAGTTTTGATCATTGATTTTGATCTCTTGAGACGAATTTTTTTTTAAACTGAGATAAAATGTTGTTTTTTGAACAATAAATTGTAAAGATTATATCGTAACGATGATACGGCGAAATTAGGAATTGCGGTACTTGGTACAAAATTATTTCTCTCGTTTCGATACAAAATCATGCATTTGCCCGTTATTTGCTCTTATTTGTGGTATAATATAATGAAAATGAAATCAACATACCACCCTGGCTAGTACAGTATGCACCTTTTGTTCTTTATTTTGCGATTCTCTTGACTTAACAAAAGAGCGTATGATTATTTTGAAAGCAAGCCCTAAAACAATCTAAAATACAATAAAAAATCGTTAGTTTGATAGAAAAAAAATATTTTTCGTAGTATAACAAAAGCAAGAAAAAAAATTCTTGACCGTACACATTCCACATTGAAAATCATTTTATGTAACATTTATGTAACATTTATTCCTCTACGGATTATTGAAAGTAAGATTGTTTATTTCTTAGAAATAAATTGTTGCGATAGTTGAATATTTCTGATTTCACATAGTTTCAACTACTTGAAAAAAGTTTTTACTCGTAATTTTTTCATCATTACTTTATCAAATAATTTTACCCATATGTATATCATCATATTTAACTCCCATTTAAATACCCATCATCACCCATATTATAATAGTTTCATGTAAATGAGTAAAGATAAAATCATACTATCTGTTGAATTCTGAAACTCGCAGGTGATTACAATTTAATGTTGATGTTACAGGCTTCAATGGATTTACCTCCGGATAAAGCGAAACTTTTGAAACAATACGACAATGAAAAGAAATGGGATATCATATGCGATCAAGTAAGTATCAATCGACTTCGTTTTTACTCTCGAGAAGTATTAATAACTCATTAAATGTGCTTGTAATGACTGGTAGCAAGTTGGTGAAAGTGTTAATTTCCATCATATGCGTTTAAAATCGTAAATGTCGGCATAAAAAGTGAGCGTATGATTGAAAAAATTGTAGCCACAATTATTATTATTATTTTATTTCGCTGAACTCGTACATTAGAAAAACTTTCATTATTAGTTTTATATTTATCGTTCGGTGGCTTGTAATAAACCACAAAATTGTTATGGTTTTTTCTGAACGAGAATGAATGATTGATAAATATACTTTCGTTCAATTTCTCAATTGCCGTGAAAACAAATTCCATCGGTTAAACTTTTTAAACGTGTTTTATTTTTTACTTTAGGAAAGGGTACAAGCCAAAGACCCACCATCTCACTATTTGACCAAACTGCGCACTTACTTGGATCCCAAGGCCTCCAGAAGTCACAGAGTAAGTTGTAAATTGCAGAATTGTCGATTTTTAAAAAAAAAGAATAAAAGAAGAGTACGGAAAGCTTGTACTATATTCCCGTTTGATTTATTCTGGTATTGTTACAGAAAAGAAAGATGGTTGGCGAGTCAACATCTACACAAGTTCTGCGAGACTTGGAAATTTCATTGCGCACAAACCACATTGAGTAAGTTTGTTTGAATAACTATGTAATATTAATATTTAAAGATTGAATTGAGGCTATTGGGGATGAAGCATTCTCTATGAATTCAATACAACTGCCCGAAAATAATCTTAAGTGAGAAACGTTTGAAAATAAAAGATTTACTCATAGACAGTCCGAAAAATTTTTTTATGAGACAGACCCATCAAATGTATAGAAGGCACTGGACATAATATGAATAAAGAAAATTTACATAAAAAAATCAGTAACCTAACTAAAACAGACATTCGTAGTTTAATGTTTCTAAAAAAAAGAAAAAAACAGTGTACATTTCATTAATTTCTTTATCAAAATTCTTTAAAATTTAATTTTTTAAATATAATAGCAGATAAATCTTATCTTTTTCGTTCCTCTCCCTTATTACCGAGAATTAGAATTCTCCTTGAATGACCTGAAAAATCGAAAAGCAATCGCTCCAAAATTAATCTAGATGTAATGGATTCAGGTAGATTAGTTAGTAATTCCTTATCCTATTTCTTATGATGCATCCTATTTCTTATGATGCATCCTATTTCTCATTTACAGATGGGTCCGAGAATTTCTTGATGAACAAAACCAAGGCCTTGATGCTCTAATCGATTACTTGAGCTTCAGATTGTTAATGATGCGACAAGAACAGAGACTTGCTACGACTGCTAATGAATTGGACGAAAAAATTAATCAGAGCAGATCATCTGGTATGTATTTGGTTTTTCATAACGACAGGGAAAATATTTTACAGATTTTATTATAATTTTTAAATTTATGTTTGACTAAACGAAACAGATACAGGACTAGAAGCGCCGACATCTTCGGTTGGCAACGGATGTTTAAGACCGCAACTGCAAGAGATGAAAGACAGCCCGAGTGTTAAGCAGCGAACGCGCCACGTGACGCGGCTCAACATGGGGGAGGCAAAGGACGACATCCACGTCTGCATCTTGTGCATGCGCGCCATCATGAACAACAAATACGGCTTCAACATGGTCATTCAGCATCGAGAAGCTATCAATTGCATAGCGCTCAGTCTCATACACAAGAGCTTGCGAACGAAAGCTCTCGTGCTCGAATTACTCGCAGCGATCTGTTTGGTCAAGGGTGGCCACGAGATCATTTTATCGGCTTTCGATAACTTCAAGGAGATCTGTCAAGAGCGGCGTCGATTCAACACCCTCATGGAGTACTTCACGCAGTACGACAGCTTTCACATCGAGTTCATGGTCGCCTGTATGCAGTTCGTCAATATAGTCGTGCACTCGGTGGAAGACATGAACTTTCGCGTTCATCTTCAGTACGAGTTCACCAAGCTCGGCCTCGACGACTATCTCGAGAAGCTGCGCCACACCGAGAGCGAAGATCTACAAGTACAAATATCAGCCTATCTGGATAATGTATTTGATGTGGCGGCACTCATGGAGGACAGCGAAACAAAAACTGCGGCTCTCGAGAAGGTTACCGAGCTAGAGGACGAGATAGGACATTGTCACGAGCGACTGGCCGAGCTCGAGCGCGAGTCAATGGCGAAGATCGTTGAGTTGGAGACGGAATTGGCAGCGCTGAAGGCGGACCACGCAGAGGCTCTGGAGGCGCGGCGTCTTGTCGAGGAACAGCTAGCGACGTTGCAGCGCCAAAAGCAAGACTCGGCTCGGCGACAGAGTGTGCTCGAGAGTAAAATCATTGAATTAGAGACTCTGACACGAGGCGCCTCGATGCGCAATGGATTAACAACAAATGGTTCCGGAGCACCAAGCCCGACGCCGAATGTTGCGGCGACAGTTGCAGCACCACCTCCACCGCCACCTCCGCCTCCGCCACCGCCTCCACCTCCGCCAGCGCCTTCTTCATCTCAAGTACAATCTTCGAGTCCGCTCCCGCCGCCACCTCCGCCGCATCTACTGTCTCTATCGACGAACTCTGCCGTGACGGACCTAAATCATTTTCCGCACCCACCACCGCCCGCTCCATTGTTACCAGCTCTCGACGGTGCCATGACGATAAAACGCAAAGTACAGACCAAGCACAAACTTCCCACTCTCAATTGGATTGCGCTCAAACCCAATCAAGTGAGGGGTACCATCTTCAACGAGCTCGACGACGAAAAACTGCACAAGGTGATCGATTTTACGGACTTTGAGGAGCGTTTCAAGATCGGTATGAACAATCAACTCGCAAACGGTATCAACGAATTAGATGGAAGCAACGGCGCCGGAGGCTTGTACAATTTCCCTAGCAAGCGTTTCAAAAAACCGGAAAATGTAACTCTGCTTGAACATACGCGATTACGAAACATAGGTAGTTTTTCAACTTTTTTAATATTATCCATACGATACATTAATTTGCTTAGTCTCAAGGTAACTGTAATTTTTAATTTTTCAGCAATTTCACGAAGGAAATTGGAACTGCCCGTTGAGAAAGTTATCGCAGCCGTTAATGCGCTTGACCTCAAGGTTCTCTCGTTAGAAAACGTCGAACTCTTACAGAGAATGGTTCCTTCTGAACAAGAAGTGCGTATCAATCATGTATTATTTTAACTTCACGAGTACTAATAACTCTTTGTTTTACAGATAAAAGCATACCGGGAATATATATTGGAGAAGAAAAATGTTAATCTCCTTACAGAAGAAGACAAATTCCTTTTGCAACTCGGAAAAGTTGAAAGAATATCTACAAAATTGTCAATAATGAATTATTTAGGAAACTTTTTTGATAATATGCACCTTATTTCCCCTCAAATACACGCTGTGATATCTGCATCGAATTCAGTAAAAAACTCGAAAAAGCTTCGATCCGTGTTAGAAGTTATTCTGGCATTTGGAAATTATCTTAACAGTAGTAAACGTGGACCTGCCTATGGTTTCAAGTTGCAAAGTCTTGATACGCTACTAGACACCAAATCGACTGATAAACGAATGTGCCTTTTGCACTATATTGTTGCAACCGTGAGACTCAAGTTTCCAGATTTACTTAATTTTGAGTCGGAACTTATGTACATCGATAAAGCTGCCACAGGTAAATATTTCATCACTCTCTTAAATAATTACGTTACATTTTCTATTTAAAGTTTGAACGTAAATTATACTCAATTTAATATTATCTATAATTTTCAGTTTCTCTTGAAAATGTGACAAGCGATGTGCATGAACTGGAGAAAGGTATGGACCTCGTGCGCAAAGAATATGATCTTCGAGGGAAAGAAAAGCACAATACTGTCTTACGAGATTTTCTTAATAATTCCGAAGAGAAATTACGACGTTTAAAATCGGATACTCGCATAGCTGGAGAAGCTTTCCGGGAGTGCGTTGAATTTTTCGGAGAAAGTCCTCGACAAGCTGATGCTAGCACATTCTTTTCACTTCTTGTGAGATTTGCAAGAGCGTTCAAAGTACGTTGAAAAATGTTTACTTCATTAATTTTGTTTAAAAAAATTTTACATTAGATTATTGTTCAGGCTGCTGATCAAGAGAACGAACAACGGAGAAGATTAGAATTAGCGGCTACGCAAGCTCTTAACACATCTGAGGAAGTTATTAAAAAGAATAAATTGAATCAGAAGAAGCAACAGGTACGTTTTTATAGTGAAACAGTCAATTTTATACACTGTAGTGCATGAATTTTTCATTAGAAGGTGTTTATTATATTTCAATATTATTTATTGCCATCTTGCAATTGAAATGCTATTTCAAAAGTAGATAAAAGCACAAATTTTCACAAGCACTTAAGATAATTTCTATCACCAAGTTCTGCTCCATTAACATCAATTTATTATTTCATTGAGCGTAGAGTATTGTCAATGGTTATTAGTTGCTTAAACATTCACTAAGACCATTTTTCCATCGTTCTATTTAATGCCTATCTACAGAGTTATGGATTAAAGGAAGTTTAAATTAGAAAGTGAAAAAATAGAGAATGTTCATTTGATGAAAAAAATAGCCAACATAAATACTTATTTATTTATTGTGTTGGCATGCGTGCACAATAATACAATTATGTATTGTTTTGGTTCGCGAATAAACATTCTCATTTTTTAATTAAGTCCCATAAATATCACAGCGTCTTTTTTTTACAAAATCTTAAATCTACCTCCAAAAATTTGATCTATGCTTTTCTAAAAAAGATTTGAGGATTTTCAACAATTTAATTATGTTTCTGAAGAATGTATAAAACGTTTTATTATTACACTGAAAAACGTGAATGAACCCTTGAAAAATTGCGTTTAACTTAAAAAAAAACGTTTAAATTTAAGATTGTACGTAATATATTGAAGAGCAATCCACGGAAATTCTTTATTTCTTTACACTTCTGTGGTAAGATATTGATCTAAAATTTGGGAGTGAGATTTTAATTATTTCCAAAAGTAAGTATCGCCCCTAATGTCATGTATGAATTACACTGAGCTTTGCATGGATTGACTTTTTGATAGTACGGTAAAAGCCATACATCCATTCACACTCATGTTTGAATTGAATTGCATTATTATCCATCAATTCTTTTCGCGCGATGGATTATTTGCGCATTCACTCTCACGTAAATATTTGAACGTTGTGATTGTTAAACTTGTTAACTGCAGATTTTAAATTGAAACAATTCGAAAACATTTTTTGAAATTTTGAAGGTCATCGAATCCATGCACGTTTTGAATTAGCATGAAGATTGTCGAAAATTCCAAAACAACGTGTCGTAATAATATGATTTTTCTGATATGATCTTGTGAAAATTACAACTAATTCTAGAGATTAGTTGATATAAAGTATTTCTAATTTTTATTTGTTACATATTATTTGGGCTTAAAGTCATCGAAATTTTGCTGTAATTCGAACAAGTCATTGTTACACCGACATCTTAATGAACTGGAGCTCAAAACGTAACAATGTAAAAAACAAATCACGACATGTAAGTTTCTTCTTACTAATTACCCGCAAATAACTTCTTATTCAGTTAATGTTTCATTTTTTCCTATTTTCACCTGCTCTATTGTGTATAGCATCGATTAATTAATTAAAACGAATACGCTAATTAACTATTTAAAAAATTGGTTTAGACCTTGAGCACAAATTCCATACATTCTCTATGGTGCTTGGCAAAACTTAATCTTTATAGCGCTATGGCTTTTCAGTCAATAATTGATTATTAATAAGTTTCTAAATTAAAATAAAAAGCACTCCACTTTTGAAATAGACTATCTTTCAAGAGTCCATTAAAATTATAAAGAAAGCTAAAAAAATGTAGCTTTACAAGTAAAGTTTCCAAGAATGATAGTCAATGCAAAGTTCGTTTATCATCATTGCCAATAGGGCCAAAAATACCCTCATTGCATTAATTTTCATAGTGTATGCGTTTGAAATTAAGTTGCTATTGCAAAAGCTTGGCATGCTTATATTATACAATTTTTATTGCATTCATTTGACTGTTTACTAATGTATCTGTTCATTCATCGAATCTTAGCTAAAATTATCTTTTTTAGGCCTGCGTTTAGAATAAAATTGCTACTTTTTTTATAGAAAGTTTAGAGGAGAAAGGGATGGGGGCTCAAAAGAAAAAAAAATATACTTATAAATAGTTGTAATGATGGATATAATTCTTTTATGCAATATTCTTTGGCCTACCGTCGTCAACGGTGGCGCTATAAAAGTTAATTTTTCACGCACTTAATTTCACGTACACACACACACACACACACACATACACACACACAAATTCACTCACATAGACCATTAAAGCTGCTTAAAATGTTCTACGCTACAATCTCAAAAGGTGGAAGTATAAGGAAATATAAAATATTCGCTTGAACGTTATAGCTTTACAGGAGAAAAAAAACCAGATTTTTTTCTTCTTGAAAACTTTCGGATATACTAAGCAGAAAAAGTATCAATTAGATCATTTTATTATTTTAATTATATCAAAAAGTTTATGATTATTATTCACTGAGAAATAAGAAATAAAGTGAAAAATGTATTCGTTTTTTACGAAAATAAAATTGCAATCTACACAAATAGGTTCATGCGCTATAACCCAGAACTAAATTGCTTTCTCATCAGAATACCACAATTTAAATTCAAATACTGAAATTTATGAAAATGTAATAAAAAATTGACTATACATTATTTTTTTTTTAATAATTTGTTTTCAGGTTAAATTGAAAAATTTTGAGAAAACTATTTGAGAAGATGTCAAAACCCATGAACCTTTATTTGTTGTTAAGTTTTTAAATTTTAACTGAATATTTTACTTGTGTTAATGCAAAAGTTCTCGATTTGTCAATTTACAGATTAATTCGAGGTTTTGTAAGAAAAATGTTCAGTCAAAATGACTGAAAATGTATAGAAAAATTTTTATTGTTTTTATTGTTGTTACCGCACATAGTGTTTTATTACGATTTTTTGACGATATAAAAATCACATTTAGGAGGGAATAGGATATTTATTGAAGAAAGCCAAAAAAAATCGAATATTAAACAAAATTGTTTAATTAAATTAATTTAAGAAAAAGCGAAGAGCCATTTTTCTACCTCTTTAATTAACTTATTTTTAATGTTTGAAAATTAATATTGTTAAATAATGTAGCCCATAGATAACTTTTTATGGTTGTTTGTTTTTTTGACAACAGGATGCCGTTATTAATGAGCTAAAGAATAAAACCAGACTAGTCCAAGAAAAAAAATTGTTGCAACAAGACGAAGTTTACAATGGAGCTCTCGAAGATATATTGTTGGGTTTAAGGTCAGAGCCTTATCGCAGAGCAGATGCTGTAAGACGCAGTCAAAGGCGACGCATTGATAGTCATAGACTTTCACGTACTGCCGAAGAATTAGAATTTTAGTTTGTTGTTTTGTCTAATTGTAATTTTATTATTAAGAAAATAAGCAACCGTTCCATGACAATTGCATTTTGATTGTACAAAGAATATATAATTTATAGCGGCGCCCCTTGATATATCGTTTTGAAATACTCTTCAACTGAAAAATGTTGAGAATACTTTCTTCTTTGAAACTGTAAAAAATTGCCTTTTTAAATATTCACGTTATTCATGATTTTGATGATTATGTAGCTTTATGTTGGTGCTGATTTGTTTATAATTAATCGTGAAGTGCTTCGTATACGCATAAGTACACCTATTTTTCCGTAAACTATAATGCAAATAAAATGACTTGTATGTATATTCGCTAATATAGTTTTATAAACAAAAAAGTTGGTTAAAAAAGGTACTTATTTAAATCAAAATATGTTCAATAGTTATACAAAGCGATGAAATTCATCCGAGTATAAAACCAAGTTTTTGTAAAAAAAATTTTTGTTTTAAGAGAATGACAAAGCCAGCATAACGACAACGTTCGTGTTTTCGGTTATTTTTACTAAATATTTTGTTAAAGGTATGTAACAAGTTAGAAAATAATTGTACGAAATTTTCGTAACTATTCGTAACCATTTATAAAAATATTAAGTAAATAGAAAAACGGGGTTTAAAAATTAACGTCCTTGCACTGGCTTTGGTAATTCTTTAACATAAAATTTTTTACAATTATATACATTTATTAATCGTTGGCTGTTAGAAATTTTTTAATTAACCATAAAATAAAATTTTATATCAAAAAGTATTTTTTGGTTTGTTTTTTTTTGCTTAATAAAGTCTATTATTTATTGTTTGACATTGAAAAAATTCTGAAAAGTTTCATCACAGAATTCTAAATCAGAATCTTGATTATTGCTAAGAAAAATTGTATTTTTATACGAATATACATTTTTTATTGGAAACTGTAATTGGTTACAACATTCCACCAAATAAAGAAAAATAAGTGTAGTTGATAAAAAATGACATATTTTTTAAAAATGTACCAAAAATAATGTACGGATAATAAAAATGTATTTTTGCCTTTCTACTAAACCATCTTTGCATTGTATAGTAAAAAGTTATTATACAAACAGAAACTATTCTTATAGATTCAGAATTTTTCAAAACTTAATATTTTTCTAATATGTATTCTTTTTAAAAGTTTACTGTGAATATAAAAATGGTCAAAATGCCTCAAGTGCAATAAAAAAATTAATTTACTCACTTTTACATCCAGTGTTGATGATCCAATTTTGTAAATAACATTATAATGATCAATATTTATAGTAATTATAAATGTCATTAATTTTTTTTTCACATATATTGACTATTTTTAAAAAATTATTGCAGGTACTGATTAATCTTGAACATGTAAATAATTTGTATTGAACATTCAAATGGTATCACTTTATATGGTGGTTTATTTTATGACATGTACATGAATGAGGTAATCTATAATAAATTGAAAATATTTCAAAAAATTATATTTTAAACAGTTTGATTTCAATTCCTGATTTTTTACCTACATATAAAAAAATTAAATATTTTTTGATTTGATAAGTTTTTAAAATCGTAAATTTTAAAAATAATCGTAAGAAATCACAATAGAATCATGTAAAAATGTGAATTTGCTTTTTGTTTACAAAGATATACTTGGAGTAACATTGTAATTACAAACATGTTGGTTTGAATCTTGTTTTATAAAAATAAAAACTCGTTTTATACGAAAAATTTATGTTAATTATAGTATTAATTTTGAACTGGGTTCTATGGTAAATAGAACTCAAAATTTATTTGAACTATATAACTTTAAAACATTTAACTTATAAATCTGTAAATTCATAATTTGGTGATATAGGATTAGTATAATAAAGCGCAAACGTTAAAAAATACTTTTTCATACGAGTTTTATTACTTTTGTAAGTATCCTACATTACTGTAATAAATAATGTATAATTTTATGTACAAATATACAAGATATAAAAAGGCACAATACCTACTTGCTTCAGAGCATATAAGTTGAAAGTAGAAAGTAACAAATTACATTTATATATAAACTTTACACCAATCATTGGTAAAATGAATATAAAATGGAACTTATTTATTTAATTTTTAATTTTTCTAGAGATCACTCTTGCTGTTTATTAACAAATGAAAATATAACTTAAACTTATTAGAACGCAAAGTTTAAGTTTTTTAATATATAGATAGGATAATTTATAATTTATATTAACTTTGTTTTAAAGATGTCAAATATTAATTTAAAAAAACTAAGACAAACTTTCTGGTAGTATACCATTTGAGATTCTATAAAATATGTTATTTTTTACGAAGTATATATTAGTACAACAAATTTTAGTCAGTTAAAAAATAACATTTGCATTTTAATATTACAAATTAATTTATGATAAGTCTTGTAGTTTTAAATTACAAAATTGCAAGATCTATTTTTAAATACATAATAACATTGAACAATTTTTCGATGAACTTTTCGTAGTAATTCATTGTACATTATTTACAATTGGTAAATTTTTAGTTATTTCTCCAATTTCATGATTCATGTTGTCTTATCATTTTGTTAAAATTATCGGACAATCGGTATTTTCAGTGCAAGAATACAAATCACTTTTTTAATTTAGAAAATATTTAGAAGTATACAAAAATATGATCATTTCCTGTTTCGGCAATAGATTTTCAAAACGTACTATTGCAAAGTTGAATATTAATTTGCAAAATAACTTACATACTAGAAAAAAATTATAAATACTTCACAAATATTTGTGTCAAAAATACTATATATCATGTTGATGTTAGTAAATGAAAAAATATAGAATAAATATTCGACGATATTATAGTCTTACATTGCAGTTTGAGTAAATAATTAGATTTCAAATAATTCAACTTTATTTAATTTGTCTGGAATGGAATGTTGATGCACAAAGAGATTATAACAAAACCACCAAAATAATTAAAAAAAAAAATTTAATTTTATCTCAATTTTTCAATGACAAAAACAAAATAAACCAATGTCTACCAACAATTCATAAGAAATGGCAGGAGTTTTCTATTTCGTCGCCCCAGCGCCAAAACTGCACTAATAAATTTGAGTAGCAAAAACTGCCTAAGTTTTATGTTGAAGACATAGGACTAAGGGAGTTTATCAGTACGGTTTTTGTGCTAAGATAACGATTTGTTCTAAAAAAAATTAACGTGTTATTCATGGATTTTTTATAACTTTTGAAACTTGAAATCATTTAAATTTAAACTTATATCAAATATAGTATTTGTTCATTATAAGTAGATAATAATTACTTTGATCGATCAACATCATCAGATCTTATTTCAATACTGTAGTTAGAATTTCAACAAAAATTATTATTTTATTAATTTCAAATCCATTTTTTATGGCTTTTGTTTCTTACAAAACCACTGATAGGAATAATAGTATTCATTTGTTTGCATTGTGTTAACGCATAGCTCATATATAAAACTTTTAGCTAAAACTGTTTATAAAATTTGAAACGAATTCAACTTCAAACTAAATTTTTATTGCTTTATGAAAATGGGAATAATCACTAATTAAAGATAATACTGATTGCAACTATACAACAATTTAAATAAGGTTTTTCAGTCAGCAAAATTTAAGTATTCCAATCAGTAATAAAATACATTTTTAAGTGTTATTATGTTTTTAAGGGTTGGTCATGAATTTAAAAATTTTATTCATGGCACATTGAACTGCATGTGTATTTGGGAACTTCAATTATAATGTTATGTTATTAAAATAAGATGTACTTGAAACATTAATTATCTTATAGTAAATATTTTGTATGTATCAGTATTAAAGTATAAAATGTTTTACTTCATTAAAATTCTAAAAAATACTAATACTTTGAAAGACAAAAACTAGTCAATCGCACAAACAATGTAACTGCATTTGAGCTTGTACAGCATGATTGTTGCTTTTAGTCTTTTATTTTACAATATTTTTTATGATCAATATTTCATAAGCTATGCAAATTATTAATTCAATTTGAATGTAATTTGACAGATTGGTAAGTCAATAAATTCTATTGAACCATAATTGATCATTCAAAAATTTGATTTTGTAGTAAATTTTTCTTGAATCATAAAGTTATTTATTATATACTGATAGTACAAAATCAAATTCTTCATTTTATCAAATTCACAAAATATTATCTACATAAAATGATTGTAAATTTAATTTATCAAAATATTCAATTATCAACAAAATGATGGAAGATTTATTTTACAATTTATAAAATTTTAACTCTGTTCTATACGAAATAATTCTATATCGCCTTAAGTGGCTTTATTTACATAAAAGTGTTTTCATGACATGATCATTAAACTATCATGACTTTCTACTTATAATTCATACAGATATATTGTCTTTTAAAAAGTACCTGCTTATTATTTTATATTATTCTATAATATTCATAAATAAGTCTCGGTATTTTTTCATTAATTTTACTTAATAAAAAATAATTGCATACCTTCATATAAATAGTAAATAAATGTAGTCTTTACATTTTATTTTCTCTTTTGTTACTGTAGCATGAGTGATTCCAAATTACGATGAAGTATGGTATTTTTAACTGCATTAAATACTACTTTAATATTTTCCGTATCTACAGCGGTAGTAAAATGATGGAACAATGGTTTTTTTGGGTCCCTTTTAACTTTGACAAATAAATCCAATATAAAACTTTGAACATCTTTCATGCAATGAGGGTCTCCTGTGAATTGTGGAAAATGCAATCCAATATTCGTATCAGTAGATTTGACCTTTTTTTCCAGTAAATCAATTTTGTTCAAGAATAATATTACTGATACACCATAAAAAATTACATTATTAATAATTGTATCAAATATGTTTTTTGATTCCTCCAGCCGATTTGTTTTCCTGCAAAGCAAAAACAAAATTATATTACTTTGAATTTTGAAATTAAATACAAAAACACAGATGATAATTTACACAATTAAAACTTTTTGCGTATTTAAAATAAAAAATTATCTTAATCTTAAGGAGGTACTATAGCCAGCCTGAAATAATTATTTTGGAATTCATTCTTTAGATTTTCACTGAATATTTTTTTTTGGAAAGCTACATGGATGTCTACATTTTGTTGTTTTTTATTCATCTACATTGTTTACAGAAAAATATTTAGTGGAAATCACTGAAAAAAAAGTTTAAAAAATTTCATTGGCCTGGCTATGATATATTTCCTCAAGTTTAGTTGTTAATGCAGACTTTTGGAAACATAATGTTTAAAAAAGGTTTTGTATGATGAAATTTGCAAGAGTTTCTACATACCTATCTTCTACTATGACTTGATCAAATTCTGATGAAGAAACTAAAAATAGTATTGAAGTTACTGAGTCAAAGCATTGGTACCATTTTTGCCTTTGAGACCTCTGACCTCCAACATCCACAAATAAAAATGGAATATTATTAATTGATATAGTAAATTCTGATATTCCCTTAGTAGCTTTTCTACAGTGTAAAATATCTTGATGGGTTGGAGTATAATCCTGAAAAAGGAGTTAGTATTACTTTTGGTCCTAGTTAAGAAAAGTATACAAATACTTACTAATTTTGCAATCCTATCAATATCATCAAAAAAATATTGCACTGAATCACTCTGCAATAAAAAAATAATTATTATAGCTCAATGAATGATGGTTGAATTTTACAAACAAATTTCAATTAGTTATTTAAATTCTTACCAATTGGAATTCTCTTCGTCTATCAAAGGCTCTTCTTATTGAAGCATCTTTCCATAAACTTTGCAAAGACGGTACACATCGCAAAAAACTTCTAGCATCTAATGTTGTTGTATTTTCTAATTTCAGAAGTTGATACCCTATATCATAATTTTTTTGATGTTCCCAGGGTATATTTAATTTATCTCTAGCATCGACTAACACTCTCATGCCTCTGACAATATTTTGATAAATTACTCGTTGATATTCTCTTACTAATTCAGGCTGAAAAATAACATTAACAATTAAAAGTTTACAGATAGAAAAATAGAATTGATGAATGATTCAATGGTCAATAATATGATGAAATTGATGCATTGAATTACAGATAAGCAAAACAGTTATCCAAAATTATACCTAAATTCTTCAATTCAATAGAACACATTAAAAATACTGAGGAATTTGTGGGTAAACATAGTTGGATATTTCAATGTTAAATAATGCTTAAAAAAAAGTAGAATACCGAATGATCGAGATCGATCGTCACAGTACAATTAAAACAAGAGATAAACAATGAAAAGAAGGCGAGAAAAAGCTCACCTCAAAATTAATCCCATGTATGATCCTCATCTGCTTGAGAAAGGTGGACTTGCCACTTTCACCGGCGCCGAGAAGTAGGAGCTTGACTTGTCTACGAAGCGACTGTCTGTCTTTTTCGAGCATACGATCTATCTCCTGGCTCTTGCAGCGTTGCTCAATCTCCTCGGGACTGAATTTGAACCTGAGGCACCAGGTGCAGGACCACGGCCCGGGCCTGTCGGCCATCTTGCCAAACCCCGTAGCAGCCGCCGGTCTGCGGAACAGCTAGCAGAAGCAGCAGCAGCAGCTAGGGCGACCCGAGGCGCTGCGGGTGCAATGGTTGAAGAATTTCAAGGGCCGTTGGAACGGCACCGCGCTCGGCCGTCGCCACGGCAAGGCAAAAAAAACGTGCGTTTCTGCGTTACGCAAATCAAACCTGACCAATGTAAAGCCAATGCAGCAGCGAGGGCGTACACTCGGTGCGGACGTTGTTTTTCAGCGACGATGGGCCAATATGAACGGCGAACTATAAACAACACACTCTCGATAGTCGACGGTCTACACGACGAGACGCGATCGGCACACTCTCACTAGATTCGCACTCCACGCACAGTAAAAAATAGAAACGAGTTCGAAGGCTTGGCACTGGGCAGCACGCGAAATAGGCTAAGAGTCGGTATTGTCCCACACGGGCCTCGTCCAGCTTAGGCTATTTTCCAGGTCGTCTCGATGCACCTATGTGTCGCATACCCGAGAACTGATGCATCGTGTCGTACACATCGAGCGAGCAATGCAGCAGGCTAGCTCGCAGCCGTGTGCTGCTGCATTTTTTTACGCACACGCAAGTACTTATGCTTATGTATGACGTATGTATACACCACCTACCACTGTCTTACTTTCGTGCTGCACGTATATAAGTTTTTCGGAGCTATGCAAATTTGTTGCTGCTGCTGCTGCTGCTGCTGGCTGCAGCCTGTGATTTTTGCACGCTATACGGTCAACTGGTAAATGCTGCTGGCAGTAGTGGCACTTGTACACAGTGTATTTCCAGGCGGCCGAACAGCACACCTTTTCTCTCTAGTCTCATCTCTTTTTACTTCTGCCTATGTAGCTCACTTCTACTTGTGGTGTATGTATCTGTCTGAGTCGTATAGTTATATATATACTCATGTACGTTCAGGTGACCGTACCCAAACACTACCCGGTCTCTCAACTCTCTTTCTCTTTCTCTTTCTCTTTCTCTTTCTTTCAAGGAGGCAGAGGCAGAGCTCGTCGAGCAAAGGCAGCAAAGCGCACACTATGCGGACACACGTATATGTACAACACGGCTCACTGCTCACGCCAATTTTACATGGCTATTGGTCTAGCTGTAATTCACTACTGAACGCGTGTTCTACTACGCGAGAGCTTGGTTTACTTTTAAACACAACTCGTGGAATTGGTGCTTATTTGAACATTTCTTTTTCGCGATTCCACAATATCTCGCACTTGTGGTGAGTCAAATTCCGCGCATGCGATTGACAATGATGAATGATGTTCCGACTGGTGGCTCACTGCTGCTGCCTGCTGCTGACATAAAATGAGTTCATAAGCCGCACCACAAGACCCCAAACGGTCATATGATAGTCATATTTTAACAATTGCTCAGCGTCGGACCCTAATGTTTCCATCGATTGTTATGGCGGGAAATTGAAAATAGATTGCTTTAAACATTTTTAATAAATTATTCCTTTTTTTCAAAGCTCCTAAAACTTTTCATCCAAAGCTGTGCCAAGCTCTGACATATTTTCGGAATTTTTGTTCTTAATTTACTCAATTAATATTGATATGAAAAAAAAATAAATAAAACTGATTTTTGATCCGTGAAAGAACATCTTGGAACTTTCGAAAATTTGATGAAACAACTTGATAAGCGTAAGAAATGTCGTAACTACTAATTGAGTTGAAAACGTACTTATAAAGCTTCACCCAAATGCTCGATTTATAAATAATTGAAGTCTTGGATTCGGATTACGCGACTCCATATCGAGGATTGTCTAAGCAAAGCCGCAGAGTGTTGACAGATTCGAGCGCCACGCTCAGCATTCTTCGAACTTACTACGTAGTTTCAAAAGCAGTCGACACGTGAATATCACAGTGTAAGGTGGTATGTATACATGCGATTCAATTTTATAAATCAGGACATTGACAGTTGATAAAGCGTTTTATTAATAATTAAAACTTCGGAAAAATGTCCCTAGCCGATGAGCTGCTGGCGGATTTGGACGACGACAATGACGATATTATCCCAGAACCAGAAGTGGCGGAGGAACTTGTCACAACGGCAGTTCCGACGACCAAAATTACGGAAAAAGGTTAGTTTCAAAATTTTGTAAACAAACACAAAGCAACGTATAAACATGGCAAAGTACTTCATAATCTTCAACAATATATGTGTATTAAAATATTTGAAACTTTTCTTTATTTACAGACATAAAAGTTGATTCGATTAGAGAATTGGCTAAATTAAGAGACTCGTATTTAGTACAAAAAGTGACTTCAGCTATTGATAAATATAGTAAAATATTAAGAAAATCATCAGATATTATTGGACCAGTGGAGTCAGATCCAGAATATTTATTAATTGTTGAAGCTAACAATCTTGCTGTTGAGATTGATACTGAAATAGGTATGTATATTTTATTTATTTAAATTTATTGCTATTGCTTTTTAAAAATTAGTTTTTAAACTTTTATAATATTGTGAAAAAATAATAATCAAATTATTTTTAACTAGCAACAATTCATCGATTTACCACCAGTAAATATTGGAAACGCTTTCGAGAGTTGGAATCACTAGTAGTTGATCATTTAGAATATCTAATGACAGTAAAAGAATTGGGAAATGACTTAGACAATGCAAAAAACAATGAAAGATTACAACAGTTTTTAGCTCAAGCAACCATTATGGTTGTGTCTGTGACTGCTTCAACGACGCAAGGGTAAATAAATTTTATTTAAATTTAATAGGTTTATGCTTTTATTGTAAAAAAATTATGAATTACTAACCTTGGTCTTATTTCTTAATTTACAGAAAATTATTAACTGAACAAGAATTAGCTGCAGTAATGGAAGCTTGTGACATGGCTATGGAACTTAATAATTTGAAACAAAAAATATTTGAATATGTTGAGAGTAGAATGGCATTTATCGCTCCAAATTTATCAGCTATTGTTGGAGCTTCAACGGCCGCAAAACTCATGGGTAATTCAATTCACTTATATGCAAATAAACAATAATTTTTTAGTTGGAAATTCATAACGAATAATTTAATTATAGGTGTTGCTGGTGGCCTGACAAAATTATCAAAAATGCCTTCATGCAATATTTTATTACTTGGAGCTAAAAAAACTACACTATCAGGATTTTCTCAAGTAACAGCACTACCCCATACAGGATTCATTTACTACGCAAAAGTGGTTCAAGATGCACCTCAGGTAAAGTTTTTTTCCAAAAATTTTTTCATGATTAATAGTGGTTTAATTGCAATTTAATTTTCATTTCAATTACAGGACTTACGCAGAAAAGCTGCAAGACTTGTGGCCAATAAAAGTACATTAGCAGCTCGAGTGGATGCTCAGCATGAAAGCACAGATGCTCACATAGGAGAACAATTCAGAGAAGAAATAGAAAAAAAATTAGATAAATTATTAGAACCTCCACCGGTTAAATTTATAAAACCATTGCCAAAACCTATTGATCCTGGCCGGAAGAAGCGCGGTGGTAAAAGAGTTCGTAAGATGAAAGAGCGTTATGCCGTCACAGAATTCCGTAAACAAGCTAATCGAATGAACTTTGCTGATGTACGTATTTTCTTTAAATTTTTACATTTTTAAATTCATTCATATCATTGTAATATTAATATAATTGGTAAATTTCAGATTGAAACTGACGCTTATCAAGAAGATCTCGGCTACACAAGAGGTACCATTGGTAAAGCAGGCACTGGAAGAATAAGATTACCTCAAATAGATGAAAAAACGAAAGTACGAATATCCAAAACGTTACAAAAGAATCTTCAGAAACAGCAACAATGGGGTGGAAGTACCACGGTTAAAAAACAAGTTTCAGGAACAGCTTCAAGTATAGCTTTCACACCGTTGCAGGTAAGCTTAATATTTCATTGGTTGTATGACGTAATTATCAATATTTAATTAATAAAATTCTTGATTTATCTTTTTAGGGACTGGAAATTGTCAATCCACAAGCAGCTGAAAAGAAAGTTAATGAAGCTAATGCAAAATATTTCTCTAACACAGCAGGATTTTTGAATGTCAAAAAGTAATTATTTTAAAAAAATTCATATGAATTGAGTTGAATAAATTATTTTATATTGTCAAACGAACTTGGTGTTTTTTTAGTTACCATGATCCAAGAGCAAGTGATTAAAAATACTACTAAAAAACTCCCGTTGCCGTTGTGTACTATAGTAATCTTTAATCTTTGGTCATTTTTTTATAAAATACGTGGAAAAATTTTAAATTCACCATCCATGTTTCTTCATTTTTACTGCAAGAAGCATGGTGAGCAACAAATTTAAGACATTCTCTTTCATCTTAGTATCGAAATTCTGAGGACGTGAATCGCGTAAAACAAATTAATTATAAACAATTATAGATTATTGTAATAACCAATTAAAAGGGTGTTTGTCGGTGATTGTCAAGTTTAAATACGAACATCTTTTTCACTATAATGATTTTAAAAATCTTGGCGATTAATTCAAGAATAGACATTAATAATTGTAAAAAGGTAAGTAATCAGAGACAGGAATATTTCCTGTCTGGCTTTAAATTCGAGGATCTAGCATCGTGAGACAAAGCGAGATAGCACATACGCTGCCCCTAATGCCCCTAATTACGCGCCGGTCTCTCACAAATACTACGCGTAAACGTCAACAAGTGTTTGGCTAATTTCAGTAGGCAAATGACACAGAACTTTAGTGTGTCTCTTGAAAGCGGGCAAAAGGACCGATGTGCTTTCCCGCTCCTTCCTTGATTAATATACAAATTTTGATTGTCAATTTGATGCGCGCTTAATTAAATTGCAGTTACGGTGCGGTAATTGAGCAATTAAGTGGAAGCGATTGTTTATAACAAGTCGTTAGGACAATCACGTGCAAGAGTAGACACAAGGAAAGATTGAACGAGAAGTACGTAGGAAGAAATCTGTTACTGAATTGCCTCCTTCGCAATTAATCATGGCTAGTTTTGAAGATTTCCAAAGTGAGTGGAATACCATCGGCCAGGATCCGAACAATTGGACCCAGGGCGGTAAGTGATTTCCCCATAATTAGTGGTGTTCATACGATATCTTGATCCTTGATGCATCGTCAGTATATGAATCAACGTTATTTATCTTCAGCACTTGTCAATGAACCCAACTTGTCTTGAATCTCAAGGGCATTGTCTCTCGGTTCGATTGTTGTGCTGCGCTTCTCGCTCAAATAGATAGTCAACTGGAAACCGTCGTATATTCTCATTTAGCAAATCAATTTGTTTATTTTTGAATGGACTAAAAGTAAATTTTTATGTGAATATAAAAGTAGGGAATTTATAAGTTTTACTCGGACTTTAATTCTCGACGATCGGTCGATTTTTAACTACTGGCATTCGCTCATGTGATTGTTTTGAATACAATACAGTCTGCTTACATTTAAAAATAAAATAGCTTCTACGATGAATAGTAATTCGGAGATTGAATGAAAATTAACTTTTAAACGTGTTTTTGAACTGAAATTCTTAAGACACTAATGACGCCTGAATTAAATGATGCTGAATACAAGCATTAGAGCAAACATTTTTTTTAAGTAATAATTTTTCCATTAGCTTATAATTTTTGGTTTCAAAAGTTTAATATACCGCGGAAGTAATCAACAACTATTGAGTTTTCACACAAAAAACTATGAGCAAGTTTGTATTTTGATATAATCATTCAAATCATCCAAATTTTTATGCTTAAAATAGTTTTTAACAAAATTAAAAATGTGCTGATAAATGTTTTAAAATTAGTCAATCTCAGTAAATTTATGTCCGATAGATCGAAAACGTAGTATTACTACATTAAGTTTTGTATGGATTGCTATACAAGATCGGTATTGTTTGTATTGTATAGTTTACATGCGTTTTTAATGGAATGAGAGGATTTATAAAAAGACATTTTACTTTCCAATAATTCATTTAAAAAAATAGTTGTAGCTAAATCGCTTTTCTGAATCGTTATAAATATGTTTCAACTCGATCGCTACCAACAGCTCGTTATCATTTGAGTTCGAATTAGCTAAATTAACATTTATTCGAACGTACAATGTTTTTCCTTCGAAACCGAGACTGGAAAATACTCAAATTTCAGCTGATTCGTTGAATCGTCGCTCGTTCGATGCGGAGCGCAATTCGTGCAGAATTTGATTGATGCGCCAGTGGCAGCAGTCCCTTGCGCGCGCTCTTCGCAGCTCGACCGCACACAGCGGCTATAAATGCATATTCAGCTCAACTGCAGCTAAAAATGTCACTGCGGCTGCACGCACCACTTGGTTAGCGCACCGTATACGCGCCGTCCGCGCCTGACTCGCGACTGAGCTCGAGGCCTATCTCGCGTATTGATCGAGGTTGCGCTTGCGCCTCTCGGCTTCCCAGCCGCCTCTACTTGCACGCTGATAATGCACGATAGGAAACTGTGCTAAGTACCCCAGTATGCATGCGAGCAAGACAGCTCGGTCTTACCCCGAGTTTTAGTGTAGCGTCTCGTTCGAATTCGAAGGCATCATAGTCGGCTAGCTCCTAGAAGAGAATTATTTTATTTCCTCGAGCGAATATCTCGATTCGTCGTTGCGTGGCTGCTTTCTCTGCTGCGTGCCGCCCTTCTTTTTTCTGCGTAATAAACCCACTATCGTGTGTGTGTGCGTATGTGCCATGCTCGACGGCATGTATAACCACTGCGAGCTGCTCTCTGTTATCGTCCCGAAGCATATCAACTAGTAGCATCGCAGTATCGCATGCAGTTTCACGTCGTCGTCGAGCATCTGTCAAATTTCAGTAGAAGATTTCTCAAAGTACGCGACAGATCTGACGCGCAGTGCAGTATATAAACAACGCACCGAACAGGTGTCGTCTTCGTTGTTTACATCTGTCAAACTAGAGGAAAACCTTAGAGGACACCTGTTCGTCTCGAGATCGCGGATCGACGAATCATTTTTTCCATGTGTCAAATTCAAATTCATCGCGTTCTCTGCTTTTCATCCAAATGAATCTTTCGAGTCACCGATCGTTAGAGTTTTGATATAATATAATTATTAACGCCAAGCGTAGAAAAAAAAGTACGTGGGGCAAAGCAGCTGTACATGTATGAACCGAAAGTGCCAAAAAATAAGTATTCATAACAAGTACGATGAGTCTTCTTTCGTCAGCTATCGGCAGCAGTAATGCGGTGCGCTGTCTCGCCGACGAGGAGGTCGACCATAGCATGCTGCAAGGTGAGTCTGCACCGTGTACAATTGTGCATTGCATGGTTGAATATCGTATACGCTAGCAGAATACGAGAGCAGCGTTGTTTGCATCGCTCCGTCCCTCTTTCTCTCTCTCTCTCTCTCTCTCTCTCTCTCTCTCTCTCTCCTATTGTGTATATTTACAAAACTGCCGCCACACCGTGACAGACATTCGCCCCTCCCATGCGTTGTGATATCAATTAATTGTTAATTATATACGCCAGCGAAAGACATTCTTTTTAATTAACGTTACGTTCGTTTCCTCTGTCTAAGACTGTAATGGATACGATCGTGCGTGCATTCGTACAAAAAATTATTAAGTAAGAGAACGAATGCCGACAGAAAATAATGAACGTTTCCAAAGATATGGAATTAAATTATTTAAAAATATGCTTCGTTCATACTTTTGTTAATGACAAATGAGACATGAGTATGATAGTATAAGATTCTTATCGCAAAATTATTGTGAAAAGAACGATAGCTCAAAAAACAATGCATGTGTTCGTAGCGACCAAAAACATTTCAAATTTTCGTGACCCGTCCATTTATATTATTTTTTTTAATCTTATTATTCTTTAAAGAATACAATCTTAAATGGTTATAAAACAATTCTTCGTTAAATTAGAGTAACTAAAAAATCAGCTTTCAATTATCTAAAACAATTAATTTTCCCATTACTTTCAAACTTTCGTAAAGAATAATTTGCTTTAACAATATGCATAATGATCAATGAATTGTTACGTTAAATTAATTAATTATCAAGTTTTTATTGCACTTTCTAAATCAATTTATCGAGTTTTTTATTTCGCTAGCCGAAATCATAACAAGATATTTACTTCGAGAACGATACCATTCGTTGTTCGAAAATTCTAATTGTCTTGAAAAACATGCAAAGAATTTGAATTAATTTTCCTTTTTTTTACAGATTTACAATTAGCAGCGGAGCTCGGAAAAACTCTGTTGGAGCGTAATAAAGAGCTTGAAAATTCCATAAAGAATTATCAAAGCAAAGAAGAAGATCAAGCCATAGAAATACAGGTAAATTTACGAACGTCTTTATACCTCAATATATCGTATTTAGCTGTGTAATTCCCATAATTGGTCCTGTTTAACTTTTCAAATTATCATTACTTAAAAATTTTCTTTCAATATATTTTTTTATTTATCCAAAATAGCACTTGAACAAGCTAATCAAACAGCATAAAGATATCGCCGATCAAAGAATAAAAAATCTTGAAGGGTTAGAGGTAAACATACAAGATCTCGAACGAAATAATCTGCGACTGGCTCAGGAAAGCTCCAACGATAAAAAACAATTAAAAAAGTAAGCATCGTTCTCATTAACGGAGCAAATCAAACGACACATCCGAGCGTCGAGCTATACATTTTTGAATCATTTTGGATTTCAGTCAAACACACACTATAGAGACTCTTGAGAGTAAACTTGATGAACTACAAAAACAATATGACGATCTTTTGAAGCGATACGAGTCACTGCAGGACCAATGCGCGAGAGGCAACCAACTTAACGAATCGTCAACATCGACATCTTTGACCAATGAGCCATCTGCGAACAGTTGGCTTAGTTCAAGTGGCGATGAAAACTCTCAAAATGTACGATGATGACTTTTAAAATTTCAGATCTTCATACAATATCTAACTTAAAAAATTTTCTTTGTCTATCTCTGGTAATAGATGGATGTATCTCTGAGGCTTACAACTGGCCCGGAAATCAGATCCTTAGCGGACGTAAAGAGTTCATCAACGCCAATAAAGCCCGAAAACAATGAGGTGGAAAAGCTTACGAAGCAACTGCAGGATGCGCGCCGTCAGATGAGCCTCGAACACAGGAGTAACGTGGATCTCAGGGAGCAACTTGAAAAGCTGATAGAAGTTCATGTTCAGGTGGAGGACCAATTAAACGAGTTGAAAGCCAAGTCTATGGAAGTGAAGGACCTCCAGGATGAAATTATCGCACTCAGAGAAGCCAGGTCTGTATCGTTCGCTTTGTCGCTAGACATTTTTTAAATGTAATCGATCATAATTATTTATGCTAATTTTTTCTTTCCATAGACACGGTGACCTCTGCGATCGCTGCGGGAATGATCTGAACGGGTCGCGAACTCAGGCGGACATGAATCTCATGATGGAAGAAGATGATGATGACAGTTTAGTTGAGTCGTTTGCTGATAGTCTGCGCGAAGTCGAGAGATCCCACCAACGGGTAAGCAGAATTTTTTTTGTCCGATTTCATTGGTCACATTCATTAGTTTTGTTTCTATAAACATTTTCGTAAGATACTCGTCCTAGTCACTTATTTTTTTTTTTTTTTTTTTTTCATGCAAAGTTATAATTAAATTAGGTAACGAGATTGTTACCACAATTACAGGTACTATTTAGATATATTTCTGCGTTTAGTATATAAGTTATAGAGTCAAATATTGAATATAATTTAGCGATGATAAAAATATTCTTATATTATTAGAATTAAGAATTCTTATTGAATTCATCAAAGCAATGAGCTCAAATTTTTTTCCCCATAAATTTTAATATAACTTTCAAAATAAGTAACTGCAACAGAAAATTTACTATTATTGTTACTATTTTTTTAAGTATATTAATTTCGTTCTCTCTTTTGGCGCGAAGGCGGTTCAGCACCTCCGAAAAAATTAGTTAAAAATAAATATGAAAAAAAAATTAGAATTTCCATCTGAAATGGTTCACTCTATGATGTGTAATATATAATTTCAGTAAAAAGTAATTGGAATTCTTTAATTTAAGATTAAAATTGGAAAAAATTATTGAATAGAGACTGTAGAGTATATCACTCATTTTACTTTAAAATGATCAAATTTTTTCTAAAATAAATAAAATCTCATCTTTATTGGTCTGAAATTATTCATGAATTAACTTTGTGAAACTTCATTTTACTTTGCAGGATCCGAATGAAAAAAGAGAGAAAGAAATTTTAGAACTGCCTCGCCGCGGACGATTTGATTTTCGCGATAACTGCCTCGTAAAAAGAGTCCGTTTGCTTCAAAGCTTTGTTTTTCATCTTATACGTACTAACTTATCTGCCATCCACACATCGATGAAAAATTTTTTACAAAGATTTAATTTTGTAGCATTATGATTTATTCCAAGTATCCCTTATTCACTTATAATTTACATCTCCGCCGAATATTTCAAGTGAAAAAATTAAATTGTACCTGTTATACTTATCTGAAAATTCCAAAATAATTTTTTTAAAAGAATATTCAATCAATGTCGAGGATCTCGCATGATTACGTCTCAAACCCTCTGAGTGTTTATGATTCCTTGAGTAGGCATATGTACGCAAATTAGAAGAACAAGTTTTTATTAATAATTTTAGGTATTAATCTAAAGAGTTCTAGATTATATACTACGTAAAATATGAATTTTGCAAAAATTCGTACTTCTAATAGCGTAATATAATTCTTACCAACATAAATATTCGTTTGAAAAGCATTTTCAAAATTAATTTTTTTTGTCTCTTGGAATATTTAGCGCTATGTTTTTATGTCTTGAAATATTCAGCGTTTTGAAATTTGACATGTGTACATATTAGATTTAGTACAAATCTTAAAAGTGGACTATAGTCAATAATGATTTGTATAAGACTGTAGACTAAAAATGGCCATTTTAAAATTAGTTTATAAGTTCGATAATCTGAAAGAAATTCAGATAAAAATTTTGTGTGCCATGACGACTGTATATTTTTGCTATATAAGTATTTATTTTGCATAAAAATAATAAAATCCATTATTAGACATTATAGATTTTTTGCCTGTTTTGACTTTCTTTTGTGTTGTATCATAGCTTACTTAACGAATTTTTTTTCGGACCAAAAAAGTAACCGATCGTTAATCAAAATAAACAACAGTATCAAATAAATCCATCAAATAAATCGTATCAATTTCTAATGGGGGTAGATAAGTAAGAGCCTCACGTAAACGATATAAAATGATTGTAGGACTTTGAGTCAAGGCCGACGGAGCCAGAGAACGAGGCGAAACTCGAAACCCCGTGCAATTCGTACGGCGAACTGGTAGAGAAGTACGAAGCGCTGAAGAAGCTTCAGCTGAGCGAGGACTGCAGACGTCAGCGGGTCATTCAGTACGGACTGTCGCTGCAGGAGGAGCTGCAGATGTCGTGCTCGAACGAGTCGAAGCTCGAGCAGCAAACGAGCCCGCAGCCAAATCACCATCATCATCATCATCATCATCATCGTAGTAAAGGGACGAGCAGCAGCAACGATCCGCTGGAGGCCGACACGGCCTCGTCCGGCTTCAACGAGGAGACGAGCAGCAACAAGGGCACGCAGACCGAGGGCAGGCCCGGCTCGGTGCTCTGCTCGATCGCCGACAGCGACGACTGCAAGTTCAGCATCTACGACGACACGTCGGCGTTCGAGGGCCGGTTTCAGCGCACGCCCGAGTATCGCCGGCTCTTCAGCGAGATCTTCGAGGTGCTGAAGCGGGCCGCCGCCGCCAAGCAGGAGGGCTCGGAGCTGCCGCTGTCCGACGAGACACCGCCGCACCATCAGCGGGGCCTGGGCTATCTCGAGCTGCGCCAGGAGCTGCAGAAGTCCGACCAGAACTATCAGGACGACGCCAGCAGTATCGTGTCGCTGGCCGTGTCCTCGGTCGCCTCCGAGCCCGTGTTTCGCGTGCACACGCCGCTCTTCGGCCATCGGCAACAGTCGCAGCAGCAGCAGCAACAACAGCAGCAGCAGCAGTCGCAAAAATCCCAGGGTCAGCCCTCGCACGGCCAACCGTTGGAGTACCTGTCGGTGCAGGTGCGCAAACGGACCAACAGCAACCGAAAGTCGCGCAAGCAGTCCCAATCGTCGGCGACTCCGGACGTTGTGCCGGCGACTAATCCTAGGGTTACGCAGCTGCGCCACACCGGCCGCCGGGCCAAATTCCGTCCGATCGGCGACCTCAACAACGACGGCGGCAGCGGCTTCTGGGACGGCAGCACGGCCCACTTTTATCCCAGCCACAGATCGTCGGCTCGGGGGTCTCGCCGCGCGTCCACCGGCGGCCATCACCACCACCAGTCGCACCTGCAACAGTCGAGCCAGCTGTACAACGATCAGGACACGAGGCCGAGGATATCCTCGACCCCGGACGGCACCTACATACCCGGCACGGCGGCCGAGGAGGTGGCGAAGCTGCGTCGCCTCGAGATGTCCTACGCCGAGGTACTTCGGATGCCCAACAAAGCCCGGCGCAGTTCCAGTCGACAACGAAAAAGTCACCACTACCACAATCACATTCACTGAAAAGCGCCCCACGTCTGATGGAGTCGCATATAAAATTGTGCCGCCCTATCGTTTTTAATATCAGTTTGTTTCATGTATGTGTTTTTGTGTATTGTTGAGTTTTTTTTTTTTTTTACAAACACGAACTACTACTGCGACTTTTTATCTTGTGAACTAGATTTACTTCATCTATTCAATTATAAATAAGTATTAAAATTGGCTTTATTGTTTGGCGTAGCCATGCTCCGACAATACTTTACTCATTTAGTTTAATAAAATTTATTGCGTAACCAATATAACACAATCTGTCGTTTTTTCATTCATTCATTAATTCTCCATTTTATACGTACTAAATGCATTCAATTTCAAAGCAATTAATGATTAAAAATTTATTTTTTATTATCATATAATCCACACATTTTCGAATTGAAGGATTGCAATTAATTGTGATTTTTAATTAATATAAATATATGGTAGAAATGTGTTTAATATTAATTGAAATCAAGGAACTTGAAAAATAAAATAGTCAAAGCGGATAGTATCAAAAATGTTTTAATTTCAAACGTACAATAATACAACAAAAGATTTTAATCTCTTTGATTTGATATTTCAACTTTGGCAAGTTTTAGTTCGCTTTTAAAAAAAAGTGTTTGTTCCAATTTTGTGGTGGAAAACGGTTTCATCATATTTTATAACATGTAATTTTGTATTACAAAATAACAACTTATTTGCCAAGATAATATTAAAATGTAGTTTCTGATAGCCTTGTACACCTGAATATTTTAATTTCATAGAATAAGAAATTCAAATGTAATATTTATACGTTTAAAAACTCTACGTTATGCGTTTAAGAAATGCATTGATTAAGCTTCTGGTCATATGCCCATATATAAAGCCTGAAATATGGGAGTATCTTAACTCTTCCAGAAAATGTTCACTATTAGTTTTCTTTCTATAATTTGAATTTTTTAAAACTGAATATACATCATCTATATTGCGTCTGCAAAGATCGAGAAGCGAAACATTGTCTTTTATCATTAATGATCTTGCCCATTCAATTTTTTCGGCAACATCCTCAATTCCTGCACGAATTGGCCATGTGGAATCTTTTGAACTATTCAAACTCTTCATTTTCTTAGATATTACATTTAATTTGTCGGTATCTATGTATAACTTTCCAATTTGTACTATTTGGAGATAAAGATCGAGCATATAATGTACATATGCTTCAGTATATCCATGATTATTACAATAACTCAGAATAACGTTCTCGAGTTCTGATGCAGAACCTAGAAAGATTTTTAGAGTTAATAAAAAAAAAATTTATAAAGATCTTGAATCAAAAATTGCTTCCAGAATTACCTATTGTAAATAGAAAATCGAATTTATAATGGAGAACGTAATAACAAATTGTAGTGAATAAATCTTTTGCCGCGAGTTCACAGCTATTATCCATATATTCTACTTTATTCTTCATCAATTCGATAATATCCAGAACGTTTTGCACATAATAAAAGAAATCATAAAAGTTGTCACTCCTCTTGGTTCTACCTAAATGTTTCCATTCATACTTGACATTCTGCGCATCGGCACCATTATCCAGAAATAGTTTTACTAGATTGGAAACGGCCCAAGTCACAGCCACTTGTAATGGAGTATTTCCTTTGCAGTCTTTGGCGTTCACATCGGCTCCAAGGTCCAAGAGGCTTTTAGCTATTGTAAGATGGCTTGAACGATCTTCATCAGAGCAATAAATCCAGCTGGCGATTAAATGTAGGACGTTTTCTCCTTTTTCATTAACTTGCGAGACGTTAGGATTGTTTTTTAAAAAAAATTTCGATAACTCAAAAAGTTCACTTTCGAAAACCCTTATTCGGTTAAATAATCTGAACATGGGGCTGTGACCATTACCATCTTTGGCATTAATATCCGCCTTGTAACGAAGGAGAAGGTGAATCCATTCCATAGGATCGAACGGTTTGAGAAATCGTTTCGTCTTATCGTTCAAACAATCACAAATCCAGTGCAAAAGTGTAGTCTCATCTTCGCTGTAGACTAAGTTTGGATTAGCGCCATTTTTCAATAGCAATTCAGCTATATAGATTTGCCTGTTATCAAAGGCATGACGCAAAGGTAAAAGCATACCTTTTTCATGTCCAATATTAGGATTCGCGCCAGTTTGCAGTAATAATTGAACAATTTCATTCTGAGCATTGCCAACGGCTACGCACAATGGTGTGCAGTTAAACTTTCCGTCGGAAAGAATCTCATTGACATTACGATTCTTCAATTTGTTTAAATTGTCCCTCGATTTGAAAGCTGCGTCGTAAAGTCGATACAATCCACATGGATCGGTACAATTTTCAAAGTCGTACTCGTACATCCCATAGATTATATCGATACAATCATCAGGGCATTTCACAAATTTAGCAAAATCAATAATTTTTAATTTTCCAGTTGCGGGGTCTGGATAAAGTTTTACCTTAGAATTTTCCGCGCAGATGTCGATGATGCCAAAATGTCTGTTTCTAATAGCAAGTCTTAAAAGGTTCTCAATAACGACTGGTTTTGTCCACATTTTACTCTCATAAATTTCTGAATGTTTTTGTTTACAGCTCGGAAAATCGTTGACCATTTTCTCTAATTTAGAGTAGAGATCGGCGCACTCACGCTGTAATGTTGAAGAATATCTTCCTGACATTGTAGCTGAATATCAATTTTTAATTCTGAATTCCTAGTCGATTTCTTTTTTTGAGTTACAACGATTTTTCGTGAACTGTGAAGAGCACGTAGTAATTTTTTTCCCGTCCAGTAGCGTTTAATAATGACGGACGCACAAACAGACTAACATTCGACTTTGACCCGCACAACAAAATAGTTCTTTTCACGTGAATTGAGTTTGGAGAGCAAAATTATAGAGAACAGAGAGATGCCTAGAGTCGATTAAGATGATAACGCAGATGTTTACATATACGTAGCTTTACTTATTGCTGGCTGTTTGGTACGCAAAACAAAACTCAGTGTGTATCAGAGGAGATACCTAATGCCAAGTGAAATAAGAGAATTTGAAATTTAACAAGTCGGAGCTGTTAATGTTACAATTAATTTAAATATAGGAATAAAACAAACAAACGAAAGACTCAAAATCATTGATTAAATTTTCCAAGTTTTACAAGTTTTCACTATACTAACATAATGATTTTCATTCTATAAAAATGATTTGAAAACTACCATCAAAGAATTTTTTTTTTAATAAAATTCTATTTTGTGAAAAATTTCTGAAAAACCTTGAAAACTACTGAATAAGCTTATCCAACGTCAAGCCGAATTGGCAACGGCCTGTTGGGAAACAATTTTAATTTTTCATTGAAAAAATATGTAAAATAGCGTGAAAATTTCCATTGTAAATCACTTTAAAGACCTACGGCATTTAAACATGCAATGTTAAAGCGTATTTCACTTTTCTTTTGTATTTATAAATACAGTTATGATGAAAATTAACTTTTAAACCTTTTTTCCTAATATTTTATAAAGGTATTTACTAAACGACAAGTATTAAAGAAACGAGTTTGGAAAGTTTAATTTTCACTTTAACTTCGGCAATCGCGTAACTTGAATTTCTTCTAATTTGCTTGATTAATATCGCGAAAGATTTAATTCATTTTCATAAACGAATATCTTTAAAACAAAAACAAAAATGAATAATAAATTGAAATGAAGCGGTCATTTGTAAGTTTTCTATTAAAAGATATATATAATTATGACTTGAAATATTATAAATATTTTCAGTTTCTATATTGTTCTTAGTACTGCAGAGAATTATCGTTAGACTTTGCATATAAGGGTTTAAAAATTCTTTTTATTTATTTTTGTGTTCAAACGTTGCAAATTGATTATTTTTTATATTATAGAACAAACAAGTGATATTTATATATAAGTCGTTTTTAATACAAATGTTATAGTGTTCTTAAAATAAAATATAGAAAATTCACTGATTTCTATAAGGAAAAATGTAGTTAATAAATGGAACGATGCACTAAATTAGATTGAAAACCTGAACCTCTTGAGCTGTAAAACAAAAAATATTACATGAATATTTAAGACATTGACTTATGCTCGGCTGGAAAAATCATTTGATCTTACTTCGCTAATACTCTATTAGATGATGTGGATGACGATGATGTTTTTGGTCTTGGATTAACGAGCAAACATTTCATGGGATGTCCATCTAACTGACGATTATGGTACGTCTCGACAGCTTTTGTTGCATCTTTCAGTGTTTTATAAATAACTTCAGCAATTCCTGGCCTTACTAATCTTGAAATCAACAGTTCTCCAACGTCTTCAAATAATTCCTGATGGCAAATTTATTTTATTAATATAGGGGTGAATTTCATGCCTAAAAAAACTCTTTTGAAAAAATTGTACCTTGATATCTTCTTGAGTGACATTTGGTTGTAGATTAGATACAACAATTCTGAATCCATGAGATGTTGGAGAGCTATTGCTTTTAGAATGAGAAGAAGTTGCTGGAGAGCGAGTTGGCTTCATTGGTGAAGAATCTAATCTAGATTTAACTCCAGTTTCTCTATGGTTCCTTGAGGAATAGTATTTGGATTCCATTGAACTTTCTGGTAAAATTGTTCTATAAGAATAAAATTTCGTCATATTTCCCCTCATTTCCACATTAAAGTAAAAAACTAATAAAATTATTAGAAATAAAATTATGTATTTTACCTCGTCTTTGAAGCATAAGGCCAAGAATCTTTGCTTTTGTAAGATGTTGATGGCTCCATTTTTGTTGACTGCAACAATAATTGCATTATTTAATTTGAAAGAAATTAGTTATTATTTTTTAAATAAAAAAAAATATGGAAATTTAATCAAATAATCTTCTTACCATTCCTGTACGAGGAATAACTTTGTAATCACGAGGTCTGCTGTTATGATCTGAAATTCGCACTGATTGATTTCTAGGTGCAGGGGCAGTATGATGTACGGGAACTGCTTTGTCCCAATCAAAATAGTTATTAGATTTAAAGTTGAACATAGCAGGATTCACTGGAACTTCCTGGTAATTGACAGTTCTTCTAAGACTAGCTTGACGTTGTTGATCTATAAGAAAATCTAATAAAACATTAATTTGTAATCTTACAACTAGCTTTAAAAATTTTTGAATAATAACATTATCTTTCAGATAAAATTTTAATAAAAATGATAAGTTTAATTAACTATCTATTCAGAAGTCAAATTAATAAAGCAATATAAAAATAAATATTATGTTAATCTCTATATTACAGGTTACTTCAGCTGCCAAATAGACTATGCTTAGCATTATGAACTGTTGTAATAAAATATTCTTTACCTTCTGCATAATTCATGAGCATATCATTGAAAAACTGAGGATCTGGTGAAACTGGAGGTCTGTAGTTCACAGTCCTTTGTGTATCTACTGTTACTGGACGTGGAGCATGCATTGGAGGGTACTTTGATGAAACTACAGAAGCATGCCCATTTCTAATTGGCTTGTGTACTTGGTTTTGAGACACAATTTTTTTAGGATTAGAAGCTCTCAACTTCTGCAATTTCAAACGGGCATCACTTTGCTTAGCAATTTGTGCTAATTTATCTCGTGCATCAGTAATATGTTTCCTCTTTTTTTGTATTATTTTGAAACGAGCATCTTCAATTCGATGCAAAGGCTTTGATCGACCATTTGCAGCACCATTTGGTTTCGCTCCATTTTTGGCAGAATTTTTTGGGTTTCTGAAAAGAGTGTTTTTGTTAATTACAAATCAATTTATGCAGTAATTAATATTAAAACTTAAAAAAATAACCTATTTAATGGGTCGAACACTTTGATAAAATGAAAAAGAATTCGATTCATTATTATGAATGATGAATAAAGTTTTACTGAAAACACTTACCCTCTACCACGTAATCCAGGTTTTGATGTCCTAGACTTTTTAATAATATCATCGAGACTCTCTAAGTTCGACATGTTTTCGGATTGCGGTACAGATTCCGGTGCTGTTTAATGGCGTTGAACAAAAAATCAAATAACTTCCGAAGAGATAACGCCACGTAGAGTTGCAAGCACAGCAAAAATAAACAAAAACTTATTCACTTTGATTCCATAAATACATCATATATGGAAATAATAACGAACTATGGAAACAATTCGTTGATTTGGGAGAAGTCCGGCTCCACGATTACAAGCAGAGCGACGCTGTAGCAGGGCAGCACTCGTCATCCATCGAGCAGTAGAATATAGTCTCTGCCTGTACGGGAAATGGACGGAGTGGGGGGACTCTCCTGTCCGAGTCTCTGCGTATCTCCATTTTCCTGCAGCGGGCCAAGAAATACTTACATTTATGCCCCACAGCGCCACTGAACGACGTGAATAATTTTCAAGAATCGCAGGCCTCGGCAACTCAGCTCGATCAGCAATGTTTGAGGATGCCGATTGTCGAGCCTTTGGCCGTTCAGCAAGCCGCTTTTATATGAAAGCTGGACATAATTTAATAGAAACTAAATTGCTTAAAAAAAATACATTGATTCAATTGTTTTGCAATTTCGATTAATTTTAAGGAATTTTAAAGTATTACTTTGCAGAGAAGTTTTTAAAGATGAAGTAGTATATTATTGCCGAAGAAAATTTTTTATTTAAGCTAAAATTAAATGAGTAATACAAATTATTTAATTAATATTGATAATAATGTATCTAATTCAATATGTTAGGTATAGGATTTTAAATTAAAACTTATCATTTTTGTCGATGTTTGCGCTGGAGTGTATTTGTAACCATTTGATCAAATGGGTATTCTTTTCTTTCATGGCAAGAGCTAAAAATATTTTGTACCATTCATCATCGGTATTCAATTTAACTCCTAAAAATATATACGATTTCTTAATTATATCTTTGAGACGCAAAAAAATTATCAATTAATATCATGGGTCAAAAAGAAAGTATCGTATCAATTTTCAACTCTGCCTCAGTCGTAATTAATACGTGTGCTGGAACTTTTGGTTTTTTCGTGGCCTATATGTAACATATGATTTTTTTCTATTTCAATGTTAATGATTTTGTAAATTAAATTTACCTTTCTTTTGTAAAATGTCAAGGCATTTAAAATCTTTCGATGAAGTAAACAAATAATGATGTAAAGCCATGCATAGAGCATTTTCACCTGCCACCGACAGTCGTTTGGGATCAGCTCCTGAAAAAATTATTTCGAAAAAAAGAAGACAAACATTTCAAACAACGAAACTTTTCATGCTACTTGTGAATCCAGAAAAAAAATTCTACCTTTAGCCAACATGTATTCAACTAAAATGTCATTACCACGAAAACAAACTTCGTGAAAAGGAGTAGCTCCATTTACTTTGACATTAATTAATTCTGGGAACTTGTATGAAAACTCTAGACATTTTATTGAACTGTATGTAGAAGAACAATTCTAAAAAGTATAAAATTATAAATATTAAATCGAAATTATTTCTATTAATTATATTTACTAGTTTTGTAAGTTTGCTTACATTAGATATGCGGTGAAATTCATGGACAATTTGTTTATGAAATCTTGAATTGGATTTGCACACAGTTTCACTAATTTTTTTACTATTGCTTTGATCGACATTCAAATACATTTTACAGTCGAAAATAATAATGATCAATACAACAGTTACGATTAAGCTTCCGATCGCACATATAGTTATATAAGAGGTATTTTTGAGATCTTTCAAAATAAATAAATAGTTTTTCGTAAATACCGCTAAAATGTTAGTAGCACAAACGATGACTCTATTCATAAGAGTAATAATTTTTACGACTGCCGACATTCCAATAATTTTTTATAGAACTATAAGCTTCTAAATGAACGTTGAGCTGAAGCGGCTTTGAGGTTTGAGTTTCTGAAGCTTTGAGCAGCTTTTAACTCGTCTTTCGAGTAATAAATCAAGTTTTCACGGTTAATTTTATCTACAAAATAGTCAATTTAAAGTTCTTATTAATTTAAATAGCATAAGTTAATTAAAACTAAAGTATAACCAAAAATCAAAAGTATATTAGATTACTATTTGAACAAATTTTGCCACGTATGCACTTTTTCAGCGAAACGAGAGATTACGATACAACCGTTCAAACGCTGGTGCTGTAATGTTGATTCAAAAAGTATACTCGGCTACTTACATAATCCCCTAACATATTTTATGGTCTATTTTCTACCAATTCTTGAAAACAGTCCTCGTTTAATTTAAAAATGACTCACTCGAACGGTAACGCATTCGAACGGTAACTTGCAAGTTTGAGATAATCGATTTTTTAACAAAAGCTTTCAGATTAGCAAAACTCATGAAAATATTTAAAAAAATTAATTAAAATGATCATTAGACCATTATAAAATCAACTTTGGACTGGTATAAATAATAGTTTTTGCATTATTTCATTTAAAAAATTTCAAAGTTAATAATCGTCATACTTGAATAATCCCTACTCATTTAATTTTGAAATTAATTCGAGAACCGATCATTTACTCTTTTAATGCGTAACAGATTGCAAAATATGCACTTAGTAGTTATCAGTTACCTGTAAAAATGTAGGGTTCAAGACGGCTCGTAGTATATAAACAAACCGTCGAAAGAGAGCGTCATTGTCGCCTGTTGCATGCTTCGAAAAATTATCACTGCACAGAAAATTAATTCAACTGACACTGACGAGCTGCAATTTTCTACGCACAGGTTGAAGGTCACATCGATCGAAATAAGTGAATAAATCGAACGAAATTCAATCAATATGAAATAATAACGCTTAAAGATATTTTCTTAGGTTATATAAATCTGATTCTAAAATTAAAATAGCGATCAGTTGCAGTTGCATCGGCTCATAATGATGTAGTTTCTGTGGTGATTCCTACTTCATGTTTTGACTTGAATAAAACAATGCTAATTGCGAGTCACGCGGTGCGAATCGCCGACAGTTATTAAGTATAGATTATTAGTTGATTCCATTCCCATGTTCTTATTATTGTTCGCCGACTTGTGTGTTCGTAAATTTCGAAAAAAATGTTCCATAGTGTAATTGTTATCTTTCAATTTAGAAAGTCATCTTTAAACGTATGATTGTGAAATTTTTTTACTGTTTTCTCATTCAATAAGCTAGTATACTTCTTTAGAAAATGTCAGGTCAATTTAAACTGCATTAATACTTTTGAAAACTTTAGAAAAAAAATTTTATTCTCATATTGCGTATAAAATATTTACAAAATGGTTAACACTGGTTTATTGGTGCTCACAAATCCTTCCAAAATATCAAAACTCTTGCCAGCTATAAAAAAGCATGTGCTGAAAACATTGTATATACAGTATTTTCCAAAACACAATATCATCTTGTCAAGTGCTTACTCACCACCAACAACAAATTTTAAAGGACCTCAATACTCTCAAGTTGTGGCAAATATATATGCGCTTGCAACTAAATATTCTACAAACTTAGATGTACGAGTATTGTTAACAAGTTTAAAACAGCCAAATGTGTCCATTACCAGGACCAAAAAACCTATAGAATTAGTCATTTTTGATAAAATATGTAGTAGCTCTGATGCAAACACTTTTATGCAAGATTGTATATCAAATATATCAATGGGTTGCACATTCATTACCCTTGATGAAAAGTGTAACGAAGAAGATACTAATGATAGTAATGTAAATAATTCCCAGGATAATAACATTTATCAAAGTGTTGTTCTAGGGGGTACATTTGATAGATTACATAATGGTCATAAAATATTACTGAGTGAAGCTATACTTAGAAGTTCTCATAAAGTTACAGTTGGAGTAACGGATTTAAATATGAATCAACGTAATAACTTTTTTTAAATTTCTGTAATATAATTATTTAAAAATTTGAATTACTAATGATTTTAGGAAAGCTTTTGTGGGAAATAATTCAACCATGTGATATTAGAATCAATCTTTTAAGAGAGTTTGTAGAAGATATAGATTCAGACTTGAATTATGATATTGTTCCAATATCTGATATTTATGGGCCTACAAAAAGTGATCCAACTTTTGAAATGATTGTTGTGAGTGAAGAAACTCAAAGAGGTGGACATATAATCAATGAAGAACGTATTAAAAATAAATTAAATCCATTAAAAATTTATGTTGTCAAATTAATGGAAGATCCAATGAATAAAGAACACGAAGAAACCAAAATTAGTTCAAGCAATCATAGAATGCGTTTGCTGGGAACAAGATTAAAAAAACCTGTAAACAATCTTTCTATCATTAGAAAAATATTGAAAGTTACAATACATTCAAAACAATTATAAATTTTAGGTTGTTGATAATAAACCTTTGAAGCCATATATTGTCGGATTGACAGGTGGTATTGCCAGCGGTAAATCATCTGTAGCTGCCAAGTTACAAAAATTGGGTGCTGGTTTAGTAAATTGTGATTTAATTGCTCATTCTTTGTATGAACCTGGTATGAAGTGTTATAAATTAATTGTTGATACATTTGGATCGAATTATGTAAACGAAGATGGTCAAATAAATAGAAAAGCTTTAGGAACATTAGTTTTTAATAATAAGGTACGTCAAATGCAACATTTTTCTTATGTTGATTTATAAGATTAAATTTCATTCAACAGGCAGAATTAGAGAAATTGAATCAGTTACTGTGGCCAGTTATACTTGACGAAACTATGAAAAAAGTTGAAGATTTACACAAAGGTGGTCATGATGTTATAGTCATAGAAGCTGCTGTTTTAATTCAAGCTGGCTGGCAAAATATTTGTCATGAAATTTGGACATGCATTATTCCAAAAAAAGAGGTATAAATTTGAATGAAATTTTTAAATTTAAAAATTAATTTTTTCAATTTTTTTTGAAGGCTATAAAAAGACTAATGGATAGAAATAAACTTAGTGAAGAAGAAGCAGAAAAAAGAATTTTTGTACAACCTAGTAATGTTGAACAAGTTCACAACGCTCATGTAATTTTGTCTACATTGTGGAGTCACGAATTTACTGAAAGTCAAGTTCAAAAAGGGTGGTCAGAGATAATGAAAGATTTGAGTAGAGCCTAGCTTATGATATTAAAAAATATATGCATGTATTTAACTCTTTGTTGAATCGTGCAGGTAAACACAAATATATACACTATTTATATTTTTCAATTGGTATTTTTTCTTGTTTATGTCAAAAAGTAGAGCTGTTGACCTAAGAATTAAATGAATATTCAAAGAGTATTACTGTCAGTTATTCTTTATTTTTGATTCTACATTTACATTGAAGATGAACATGTGATTATTTCATAATATGAAACATGAACTTATTAATCTAATTTAAATAATGAATTTGTTCAGGCTAAAAGCTAAGAGAGACTTGCTAATTAATAATTTATCTTAATAAACAACTTATACCTTCAATCATTTAAATTAGCATTGTTAGTATTTTGACTATAGATGTCTGTTTCATCGTACAGCTTATCTTAAGATCTAAGCATAATAAGGATCCAAAGAGTTGTGCCAAACAATGTGGTTTACGGACAATTATTGTATGATATTTCACAATATCTTCAGCTGAATACTCACATGATCCAAAAGATAATTGTTGGTTGTCAGATTCGATAATTTTCAATTCTTTAAACTTTTAAAAGGACTACAAATTTACATGCAACAAAAGTATTCTATGTTCACAATAAAAAATAAAATTATTTTTTTCACAGTTGTCACAAATAAAACTATGAAGCGATTAAAATACACCAATAATACCGTTCATTGTAATATTTTATACAATGAAGTTGCACTAAAATTTAATTAAACTTCTCTCTTAACCCATATTGACATCTTCATTTTCTTCAGGATATGTGAGATTATATAAGGCAAGTAGAGCTGATTTGGCTGCCATCTTCTTAGCATCTTTTTTATTTTTGGCTGCAATGAAATTCATATTTTTAAATATTGATTGACACAGTATAGAAATTAAATTATTTTTAACTAACCAGCTCCTGTGTATTCTTTCCCATCGATTTCCGTCCCAAGAGTAAACATAGTATTAGGTGGGTTACCAACACGGCATACTTCATTGTAAGTAACACCTGGTCTCATTTGATTCAACAGCATAACAGGGTGAATTAAGGTAGCATTTGGTGGCAACTCCTTTTGAGTAACTGTTTTGCTCATTTCTTTTTTGATTTTGTTAGGAGAAATACCAGGTCGTGGTACAGGAACCACTGTACCTTGATTTTGCCACTCAAGGAATAATTTGTAAAGAGCAAAACTTGCTAATGAACTCCATGGAATTTCATCCACTTCTTCATTTGTTTCCATATTTTCTGCTTCTTTATTCACTGAAGCTTCTGTTGACATTGAATTATTGCTTGATGCTGCTTCATTTTCAGCATCAAGTCGCGCTTTCATAGCTGCAGCAGTCATTTTTTCCAAGAGCAAACTCTTTAAAGCATTTTCAGCAGCATTTTGTCGAGCAAGGGGTTTCGATAAACCTTGTCCCACATATGTTTTTCCATCAATCTAAATTCATTTAATAACAATTAATAAATATTTCTATTCTTTACTCATAAATAAATTATATTCTTAATATTACCTCTGCATGAACAAGAAAAATAGAACTGGGTAAATTGGCTTGCGTTTCAGGAAACGTAAACTGAACTCCAGTTTTCATTTCATTCAAAACCATGATGGCATTCTTTGGTTGCAAAGTTTTCCTAAGTCTTTGATTCATCCGCAACCTTTTCAGCTTTCTGTTTACTTTTACTATGTCAAAAAATGTTTATATTTAATTTACACAATTTCAAGATTATTTTTTATTTTTTATTAGTTTAAGATTATTGTCAGTTTTTTCATTCACATTGATTAATTTATGAATCTAGTAATCAACAATATTTCTATTGGATACTCTAGACATCTAATAAATACATCTTCAAATTTGCGCAGTGAATGTCATCATATATATTTTTTTATCTAATAGCATAGCATAAAACGAATTTTTTTGCACACATAGTGCGTAAAAGCAAGTATGAAGATTTCAAGTTTTAGCGTAAACTAAAGACATTAGGTTAATAAAATAATTATTAAATTTTACATACATCCTGGAGTTTTACGTCTCCACTTTGGAACATCTTGAGACTCATTATCCATTCCTTCTTGACCATCTTCAAAATCAATATCTTCATTGGTAAGTTCCGGGAGTTGTAGTTGATTTTGATTTTGTGGTTGAACTTGACTAGTGTGTGGATTGGTTCCAGGGCTAGTTTTCAAAATAGGCTTCAGACGCTGTGGAGTCCCCATCATATTCACCTGTTGTTGTGGTTGCATATTTGGAGGTGGTTGTTGTTTAGGCTGAGGGGTCCGCACTGCTTGTTGTTGATGAGTTTGCTGCTTGAATGATGTAGTGTTAACCTGATGCTTTTAAGGTGTTGGCTGATTCTTGTTGCCATTTTCATAATTGCCTTGTTGATTTTACTACAAAATACAGGACGGGAGAATGCTGCTACACAAGGAACCTCAACGGTTGAGCTATTCCATCAAGGCCTAGTTTCACAACAAGCTTTGTTGAAAACTCTAATACTGACCCCACAACAAAACATGACACCAATTTCCTCTAATTTCTGTCTATTGATAACAAACTTGGATATAAGTTTGAATTTCATCAAAAATTTTGAATTTCAAAAGTACATCATGCAGTTTCTATTTTCTTCACATGTTCAACATTTTTTTAGAACATATTCAGATAAATACAAACTTTGCATTATCAAACTTGGGTTGGCAAAAATTACATGGAAATCGCATTAATATATTATGTTATGTGGGCAGTTGGTGTGTTCTAGCCCTTGGTGGAATGCACATCCTCAGTATGGTTGTATAGCTACTACACTTTGTTTGGTAGAAGTGGGACAGGAAGCTCTAATTAATAACGGTTAAAATTGATACAATTTCAAGTTGTAAAAATATTATGATAATTAAACCGTTACCAAGCAATCCCTCATTGTTGAATTCTTTACAATAATGAAGTTAATTACATTCTAATGAGAGTTAAAAATACAAGACAATGAATCACATGAAAAGTATATCAGTAAATTGCTTTTGATTTTTTTAATACTTAAATGCATTATAAAAATGAGATCATTAAAAAAACATGAATTTCAACTTACAGTTGGGACTTGAAACTGCTGATTTTGAGGGCGCTGAGGAGTACCTATAAATTAAAGAAAGGGAGATGAAATAAAAGTATAAGTATTTTTATTATGCATAGCATCTAACAAAGGTCACTTGTTGAAATATGAAACTATCACAAGATTAAATCACATTCGAGAAAGTATATAGTGATAGGGCTATCTTAAACTTAATGCGACGCCATTTTGACGCAAGATTGAGTTATTGATTATTTATTACGTCGCAAGATGCAGTTCGGTGAGCTTAGCGAGTTCAAGAGAAATAAAATAGTAGCAAGAGAATAAAACAGCTCGATTAAAATAAAACCTTTCGTTTTTATGTTGACTCAACGGTCCGGAGCGATACTGAGTTGGAAAGCTTCCAAGAACTCTCGACTACTTACACAAAGGATTGTACGAAAAAGCTAAAATTTTCTTTGCAAATCAAAATACGAATACGCGTATGATCCCACGTGTTTCATTGACGTATTATCGATCCAAGACAAACTTCACTTCACAGTTGTTGAGGCTTTTTATATGCTACGAAACAAACCCTTACCATCATTGAATTGTTGACTCATTCTGCTTCTGGTGTACATTATCAGTTCTTGTACAGTTGATTGTAACAAGTAATCCAATTTCCAATTTAGTTTCAAGTGAAGATATAAATACTACAAGAGCATTAGCAGATAGCGAAATGAAGAGGTAAATAATGAATTACCAGATAATCTATACAACCAAAATATCAGATAAATTCTGATGCTGCCTTAGCAAGACTGCTGCAGGCTAATGAATAATGAGTAGGACGAATAGTCGTCGCGAGTGGTGTTGTAGTTCAGCGCTGTGCTGACTGAAACTTGACTGTCAAATTATGACAGATAGTTACGGCGCGCAGCATAAAAACATCCAAATTCACATTAGGGCATGGCTGGACTTTTTTTATAAGAACTTATTGGTTAACGTCGAGCGAATTTTCATCGCTGAGTTGAAAATGAAATACTTTTTAGCTTTACGATATTTCAATTTGATCTGAAAAGATATAATAAAAACAAGCTGAAAATAGGTGCAAATTGTAATTAAATTTCAAAGAATAGTACGCGTAAAAAGTTTCCAGTTAATTCATGTTTCTTGCGTAATTTTAATGATTTTTGTCACTACAAACATCGCAACAACTATTTCATCGATTATTTAATTTTACCTTTACGCGCCCGAAATATCAATTCATTTATTAAGATTATTTCAGTAGTGGACGCTGTACCACTTACCATTCTACCTACACAGGCGAAGCCTGAACTGCAGGATTATTTTTTTATTTAACTCCGCGATGCTCCTTATTCAATCAAGTATATTAAAGTAACTTGTCGCGAGTTTTCCAAGGAGAATACGTATTAGTTTCCAACAATCGCGGAGTTAAATAAAAAAATAAGCCTGCAGTTCAGGCTTCGCCTGTGTAGGTAGAATGGTAAGTGGTACGCATCGTCCACTACTGAAATAATCTTAATGAATGAATTATTTCATCGATGAAAATTTTGAGAGAAATGATAAATTTTTTCAATGTATTAAATCCTTTACAATGGGTTGCTCACAACGGTTGTCGATTCGTGATTCGTAGATATTGCAACGCAGTGGTTTTTCATAAGAATAATGAGATTCACCTGCTGCCATTCAATTTTATATTTTCATATTTTTGTATCGTTATATCGAAAATATCGTTATCGGTATCGAACATCGTGAAATTCGACCAACCAATTACGACTACTCATCGCAAACGCACAATATAATACGTATATATGCGACGGAGCTAAAAGAGCAGCAGTGCGAATATCACATATCGAGCAATGATCGAGGCGGAGCTACAGGCGCACATTTTATTTTAGTATATCGCGATCTCGGTTGGAGCTCGCGCGAGTAACCTCGACGTTATTCAGTGTCTTAGCCAATACAGTCGCGACGCTCTTGACGTTTTCAAGTTTACAATCTAAAACAATGCGTTCGTAAGCGGTCTAGCCGAGTGTGCCGAGATGAACGATCTAAACTGGAGCCGAATAATAGGATCTTGCGTTCGACCCGATCGGATTTCGACCGAGCAGCTCGGACACTGAAAGAAAATTCGTATCGACTATGTCTGCTTTTGTGCGTAGAATTCGATGCGTTTGCTTTTGTCTCGAGTAGTATTACAATCGAAGAAGGTCTATAATAGCGATCAGCGTCATGAAAATTTTAAGTACGAATTAGCCACAGGATAGTGGAGTAAACGAGTTTTTTCGATTCGAAGCTGCACGCAACAACTATTCATGGAAAAATAAGCCTTTATAACCAGTTATGAAATGGCGAGCGAGGTATATATACGCATTAAATAATGATAATAATACGCGCTAGATTACAATACGTATATGTTTAATCAGTTGCCACGTTATTTTTATTACAAGCAGATCTCGCTCTTAGCTCTTTCGGCCGATGAGTTATTCTTCGTTTCATGGGAAATACTTATTTTTCTACGCAGTTAATGTATTCGACCGTAAATAGTTTATTTATAAACAGCACGAGTTAATTTTTTTTTTTCAATTTAAACATTAAACTTTTTTGTCTCAGAGATGGGTAACAAAAAGCTCGCAAGTACGTTTGTTAATGAGGGGAAATCTTTTTTTTCCATAGAAAAAGTTTATCGGTAATTTACAGATCGATTCGCGCGCTGCGCCTAGGATGAGCAACTAGTATGGGAAAAAGCGGACCGGTTACATACGTAAATGAAAATAAATATTTAAATGAACGCTCGAATTAAAATAAGAATTTTTATTCTTATTTTAGACTTCATGTTGATAAAATCGTTTTACATTTAAGATGAATGAATAAAATATATTCAGACGAAATCTAAAATGTATTTTTCGTTTCGTTTTATTGTTCGATATATTAAATTTTCAAAAATGTTTTGTACGCTTTGAAGCTTTTTCAAATGTTCTCGTAAGTGAAATTTTTAGATTTTTTTATTGATCTGTTAGTTTTTTAATTTTGTAAATTTCCTGTAACGGAAATTACGAATGGCTTAAGCTTCAAGTTCTCAAGAATCCGGAAGTGTCACGTGTCTTATCTTCACGGACTTCATACATGCCCTGCTGTCGTGATTTTTTTTTGAGATCGAAATTTTTTATATGCGCGTGCAAGCTGGGTAATAGTTTCTTAATTTCGTTAGCGAGAACTCCTTTAATGACGGCATTATGACCAGTGGTACTATTGATTATGGTAATTCCGAAAAAAAAAAATTAGTGAAGTTTATATTATTCGTTTAAGGTTTGGTAATGAATGAAAAATCATAACAATTAAACATGGAAAAATTCATTATCTTTTAGGTGAAATGGGTAATTTTTTTGGCATTTCTCTACACAATCAGTGCCCGAACAGAAGAAGATCAGTTATCGATTACTTCATCGTTCGTGGCTGACAAAACCCCTTCGATTCCAACGAGCACTTCGAAATCGAGTTACAATGCGGTCTCGGAAAAGTGCTTTTATCGACCCGTATCGGATTGCCCCGCGCCGGGCCAATTACCATGCAAAAATCTCACCCTGAACAATGGTAATTCGGAAATCCATGGCATCATTTGTTGCAACTTGAATGACAGTCACAAACTAGATGATATTTTAGCACAAGCCAGTGAGTTTTTCAATTAATCGATTTTCTATTATAATCCGACTTATCTAATACTTACTTAAACTTTTTCGCTACAGATTTTACCGCTGCCAATGTGGCATATGTTCATATTATCAACTCTACTTTCGAATATTTGGACGCGAACGCCGTTCGCTGGAGGATGCTCAAGTCGTTGGCCATAACCGATGGTAAAATCAAGAGTATCAAAGGTCAATTTCGAATCATGACGCCGATAATTTGTCTCAACTTGTCGAACAATGGCCTACTAGAGATGGAAAACAATTCGCTCAGTCGCTTGGCTCAATTGACAATTCTCGATCTTTCTCACAATAACTTGACGCACCTTCCAGCTTTTCACATAATGACTGGGAGGGAACTGTGGCTCGATATCTCTGGTACGTATCAAATGTAAAGCTGCAAACGGACGCAGTGTCTAATTCAAAACGATTATTTGAAATTGGTTTTATGACTCTCATTGTAGGTTCAGATACTTTATTGTGCCATGATATTTATCAAAATATCAATAAAACAGGCGAAAATCAAATAGTCTTCAATCGTGAAAATGAAACTGTTTGCTCTTCTAGTAAAACTTGGCACTGGTTTAATGCCACTGCTCAAGTTCCCTTAAAACAAGTGCGATATTTGAGTTCTGTAAGTATGAATAATTTTTTAAGGAATTATCTTGTATTTTTATTATTACTTCTCAATATACCATCGCCTGCTACCGATTGATGTTACCACAGTGGAATTTAACATTGACTTAATAATACTTTAGCTTCAAACAGAGTGCCCTAGAGGAGAAAATTGGATGTGCATTTGTGAATTTAGCAGATTGGAACTTTTAAAGGATAAATTGCCAACATTTGCCGTTAGTGTGGATTGTAGCAATAGAAAATTGATGAGTCTTCCTAAGAAATTGCCACGCAATACTATATCACTGAATGTCTCTTACAATAATGTAAGAAATTTTTCGTCATTTTTTTTGTTAATCAGTCTCACAAAAAAATTAATTTATTGTTTACATTTCTTATTTGCCCCTTTAAGATTTCATCACTTGAAGAATTGAATACAAATCCTACATATAACGGTCTTCGAGAGTTCATTGCCGATTACAATTACATTTCATCCATAAACGCCCTGGAAGGCTCCAAATTTTTAGATAGTTATGCTTTTCTTAGTTTAAGACACAATGCTATTAAATCGGTACGTATTAATGCTCTTTTTTTCAATAGTAAATAAATAGACCTAATATTTTCAACGAATTGTTTATTGTTGCAGTTATCTTTTTATATATTAGCCGGTAATGTGAATGACAAAAGTTTTAGCAGTAATAGATACGGTATTCGTTTCGGTGGAAATGAATTGCATTGCAATTGTGATATGATAAAATCTTTGAAGGTAAAACTTCTCGAGATATAAAAAATAATTTTTTTAATTACTTCATAAACCGTGTTAATTGCAGGAATGGGTTCAAACCAGAGTTCTGGACTTTGATGAAGTGATGTGCGAACATGTCAAAGAGAGGGTCGTTGACCTGGAACCATCAAAAATGTGTAAAAGTCCAAGTGATTGGACAGACTATCTATTTTACGTAGCTGTTTTTGAAGGATTAGTTTTCATAAGTTTACTACTATGTTTTTCTTACGACTATTATAATTACAAGACAGTCGGCCGATTGCCGTGGGCAGCCAGAAAAATGCCTCGATTTCATTGTGGTTTATTATGTGAAACTTAAAGTAAATTGAATTTGTTAAGTTCAAGTGAAAGTGAAATTGAAGTAAATAGACTTGAATGAGATTTTAACGATATAATTGTTGTAATAAAATGTAATATTACCTCAGTGCGAACAAGATATCGTGAAAAACAAAGTTACTGTGGAACAAATATTACCGTTGCACAAAAATGATAATGGTGAGTATCATTTTTTTTAAATTTTAATACCAATTACCATGCAAAACAGAAACAAAGAGTAAAATTTATAATTATTTGTTAATATTCAAGAAATAAAAACTCTCTGTTTGAGCAGCTTTATAAAATTTGCAACTTTTTTGTACGTCTGATATATAAATTGTAATCAATAAAACACGCTTATTACAAGAAAATGATCGTAAAAACATTTTATTTATTTCAATACAGATTTCCATAACGCATATTTTTTATAATTAACTTTATTTTTGCGTAAAAGTTCCGATAAAACTCCTTTAACTCAAATTATTTTAACTTTATATATAATATATAGAATGCAGTTACATTGTATTAACTATAATTGAATTCAAATTTCACGCCGCGAGTGCAGGCTCAATTTGAGCGGGACAATTATTATCACCAGATCGCAGCATGTTGTGTATACACAACTATGACATTGCCCGTGTCAACACATCACATTTCACACCTACGTTTTCGATTAATAGAAAACATATATAAGAGTTAGTTCTTTTAAAATAATAAGATAATCGATGATCGTCCTAGTATAAAAAGTATCCGGTGCTGCTAATAAACTTTTTACGTTGATTCATACATTTAACCGAATGGCTCATAGTGTTTAAGTTCACTTATGCTCGATGCGAAAAAGTTGAATTATCTTTAAAGTTGTTACTGAAAATATACAGTTTATTGTGTATTGTGCGGTGTATGCTGTGAATTAAAACTAGCTCTTAATTTTTTTAAATTAAAAGAAGAGTGTTTATTCGTCGTTACTTCTAATTTTTTAAATGTAAACAATCTCTAATGTAACCCTTCGATTAATTGAAAGTAGGAACTATTTTAATCGGTTACCTTATACGAAATACGATGCACTTGAACACAATTTAATAAAAGTGTATACGGTTAAAGCAACGGAGTAAAATAAATAATGTAATAACAGTTTCTTCGTCCATAAAAAACTTCCATCGTTGAGCGTTATGCCGTCCACAGAGGTTATCGTCCAAATGCATGAAATTCAGAAATGATAATAAAGGATAAAGGATAGATTAAAAATCTATTGATAAATGGTAAACTTATTTTGAAAAAATTTTCTGTCAATTAACATTCCTCACAATGACTTCATCAATTTCTACTACTGGTACCAAATTATCAGATAATCCTCTTTTGCCACCACTTGTAAGAATATTTTCAAAACATTTTCATTTACCCAATAATCTTAAGTAAAAAATTAATAATTTTATTATTCTTTAGATAACTAATGATATTGCGGTTGAAATTCAGTATTATAAAAGCTTAGCTATTGCAGTTGCAGAAAGACTTAAAATTTTAGAAAAAGCAAAAGAAACTTTGGAAAAGAATCAAGGCAAGGTGATCAAAGATGTTCATGATATATGCTCTGAAAATGAAACAATAAAAAATTCATGTCTAGATAATAGTACAGTAGATAAATCTACTATACCATCAAGGGGGACTGAAAATGAAATGCTTATTAATTTTCCTACTAAAGATGAATGGAAAAATTCAGATCAAATTGATCATCCTGTAAATGAAAAGTCAACTATAAATTATTATAACCAAAAAATAGTTATGTATGAACAAAAAAGAAAACAAGATAAATCTAATTCTAATCAAGAAAAAGATTTAACTTATAATACTTTTCCTGGGGATAGTGTTTGTTCTGACACTATTACAAATAGTACAGATTTAAATCACTATCTTAACAGTTCCGCTTCAACAATAACAAACACTACAGAAACTACTCCTGAAAATGTCAAGCCACAAGTGCCTAAGACTTTAGATATTATTTCAATACCATATGATCAACAGAAAATTTTAGATAATTCTAAAGCTGATGGAGAAGTATCGAAATTAATTAGGCAAGGATCATATGTATTGGAGACACCTAGTCCCATATTATTAGCACACATGCAAAATAATGAACAACCGAAAAATAAAGAATATGAACCAACATCATCTCAAACAGCATTAAAACGTAAAGGTTGGAATATCAATCAAACAAAAATTGATTGGGAGTCTCAATCAGTTTCAGAAGAATCAAAACTATCGCGTATGAACTCTTATAGTAAAAGTAAAAAATTTGTTTACAGTTCTAGTCATAGAGAATGCAAGTCTGTTTCTAACTCAAAAACTGGATCGCCTTTGGATCTTGATCGATCATCCAAGTCTGTTGATTGCATTCAAGCAATGTTTGCAAAAGAATGTTATGCTCCAAAGACCATTAAAAGTAAAGTCACATCTTCTAATAGCAGACTTGCATCTCCATTAAACAGTAAAAACAGAAATAATACTCCTAAAAAATACAACAATGCCACACCGATTTTAAATATGGCTAATAAATTATCTAGTTCAATGGAAAGTTTTAATAATGTAAAACGTCAAACCAAACCTGAAAAAAAAATTAATAATGGTGTAATTGTTAAGAAAAACACTCAGCCTGAAACAGCAACAAAAAATGGTATCAGCTCTCAGTCAATGAAACCAAAACCAGCTGCAATATCTGAAAAAATTATTTCAGTTTTTAAAGAAATTCAAGATACGCATAGAAAACAAATGGATGAATTAATGTCTCGTCAACAAAAAGAACAACTTTTAATGCAAGATAATTTTAAGAAACAACAAATTTTGATGTTAGCTCAAATAAGAAAAGCTTTTCCTGATATTTCAATATCATCACTATCCGATATAATTTCACACAAGAGTATAGAACATCCAGATTCTCAATGTTCAAACGTGAGTAATAAAAGTATAGATTCCATTTGGCAAAAAAATTGTGACGACAGACTGCAAATCAATGGATCTAATGAAAATCAGAGAAATAATTCAAGGATTGAAAAGTATCCAACTGTTAATACTTTTTCAAACAGAAATAGCTCTGAAACTATAATTGATTATCAAAGTGACTCAAATACACTTAACATTTCTCAGTCCAATGAAAGCACTTGTCAAACAACTCAAACTCAAACTTCCAATGAATATCTACTTTCTACTCCATGCAATCAATTGATGGCATCAAGTGTTAAAACTTTAGATGATATGCCGGTTGGAAATTTCATGCACAGAAATTCTAATGTGAGTCGGCAGTTATTTTCTCATGATGGGAAATCTAACTCTGTTGCTATTTTTGATATATCTAACTATACAGAGCTTCATGTAAGTTATTTTTATTTTAAAAAATTCAAAAATTTTGATTTACTAATTTTGTCATAATTATCTTTATGAATAGGTCAAAGCAGTAACCATAATAAATTCTTATGTTAGAGGTTTCTTAGTTCGAAGATTGATGAAAACTGAGAAAATAATTGCTCTGAAAAATACTTATAGAGAAGCATTACATTGTATGTTAAGATTGCATGTAGATGCACCTCTTAACTTGCCTGAACTTAATTTTCATCAACGCTTGCAATTACAGGTAATTTAATCAAGTTAATTTATTGCAAGATTATAATCAATTAAAATTTTGTAAAAATTGTTTCTTTTAGTGTGATGCTGCATCAATGAAAATTGTTGATCTATTTTCTTGTCCTCCAGCTGAAAGAATGGAAATTATTGCTCATGATAGAGAACTTAGAAAGGCTCGTTCTGAAAGGCCGAATTCTGCACATTCATATTCTTTTGCAACTCAACGTACACTTGCAAGAAAAAAACTTAAAGAGTATGATTCTGATTGATTGTTTTATTTTATGCGCTCATTTTTATGCCATTGAAAATAAGTTAAAATTAAAAAAAGATTTATTATTTAGTAAACTGTTCATGTTTCAAATTTGTTATTTGATTTAACTTTGTATAAGATGAAGATTTAAAGAGATTCACAATTTTCAGTTAATACAAAAACATTTAATAAAGTTTTTTTGAATTAAAACACTTATGAAGTTTTCATGTAATTCATTTTTTTTGTTAAATTTCAGAATGGGAATCAGTCCCAATGCAATGATGACCAGATCTTGTCCTGTTCGTACAAAATGCTTAACATGGACATGTAATTCTAAAGAAAAGAAACTTACTACAAGTATGATAAGTATGTATAGAATTATCTCTTAAATAAGTTTCTTTATGAGTGTAATAGCTGTTGTATTTTACTTTTTAGATCATGGCATTAAAAGAAGTACAAGCACAGGTACAGTGAGAAGACCATGGCGATAAATCTCACTTTAAAGCTGGTTTAGTGGAAAATTCATTAGCAAATTATGATGATGAAAATTATGAGCAAAAATACCATTTTTGTGCCTACAGTATTTTTAAAGCAAGAAATAAAATTAATGTTATTACTTTTTATCTTGCAGCGTAATGAAATTCGCTTTTAAGAATGATTGTAATTGTAATAAGTTTGATGTTTGTGATAATTTTCATGCTATAAATCTAGCATATATTTTTTATTATTCACTCCTCTTGCTTTCTTGAGAATTTCAAATTACTTTTCTTGAAATACATTTTTTTAAGTAATTATTTTACTACTTAAACATGCGATTTTTTAGAAAGAATTACTTGAACTAAGTAATGAGTTATTAATATGTGAATTTCAAAATGAAACATAATTTTATATGTAAAATTACGTCCACTTGATAATCCTAGTTTATAAATTGAAACGTCCAAAGATTTAAAATAAACGTCATGATTCATATCATGTATAAATCTTTTTAGTGCGCTAATAATTATTTAAACCCTTGTTTCAAAATCTTACTCATACTCAAATTAAAACAACAAGTTCACAGACCAACTTCTAGTTAAATATTTTACTGATCAATTTAGATTCTTTTTGAAATTTTCAGAAAGGCTCATTTTTCAAAGAATAATTGTGAATATAATATTAATGAATTTGCAATCATACAATTAATTTGTTTAAATGAAAATTTGAAGTTTTACGCCACAAACGTCAATGACATTTGCTCGATGACAGTTGCTTGAGTTTGACATCTAAACAGTAAAAAACACAACCATTTAAATTTTTTGTTTGAATTAGCTCTTCAAATTTAAAGGGACCAAAATGAGAAAATTTCTCCGAAATAAACATAAACCACTTTGAGCCATGAACGAGCGATTTAATAAGTTCTTAGAACATATAAGATTGCGTTTGCGCGTATAATTCAGCCACGCGGGTCATGGCACCACACCGTTATATGCAGAATGCAATATGCACTCGGCCTTATTACATGACAGACAGCTGTTCAAGTTCATTTAATTTAGTCACCTTTTGCTATCGTGAAGTTTGCAGTCTGACGTGACGTGTCTATTATCTACACATTATATTCATTTTATCGTTTGACTCGAACTTTACGTGAAAAGTGATTAAAAAGCCATGGAGAATCACAAGTACAACGCAAGAACAGGCGTACATTTTCCGTACATGTGGTGTTTGTAGTGTGTACATAATATAAAATTACCAGTTGTAATCTTAAATCATTGTCGAAAAAACTAGTTGAAAAATATTGACGTAAAGAATAGTTAAGTGAGGTATGATCAGCTTATATTAACTTTACCTATTGAAAAAATTATTAATTTGTAGAGTCATTTCCAATGTTTACGTGTTTACGTTTATATTTTAGAGTAAAAGATGTGTAAAATTTTAGTATTTTCCAAATTCGTTTAACAGTGTTAGCAAAAATTGATCTATTTCTTATACTGCAAATATAATTTTTTTCTAAACAAAACTTATAACCTTGAAAAATAAAATTTGTATAATTTTAAATTTGAATAAAATTCTTTGCAGCTATATGTGAATATCCAATAAATATAAGTTTTTAAAAATGTGTGACAAGAAAAATATCAACCCATTTGCTGGTTTATTCTCAACTCCCAATCAGCTTTTGACCTCTCCACCAGAAAGTGATTTAACTATAAAGAAAATAAATGAAAATGAAGTTAAAACAGAAGATTCTACTGCTATTTGCTACGAGAAGCAGAGTACACAAAATACCAAAAAAGCCATTGAAACAGAGAAAGATGAACTTTTTGATGAATTAATTGCTGATGTTTTTGGAATTACTATGAAACAACATCATAAGGGTAAAAAACCAACTCGGCAGCTAATTTATATCAATACTGCTTCTGTTGATCGAGCCATATTTGAACGTTTACTTTTAACGGAGCCCAAATCTATGCTGATTTCAAAAGAAAATACTAAAGGACAAGATTTGGATAGTCATGTTGTACAAACTGAAATTATACCATATCTATTTGAAAGTTATAGTAGATTACAACGATACAGAATTAGTGATGGTGCTCATGACACTGTTGAAAGCATTCGTAAAATCATTATGTGCAATATTAGTACTGCCCTGCAAGTACCAGATATTTTTTCCAACCAACAGGTTTGTATTTTCTTTGATCAAACTAATGCTTCAATTTTTTTTAAAAAAAATTTAATAATCTTCAACTTTTTATTCTTCACAGATTCATTCACAATTTTTTGACTTATTCATGAATGAAAGTCTTTTTGGTTCTGATTTATTGTCATTTATTACTGGAATTGTAGAATATTTATGTGCAGAAAATAATGAAGTAGAAAAAGAAGAAGTTATTAGTATAGCCTTTAGCCCAATATTAGATAAAATTCAACAAGAAGCTTCTGCCAGTAATATACTAATCAAACAATATTGGTTTTCTATTTTACAAACTTTTGCATCAGTAGAACCCTTAGCAAATTTGATAATTAATCACAATAAACCCAAAAATACTACTGGAAGAGCTTATTCTGACACATTATTTGGTTCATTATTAAGTCTAGGATGTTTACCAAAAACACCTACTGCTAGATATGACTTTTTTGATAAACCTTTTCAGGTACAATTTAAAAACATCTTAAATAAATTTTTATTTACATTATTGTATTTTTAAAATTTTAAATGATGCTTTTTAGCAAAATTCTGCAGCTGAAGGAAATATATGGACTGCATTAGATTCATTGAGTGACTCACTTCATAAAGTTTTTCATACTTTACTCAAGTGTTCACCACGAGTACGTGATTTAACATTATCATGGTTGGGTGATTGTTTACAAGCTAATTCTAATAGAGGAAAATTATGGAACTCTCAAAATCTTATGAGTGATGGAGACATTACTACAGTATCAGATAATTTTATGCTAAACTTGGGAAATGTACTATTAAGACTATGTCAACCATTTTGCTCCAAACCAAATGATCCAAAAATTTTAAAAATAGACCCTACTTATTGTGCTGTTAAGGTAAGAATTTTTTTTTCTTCATTTGAATTCTATCAAGAACAAAATACTTTGTTTCATTGAATGAATTTTATAACAAGCTGTCACATTCATTTAACTAGAATATGTCGATGACAAATCCTATTTTTTCATATTAATAGAATTTTAATATTATATTATAGACACAAAATGTAGCTGAAGCTAAAGAAAAAAATGTCCACATGAAGGAAATGCATTCACAAACTTGCTTAATTCCTGTTCCTGAGGGAGAAGATAGACCTGTTGCAAAATCATTCAATTTTGTAACAGAATGTTTTTTTCTAACTCACCGTACATTAGAGCTTGGTTTTAAAGTTGCTTTGGATAAATTGTTCAAGTAAGTATTTGAATAATAATGATTTTTAGTTTCTTAATATTTTCTTAAAATAGTTATCATGATTACTGTCATATCAACAGCTTAAAAAATTTATTTTTCTCTAAAAAATAAAAATAAAAAATAGAAATTAAATTCTGCTAGAGATGAGCCTACGCAGATTTTGATGTCTATACATGCTACTTTATCGAATAATTTTCTCGTTATCTTAGACAATCTTATTCTGCTGACGCGAAGCATAAATCTTTATAATTGTTCCGGGATTTTTATTTTTATATTATTTTCGATCTTTTTAAAAAAAGAACTAATGATTCAGATGCAAAACAAATATCTAAACCCTTCATGATCAATTATTATTATCATTGTTATAATTAATTGAATTTAAACTCTTATTAAATCAAACTGTTTACCATTCGTAAAACAGAATCAGTCACGATTTGGCAAGAATCCAGAGGCTTTTCAACGATTCCAGATCGAATGCCAATACTGAAGTAAATGAATTTATCTCTCGCCGAATGGAATCAGAAATGACGAGGTAATTTTTTTTTTTTTTTACTTTATAGAAGATTGATTGAATTTAACAATTATACTTCCCTTTTATAAAGGTATTTATCATATCGAGTCAGCTTGTTAACTCCCGAAGTACTCGGTGTGTTTGCAAAATTCCATGCTGCAAGTGCGTTCTGGCTAGCACAAGTAAATATGGATACAAGGTCTCTTGGATTAAATGAAGAAAATTATGCTCCAAATGAGTACAGGTCAATTACATTTCCATTGCCAGATGCAGCTCCTTTAACATTAAGGTAAATAATAGAATTTAATAAATTTAAATTAAGTATGAATTAATAATAGTTATTTATGTAACAAGTGCCCAAAAGGCGTTTTTGGGCACGAGTGTGCGGAAAAAGACACGAGTGCCGGCTATGCCGGCACGAGTGGGTGTTTTTTCCGCACACTGTGCGCAAAAAGCTGGGCACGTGTTGCATACAAAATTTTATGCAATAGGAGACGAAAAATACTTTCATTTAAATGAGGCGTTTTACCGCACACCCGTGTCCAAAATGAGGCATTTTACCGCACACAAGTGTCCAAAAACGCTTTTTGCGCACTAAAAAATGTGCGAAAAAAGACATTTTTCGTCATACTATTGCATGAAAAGTTTTAACAACTTGATAATTCGAATTTTTTGAGGTCTTTTTACATTTAAAAAAATTATATAGTACTTTTCGATAAAATGATACGACTCAAAAATCTATTGATATCAAATAAATTAAACTTAAATCTGTTTCAGATGTATTCCTGAATTTGTTGTGGAAAATCTTGTATCATTTTTATGCTTTCTTCGACGATGGTGCCCTAATATTTTTGAAGAACAAGGACCCAATTTTTTGAACCCAGTTTTGACTCAGGTAAAGTACTGAAAATTTATTATTAATCAGTAGTTTGAAATCAACATCACGTATTCTAAAAATTTTTATCGTAATTGTAAAAAATATTAGATCGTAATTCTTATGAATTCGCCGACTCGTTTGTACAATCCACATTTGAGAGCTCGTCTGGCTGAAGGACTTGAAGCTCTTTTGCCTAACAATGATGAAGTACAAAATCAGACAGCACCTTCCCTAGGTACTTTTCATAGACAACAATTGTTTATTGGCCACCCTTACAAGCAAATGGTAAATTAAATCATTATATAGTCAAGAATTACAAGTTTTCTCGTCACTTTAATTCGGTTTTAATTTACAGATTGTACCAAGTTTGTTACATGTATTTGTAAGCATAGAAATGACTGGACAAAATGTTCAATTCGAACAAAAATTCAATTATAGACGGCCTATGTACATTGTCATGTCTTATTTATGGAAACTACCCGAACACCGAGTCAGTTTCAGGTAATTAAAAAAAATTAGTTTACTGCTCAAAAATATTGTTACACATTGACAAATTGAAATTCTTCTAATTTATAGGGAACTAGCTCTAGAAGCTGAAAATAACATGGAATCTGTACAGCCACCATTATTTTTAAGATTTATTAATCTTTTGGTAAATGATGCGGTATTTTTGCTCGATGATGCACTGTCAAATATTACTCAATTGCGACAGATGATGCATGCCAGGTACTTGAATTTAAATTAATTTTATAAAAAATTATGAAAAATAACGAGTAATAATTTCATTTAAACTAATAGGGATAGTGGTGAATGGGAAAAGTTGTCTCAACAAGAAAGAGAGCAGCAGACATATTATTTAGAACATATTGGAATGATTGCACGATTTGACAACATTTTAGGGCGAGAAACGATACAAACCTTAAAAATGTTGACATCGGAAATCAAAACTATATTCTGTCATCCTACTATGGTAGACAGAATAGCTGCGATGTTGAACTACTTGCTTTTACAATTAGTTGGACCGAATAAAAAAAATTTAAAAGTAAGTGCTTCGTTTCGTCGTAAAAATTTGTTGTGAATTCAATCAAATTAATAAAAATGTAATTTTTTCTACAAACGTAAAGGTGAAGAGTCAAAAAGAATATGAATTTGATCCTGCAAATCTTGTTCTGAATATATGTGAAATATTTATCAACTTGAGTGAAAGTGACAATTTTACATTAGCTGTGTCTCAAGATGGAAGATCATACAGTCCAGAGCTATTCAATTATGCTTCTGATGTTTTAGGTAACTATTTTACAATTCAGTTGATAGTCAAATAAAACTGCATAAAATCATTACGTGGATCTGATGTGATGCATTATTCATTGCTCTGAAAAAGTCTTGATCAATATATTTGAAAATTTATCAATTGGGGTCAATTACTCAATTTTTCTTTCAAATTTTTTAAAATATAAAAACCACTTTTTTATGGAATTTTCAGATTATTTTCATCTACATTTTTCATTAAAATTTGTTACTTATTGCAATACTTCATTTCATAAAATTCAATTAGTATTTTAGACATATTTTTAAAATTAAATATATTTTCACAAAAGTTTCATTATTTTGTCGAATATTTTATTGATTTATTTGAATGTTTCAAGTTCGAATCGGAGGCTGTGGAATATTAGGTAATCTACAGCAGTTTGCAAAAAATGTGGAATTGGCAGCGGCCCAAAAGAAGCAAGAAGAAGAAATTTTGGAGAATATTCCAGACGAATTTTTAGATCCTATAATGTCAACTTTAATGTCCGACCCTGTTATATTACCCTCGTCGAAAACTGTAGTTGACCGTCAAACAATAGCAAGGTATACATTTTTTCGATATTGTATGCAAGAATGCAAATTTAAACGAAAAAATTTTCTAACAATCCATTGTGTATATTCTATCCATTACAGACATTTATTGAGTGACCAAACTGATCCGTTCAACCGATCTCCTCTTACAATGGACATGGTCAAATCAGACATCGATCTTAAAAATAAGATCCAAGAATGGATCGAACAGAAAAAAAAAGAAAAACACGTGGTTACCGAAGATTGAGTTAGAAAAAAGTTATGCACAAGTTATAGCTGTTTTACGAATATTTAATATTCTTGTTACAAGTACAAAATTTACAAAATTAACTTGACAGGACACTTTAAACAAAAGTATACGCTCGAAATAATAATTTTAGAGTAATATTCATTGAACAAGTAGTGTAGTTTTCGGTGCGGTTAAATTATTATGTTCAGTGTATAATGGATCATGTTATTAATTGTAAATAATAAAATCTATTCTCTATTTATTTTAAGAGTGCAATAAAAATAAATTTTTGTTATTAGTTGTTACGATTAATAAATAAAAAAACTTTTTAAACTGATGAATTATTATTAGACAATATAAATATATTTCATTTATTATCATTATGCGAAGATTTGCTATTGCACTTAGTACTTTTAACAACATTAATTTATATATAAATCTCAAAAATATTTGACAATCAAAAATGTTGCTGCCAGGCATCCTCACATAATAATGTGTATCTATATAAAAAATACTGTCAGTAATATTTACACCTCCGTATACTACTAATTTTCCATAAATGATTGTAGGATAGATCATCCATTTTAGGATACATCGAAACCAGTGCGGGATCAAATGTTTTTGAACACATCTCCTGCGATTTGCGTAAAATATTTTCTTTAAAGACTTTACGACGACCCGAATAACAATAAAACAACGGTACCCTTACAAATTCTTGAAAAAAAATTCAGTTGAGAGCAGAGAAAACGTATGGGGAAATTTACACTAGCCTCGGCACCTCGTCAAAAAAAGGTATTCTAAAAAATATTTTAACACTTGACAAGTGTTTGTACGATATTTGCATATATCTAAGACACTCCAACTACCAGTTGCACTAGTTTATTTAATCCGTATGATTTTCATAAAGCGGCCTCGAGGTCCTTGAAGTCCATTATAAACCACGGAGCTCGCTGTTTTACACTGTCTCTTACTACGTTACCTCCATATCCTATGAAAAAAAAAATTTAATTAACATATAAATCTGATTTACAGTTAGATAAAAAATTGAAATTTTGATCAATTTAATAATGAATTTATGCGTTACTCTAATGGGATTGAGTTCAAGATTTCATTTTTTCATTTATTATACAGAACATGCATATTTTCTTTTAATTACGTACCAATGAAAGCAGCTGCAGGAGGGCAAGCCTCTAAATCTGTGGCACCATCGCCTATATGTACAACGGTTTTGTAGCCTTTTTCTTCTTTTAATCTTCGGATAACTTCAGCTTTTCCACCAGTTTGAGATGTTGGTTCGTTTTCATCGAAACCAGCATATTCGCCTGAAATTAAAATAGAGCTTACTCATGTAATTACATGAAATCATTTTAAACCAAAAAATTATGCGAAAAAAGTGTTTTTTTCTGTACCTGTGAAATAAAACTTCAATCGATTAGCTCGCACGTTTTCCAGTGGAATATTAAGTTGTGCGGCAACTGGCGCTATCAAACAGTGGAAACCACCAGAAACGAGGTAAACATTTTTTTTCTGATTCTGTAATGCTTGCACCAAAGACCTAAAAAAGATTTTTATTATTTAATTTACAGAACATGTGTTTCAAATAATTAAAATCTTAACGTTTAATTACAACGGAAAAAATTGTACAAATTTTGAGATTTAATAGTCTACAAATATCATTAAATATTTATCGATATAGTTACTACTTTTCCGATTTTTAATATTATTTTAGAATTTGATTTTGTATAAACTTTTGTACATCGATTTTAAATAACTTTAATTTTAAAAATAGCGAAAAAATAATTGCAAATTTGCATTTTCATTCCAATTAAATAGTACTCGTTTTATATATTATGTATTAATAATAAAGTTTGTGCATATTTCTTACTTGATTCCTTGTGTTAGTTTTGGTGGGTGTGTGCGAAGAAATTCTGTGATTTGTTTGATGCTGGGTTTTATAATATTTAGCCTGACAGCCAGCGATTGTTGAAACGTCATATTACCTTGCATTGCCTGTTTGGTTCTGTAACAGTGGAAAAATTTACCAATTAAGTCTACGCTTGAGTATTTAACGTAGAATCGGATGGATTGGTAATCGTTGAAATTTCCAAGTATAAAGTCATACTAAAATGTTTAAAATATTTTATTATTCATTACGCAAAAATTAAAATTTGCATTGGGAACTTTAACGAATTTTTTTCTGATCCATTACTTTAATAATCATGTTTTTTACAACTTTTTAAAATTCTATATCTAAATAAACGATTTCGATTAAAACTATTAAAATTTAAAATGAATGTTAGAATAATTAAATTTTTTTTGATTGTTTGAATGAACTATGACACTGATATACGTAGGTGCTGTAATAAATAATTCCAACGGAATTTTCATTGTTTGCGAAGCCGAGTTTGCGTTGACGCGTTCTTATAAATGCTTGTTTTCGAACATGCATACTTCACTTCCAGTCCATTCAAACAAAATGAGCAAATTTAATTTTCTAATTTTAGCATCTTCGATTACAAATGATTAGACCGGGAACCACTAATTTTGAAATAACGTTTATGAATTTCAAACGATATATTGCGAGTAAACTTTTGAATATTGAAAGCGCTTTAAAAAATGTTAACTTGACCACATGAGCTTTAATATTTTGCAAACTACTATCGATTTGATGCGTATGACGTAAATTGATCTACGGCAATTGATAACCATTGTAAATTAGTTTCGCTCTTCCGATAATGATTGATTTAACCAGAATTGAATGCTTTTTCTTAAAAATTTAAAATAAAAAAAATAATTATTAATACTTACAGTAGAGCAACTTGATCGCCTTTTCCGCAAAATTTGGCCAGCTCATCGATGCCCTCTTCCGTGATGACCGTCGAGTCGACGTCGAAGCAAACGGCATCGGCAAGCCTCCATACCATTTTTACTTCGTCCAGATTGGCCATCCTGTTTTCCGAATTCGCAGTGCCCATAAAGAGACACAAGAAAAACGTTATTATTAATAAACGAATTAGCAAGCAACAATTAAACAAAAACGACGACATGTAAGGCTACTTATACAAAAACAAACGCGAGAGTTCGCGCGAACAAGTGGCTCTCGCGGTTTAGTTTCAACTAAAGATAACGTGAGTCAATCGATTTGATTTCTTTATAGTTTTTGACGTCAAGTTGTTTGTGCCACGCATGATGTGCGCTCATGAATAATAGCAAGTTTTCATGATAATTAACTATGCCGAAATAATGAGCGAATGTAATACATTAAATATCTCGCGTTGAGAGCTATTTTTCAATTTATTTACTGCGTTGTAAACACTTTCATTGCATTGCGGAAGTTCAAGTACTCTGCATCTCGAAGGGATGCTTGTAATTTTATTTTTTCAACGCACTAACTGAAATAATGTCAAATAACGTGTATGGCAATCAATCACTTTCAAGTTAGTCCATAGCGATGTTTACGTAATATTACAATATCTGCGAGTGAAAGACATTGACCCCCAGCCGCGATCGCTATTTATTTTAGTATACACGGATGCAAAGACAAAATTTATCATTTTATATATAAGCCGAGTTGATATATTTACAGATAAACAAACAATGTTTGTGATTCAAGTTATTCGTAAATAACGACGTTTATTTATAAAAAAAGAACTTTGTCTTTGATCCGAGCCGAAAACGCAACATTCGAAACACAAAAGCTCGGTATACGGATATGCAAGTTAAAAGCTCTCTCTCTCATCTCATGCACACGCATGCGGCGGTGGCGGCGGTACCTTGAACAGAGCGTATTTTTCAAGAGCGGGCAAAATCGATGCAGCAACCTTGAACTTAACGCGGCGTGTACCCCTGCAGCGACGGCGTGAGTCGCCGCGAAGTTCGAGGCTAGGAAGCTCATTCAAGGTCGCGTTGAAAACAGCCCCCAGAGCTGCTGTTATACTCTCTCACTGGACTACCACCAAAAAGACTGAAAGCTCGTTTACAATTGGTTTCACAATGTTCATGAATACACATAATCGTGGAGGAAAAAATCGGCTCGGAAAAAAGTCGAGAGCCAACGACGATGATGATGGTGCTTGCGCATGAAAATACAATATCCATTTTGAAATTGTTTGAAAACGAATGTGTCGTGGTGAATTAGAGGGTGAAGGCGAATACATGATAATTTATATAAATATATAGAGAACTCGTGCATCGTTCGTGGAAATAACTTGCCTGAATTCTTTTCTGTGTGTTAAAGCAAAAAATTTAATAGAGGTGTGTGGCGTTGTGACGACGCAAGCCGATCTCCGAGTTAATTATAATCTGCGGGATTGGCTTGAGTAATTCACACGTGGACAGACCGCGAGAGCAGTTACGTATTCTATCAGCGTTGCCGCTCGTTCTAATGCTATCTATCTACTCGTCATTGGTCCGACGACGCAACAGTCGTCTCGCGGCAAGATAACAAGCAAAAGACCGTGTGGTATACGCGCGAGTCTGCGCAGGCCGCGCGCCAACTTATCACGTGAACTTATATATATGACGAAGTGTATTGAGGATATATCGGCGTTTAAACTGCGTCAAATCGGACCGATAATTGTTCAAAGTTACTCTGCCCAATTGAACATCGAACGTAAATAATGCCGACTAAAATTTTCTGAAATGTTTATTCTACGTTGCTCGATGAAATGTAATTGTTCGTCACAGTTTTGTACCGGAAGTTGCCTCATCTTTCCCCGAGGAAAATAGTTTTAGTCTCACCACCTAGAGTATTATACCCGAGAAACAAATGTAAACGAGCTTTTTTTGCACGCACAAAAGTTTAAAAATAACTTTAAATTTCAACTTTCTAGGTTACAGAGCTATAAACAATAAAATTGAAACTTTTAATTAATATATCGCAAAGTATAATATACCTTGCTTACATTAAGAAAAAAACATCCCAAAATTATCTGTTTTATCTCAAAATGACTTGTAGAATTGAGGAAGATGTGTAGATTACTCAGAAGCTTAATTAACATGTAAAAAAGTTGAAGCTTTTCGATTAATAATACATCGCATACCTACTTAAGTCGATCAAAAGTTAATGAACCAATAATAACTTCATTTTTAAATTTGTTTTGTAAACAATTTTGAAAGCCATTGTACTATCTGAAGTTACGAATTTGAAAATTTTCACATTTTTCGTAATTTTGAATGAATTTTGAATTTATTATTTTTAATTGACTGGAAAATAACAAAATAAAATCGATTTTGCCTATTCATTTTGATTTCCCCAAAATCATCTCAGATAAAAGGTTAATAGCAAAGTGTTTATACTTCATGCGTACGGAATTATACATGCATGATTTTTTATCTTTCAGTTTATATATCTAGTCTCAAGTCCACCGGTAGTTGTATCGGATCTTAAGAGAAAGTTCCGCTCAAAGATATACTAATCACAATTTCTTAATTCTTCGGTCACGGAAATTTTTGGTAAATTTTTATTTCTTAGTCAAAAAATAGTTAAATTTTTCCATGATACAAATGACACTGAAACACAGTTGAAACATCACATGGCAATATTTATAGAAATGATGTGTAAATTAATTTGAATATTTAAAAAACGTTCACTTGTAAGGTAAATGATTTGAGTTTTAAATTCCCAATTTTTGGCAAAATAACGCACTAATACCTTTGAATTTTGTCTTTTGCGATTACAAGGGTTACGAAATATAATAAAATGTCAGAAAAAAGATTTATAAAGAGTCATTAATTTATTCTGTTAATTGAAGGTACTTGTGCCCGATAATATTCAAAACATATAATATTCAAGATGTGTGCCGCTACATACTATCAGCACATTTTCTTGTTTAATAATATTAATTTTTTATCGGTCAATATACTTCAATGGTTGAAGAATTTAGTAATTACGAATAAGATAAGCAACTAGTAAGGAAAAAAGTCGTCTAATCAACTAGCGTATAAAATACTTGTTTCATACTGAACTTAGTTGAACAAAAATTCGTTCTGAATGTTTATTCATACTTTTAAATTTAACTGTATACTTAAATCTTTACTTCGAACCATATCGATTTAAAAATAAATATCATTAAATTTCATAATCAACACCACCTGGCTCTTTTTATTTGATATATTCTTGCGCGTAAACAGTGACTTTTATTTCAAAACGATTTTGGTAAATTGAAAAATTTAATGCCAGATTTTCTGCGTTATAATTAAAAAAGTATCTATATTATCAATTATGTATTGATTATCTATTAATTTTAAAGATATCTCTTTTCATATAAAAATAATTAAATAAAAAAATCGATATCAGACACAAAAATATTGGATGCTACTGTCCATGAATATAACTCGTCTACTGTTGTAATAAACAAATTAGCTAAAAATGAACAACTAATTTTCGAATCAGAAACTCATCTCCTTGACACTGTCATTCTAAGATAAGCAAAACTGCACTAATAAGAAAAATATCATAATATGTAAGTCAAGGTTTCAAAAAATTTACGCCAAAACGTGTTTCGAAAGAAACCGACTCTACATTCCTACTTTATAGCAATAAATGATGTCTTCAGATTATAAAACTTTCCGTTTCCTTCGGCACTAATCAAAATTGTTAAGATATGTTACTACCCTATAAGCACACGATGAAGTAATACAATGCAGAAAGATGATTTGGGAAAAATCCAGAACATTTCGTTATAGAGCTAGCGAACGAGGGAATATCAAAACTACATTTTTTACATTCAACAAATGACATTTCCGATAGAAACGAATCTAATCGTTCTTTTCAAATTTGATTCTTAATATATATGTTAGTATATTGCTCTGATTATATCATGCATACAAGAACTTGAAAGGGTCGGCGAACTTATGAAAACGAAAAATAATGTCTTTGATCAGATATTTGAACTAAGTTCATCGCGAAAAAAAATTTTCTTGCTTGCATCGCATCATTATTTCGGCGTTAATTTTTGTTTTTTTTTTTTTTTTATCGATTGAACTCATGTTGCATTGTAAAGATTATTCGTTTTTGATAACTTACCTAGATGCTTCCCTTTTATACGTTCCTTTCGTCATTTTTACGAAGAAGTTTGCTGACCAAGACGATAGCAAACCACGATGATAAAAGATTGGCTTTATGCTAAAGCGATTTAGTATTGCTGGAAAAGAAAATCGATCATCAATGTTTGTACTTTATATTAGGTATAAATTTGTGCACTACTTTTATAGAAACGATTGAATTTGCGCATCAACAAAGTGTTGATCAGTAGATGTCAATTAAATATCAGCAGCCGTGCTGTTTTGTCGAACAATTGACGCGCTGAGAAGCGAAGCAGATTCAGGAAAATCGTTATTGCCGATTTTTAAACCTCCTTCCGATCGAATCAGCTCGTTTATCGGTTGCATACGTTTTCAACGTGATTGATAAGGCGAAAATATGCCCCTGCGATGCGAGCGCGAGGCATATATAGATAAATCACACCGAGACTTTGATGCGAATAAATCATTGCTTCATGAAAGCGCGAGTTCTATAAATTCGAAATCGAAACGGATGCACGTCTCCGCGCGCGATATACCATAATGTCTGGTTGCGCGTACTAACGTCAATTGCACTGTAATATTTGAGCGGCGTATCACACAAATTTCACAAACTTTCGTTGGTTGCGTGCGCGCGCGCTCCAAAGGCAGATCGGCTGATTTTATGTATTAAAAAGTCAAACAATCGGTATTCAAACAGAGTAAAAAAAAGCGACGCACTCACCTGTTGACGCCACTATTGACGGAATCTATCGATGTTTCTCAAGCGATGCAGCAGCAGCAGTAGCCTTGGCAGTAGAGCAAACACACTATTATAACACGTTGTACGCAGTGTACGCGAAGCCGAAGCGAAAAATTTAAAGCGAGTGAGCGGCGCTGTTTACGAGATCGACGATGGACAGCTAGTGATCCGATATCTGCCGATGCGTTCGAATTATATCGGCAAAAGAGCGCGCCGAGCTAGGAGTCGCACTACTACTACGACTACTACTACTACTACAACTACTCTTGCTCTCTTTCTTTCTTTCTCTCGTAGTAGTAGAGTAGCTGTTGACAACGATCGCTGCTGCAGTGCGCGCGTGTGAGAGTCTTCGGTCTCTGCCTGGCAGTCGTCGTCGCAATCGTTCTCCTCGAAGCAAAGTCTCTTCTCTTATCTCCGCGCGCGCGCAACACTTGTTGGCTGGTGTAACTCTTTTTTTTATTCCCCACACGAACTGAAAATCCGCGCGCGGTATTTCACGCGCCTCGCTTATATATATATATATATATAATAAACTGATTATTGCCGAGCGCAGCAACTCTCCGCCGTCGACCCCAGCGATCTTTGTGCAGCAGCAGCAGCGGCAGCAGCCCCGCGCAGCCTATACATTATCAATTGCACATGCCGATCGACGCTTTTCACGTGTACATTTTTTCACCAGCAGCTGCTGCTCGCACTTATAACTTTCTAAACTCCTGAGATAATCAATTCTTATCGATGCGGGATAAATATCGAGATCCGCTACTTACACTCGGATTTATTGGAAGTGCTTATCGTGCCTTTTTATAATTGCCTGAGTTCAACAACAACAAGAAAAAATTATTTTGTCTTTGTGAAGAATTATTGGTGGTACAGAATTGCTTGGGTCTTAAGCCAGGATAAAATGATATTTCTGAATGAATTTTTTTAGATTTCCACAAAACATCTTTCCAAATAGCTACGTGGAGGTCTTCATTTCATTGATTCATGGATACATAAGTAGTTTTTTGGAAAAATTTCAAGTGGAAATTTCAGAAAATTTGTTTTAAAATTTTCGGTATCTTCTTTAATCGACTATTTACTACATGATTTTGATGGTTTTTCAAGAAAGCTTTCACAAATTCAGTTGTCTCACTTCCTCTCATAGATTAGAATTAGGTTATTAAAGTTCAGAAATCGAATAATTTCTTTTAATAATATACATAATTTGGCATATTAGTAATAACAAGCAGAAGAGGAATTATTATTCCGAAATAATCTGTCATTCTTCATCTGAATTTCCCAATAAACATGCAAAACATTCGGCTTATTGCGATACCATATGATTTTCGACGATATACGCGCGTCCCGTTTGTTGATTCGAATCTCAAGTATGCAGAAATCGTTACACATGCTGCATTCGCGAGAGAGATAAAGATAAATTTTCCACGCCATTCAATCATCAGACCCCACTCGGAGCCAATGAAGACTGAAAAATTCTGCAAAACAAATTGACTAACGCGGGGGGTTAGTCGAGAGTGGTGGTAATTGTTTTTTTTTATCAAATCTCTTTGACGACTGACTCAATAAAACCTTGGATAGTATTACGTCTTTATGAATGTTCTTGAATAATGTCATTTACTAAAGTATGAAGAGATCATTCCGAGCTTGTTAGTTAAATTTATTGCCAGTAATAATTCGATATACAGGGTTTGTTATTCATATAATTTTGCCCCGTATTTAATTGTTATTGATTTCGATTTTTTCAACATTTGTTTTCTGTTTAAATATAGAAATAAATTTTCTAATATTTTTTAAACTGATACATTGTTTTATTTATTGATGATGGGAATAAATCAAACATGCTCTATTGACCTTTAGTTTCAAGTATTTTGTTATTTATTGTTACAACAAATAATCTACCTTTATATAATAAACGGAGAAAAGTAAACACACATGTTTATTCAACAAAAGAATATTGAATAAACTCAGTGAAGAAAATTTTAAAAATGGAGTATCAATCATTGAAGAGATGCTATAATGTTATAGTGATAATTGTAATTGATATACGAATGATAATTTATTATAATCACCACTTTCCAGCACTAATTATAATTTTCTCTAGAATTTTCGAATGTTTTTCTATTATCAAACAAGTGCAACTAATGAGGCGTCTTTTGCTGATCAAAGATCATCATGTAGTATTAATATTTACGAATCCGGATCATCATAGACTATTAAAGTTACCAACTCGAACTGGAGGCGAACGTATGTATTTTTTTACTCAAATTTTAAACAAAAATTAGGCTAAAAGTTCTTTCATCTTTCAAGTGCGTGATATAACAGGAAGCTAATTGATTGTTTAGGACATAACGGCTGGGATGCAAAATAAATCGGTATGCAAAGGCATCAGTTTTACATCCATCGTATTTAGATACTTATTTTGAAACTTGAAAAATTTATTCCTTTTTTTCCTCAAAGGGTACGAAACGTAATCTGATCCTTGCTAAAATTGCGTCGAGCATGCGCACTATATGCAAAATTGTGTACGCATCATCGCGTTCCTCACCCACATAACTGCTCGAAACAACCTTATATATAGATAGATAAGCGAACTGGCGGACGAGTGCACCGTGGCGCAGCGGCAAGGAGTGCAGCGGGGAGCTTTTTGGGAGAGCTTTAGCGAGCGAGGCGATAAATAAATGTCATTAAATTCCATCGTCCACAGGCGCAGGCATTCAAACGGAAAGATATAGCATCTTTACTTTATGCGCTTTGCATATAGATAGATGTCTGCTCTGTTCTTTAGCGCTCGCTCGGCGTCCTCGTCGGTGCATCTTTGGCTCTTTTATGCATGTATAGGAGGAAGACGAAAAGTGGAAATAACAGAAGCAGCAGCAGCACTAGACGCGCGCGCGCAAGCGTCGGTATAAACGTTTCTCTGTCTCTCTCGCTCGCAGTTCGATCCGCGCCGCCAATAGGGTCACTCGACACTCGTCGAGTTGGTCAGCAGCAGCAGCAGCATTGTTGCATCTATATATATTCCCTTGGCTTTTTTAGCGATCGGTGCAGCTGGCGGTGGTATACGCGCGCAGCTTATAACACCAAGCAGCACAAGCAGCACCGGTATTATATAGACTTTTCATCCCATCAGCAGCTAGCAAGCTGAGCCAGTGCTTACGGGTCAGGTGCCCCGTGCGGCGCAAGTTTCGCGCAAGGAGAGGGGAAGGGTAGTAAAAACGAGCGAGCGAGAGAGAATAGCATCTCCTCGCATGCGATATTGCATGTGCAGTCTTCGGGGATATCTCGAGCTCCCGTGAGTCTTGGAGCTCCGAGCCAGAGTCGTATACCGTAGAGATTAATCCGCGCTCTCGTTTTTCGTTGTCGTTGTCGGGCGTAATTGGTGCAATTACATCCGATGCAGCATTATGAAGAGCGGCGGATCGTTGCGACTCTGCTTCCTCTTGCTGCTGGCGAACTTTTGCTACCAAAAAGCTCGAGGACAACGAGATACCGCGGCGAACGAAACGATCTTGTGTCGGCCTAATCTGTCTGTGCCCGTGAAGCACGAAGAGTCGCGATTGCTGGCCAACGGCAGCTTGCAGCACGCTGGTCGCCTCTACCCACCGGAGCATCACTTCGTGTCTTCGTCGGCGCTGGAGAACTCGAGCCGGCGCGTCTGTCCTTGCGCCGCCAGCGGCCAATCTCGTCGTCCTTGTCTCAGGAAATGCTGCCCGGACGGTCAATTATTGGAGGCCCAGGTGGAGCGCGAAGAGCCCTGCACCGAGGCCAGCTCGATCGGCTGGCTGCCGCTTCCGGACCAGCCGAGACTGCATCCTGATTTTATCGGCGCGATCGAGCAGCAGCAGCGGCTCGAATTCGCTCACGACTGGTTCCAGCTGGTCGGCTGGGCGCCTCGCTGCGACGACTCGCGCTACGGCTTCTACGAGCTGCGACCCGACGAGTACCCGGAGGACGCCTGGCAGCTCGACGCCGAGGGCTGGCTGCGACTCACGCAGGACTCGCGCCTCTACGGGCCCGGCGAGTTCTGCCTGGATCGACAGCTCGACAACGACGACCGGCTCGCCGTGCTGGTCTGCGTCGAGCTCGAGCCCAGCGACAACTCGAGCGAGGAGCCGGACGAGGACGACAATCCGCACGACAAGATCACCCGCATAGGTTGCATATTCTCCGTCCCGTTTCTCCTGGCGACGATGCTCGTCTACCTCATCATCCCCGAGCTGCGCAACATCTACGGCAGGACCCTCATGTGCTACGTGGCTGCCCTCCTCGGTGCCTACTCCTTCCTCTTCGTGACCGAGTTCCTGCACTTCGGCACGGCTTGCCACATTACCGGTAAGTAGCTCCGTTACTACTTTTCAAGATTGTTATACACATGCGCATCGTGCAATTTCCATGAAATACTTTGTCTCAGTGGGCCATCGGTAAGTAGATAGATCGATTTCCATGCTAACGCTCGAGACGCGAGTGGAGATATATATCTCTTACCTTATGGTATATCGTAAACAAACCCGATCGCGAAATTATTTATTACTTTTAGCCCGCATAATTCAAACTTCCGATCGATTCGCGAATACAGCCGCCCACTCCCAGTTTATTAATTTTCGGTAGTCACGTGTACAATTGCGCAAGCTACGTCGAATGATATTTTTACATTTCTCTGCTTACGAATTTTTTATTCCCAATGATCGGGAATTCCAAACAATACGGCATTCCAGCCGCTACCGAAATAGCTTGCAAGCTCCTAGCGTGTAAGTAGCGCACCCGATAGCTTTTATATGAAACGCCCGCGCGAACTGGATCACTTCGTCTTGTCGACGATAATCTTATTCTTTTCAAACGATTTTAATTCACCTTGTCACGTCGATGCGCTTCAAAAATAAAAAAAGGAATTGGGTTACGCTAAATGAGCCCAAATGAAATTGGTGCGTTATCCATTTTCTTTCAAAAATTATAACGAATATTGAAAAAATCAATTATGTAAATTTCATTTTACAATCGAAATTTTGAAAGGGTAATGAATCGGTGAATAAATATCTCAATCGACAAGTAATTAATCACACCAAAAAATACCATGTTGTCCCAAAGACGTCCGTGCGGCTTTTTCGTGATAAATGATATTGAACAGATATTGAAAAGTAATTATAGCAGATAAAAGGATTACGACTTAGTTTAACTTGTTCGGTTTGAGTTCATATACATTACGATCGTTTAATTCAGAATTCAGAATATGAATTACAACATGAAAATCACCATGGCCTCTTGGTTCTGCTAATACTATCCCGCAGCATCGTGTATATTTTGCTGATTGGAAAAAAATCCATTAAGTGATTTGATAATGTTTGAATATGACATTGATAGTTCTCATCGCCCTAAAATTAATAAAACACAAAATCAAATTTTAAAGGTAAATTTTACCTCATTACACCACAAATTCTACGTAAGATGATATTATCTAGATCACAATTACTATTTTCAGTTTATTTTCCCTCCGATCTTCGCTGCATCCTTCAGTTTTTAGGCTTATTGACTTTGAAGCTCACAACGAATATTCCAGCAATTGCTTTTGATGTTATGAAAAACTTTCATTGATATTTTCATTATTTTAGTCCAGATTGAATTCATTTAGATTGATACATCAGAAAAAAGGATTCTCCCGGAGTGCCCCGAGCACTCCGCAACATGTCATGTAACTCGAAAAAAATTGTTTTGACTAGTCTATTTGATAAAGAATCAGGCCTCGATGTATAGCTCATTCGAAAGCATCGAAAATTTATTAAAATTAAATAGGTTAGTATTGATACATTTGTTGGCTTGAAAGGCCGAATTATCCTGAATTACTCGTGCAAAGCTCGTTAGACCAGATTAAAAAAAATGCAATTAGGCTAATTTTTTGTGTACTCGCACACCCTTCATTAAAACACAACAGCTGAGTGATGTCATATTAGTAATGAAAAAATTCTAAAAATAATAAATTATTTTCAGTGAGCTACTCACATCCACTTCTAATTGATTTTAACATTAGTGTCACAGATTCTTATTAATCATACCTCCAGAACGAAATTAATCAATCAACTATGCCATTCATTCGAGACTTATTTGCACAAGATCTCTACGTTTCACGGTGTAGTTGCTCGTTTTTCTATTAATAATCGGTAATGGGATATAAGTATCGTTAGTAAACAGAAACATAAGTGGATATTTCAGATAGTATTTAAGGTTTTTGCTAATCAATTAAAGATACCTTTGGCGAACGAATCGAATTTAATATTCCTATAATTTTCATTTTCTTTGACGTATACAGTGAAATCTCCCAATAGCGGACACTTCCAAATAGCGGACACTTTTAATAAAAAGACCCGAATTTTTACTATGCTTTTCCATGTAACATTTATTCCCAATAGCGGACATTCTCAATAGCGGACATTCTCAATAGCGGACACTTTTCCAGGTTTTTTGGGTGTCCGCTATTGGGAGATTTCACTGTATACAATTATTTTCACTTTATCACTTGCAGATTACAGATCAAGCTACTCGCCCTCTAGTAAAGGAAGCTGAGAGTGGTATTATAGTTCTTAAGGGGACACACCTGTGTTTATGCCTATAAATGAAAAACATGAAAATTAAGGATTACTATTAAAATTTTTTGTTTCTGATGTAAAAATATGTTTTTATAGGTCCTTTTACAACAAAAAATATGTCTGTAGTTCCTCTTATTATAGAAAATCATCCATCAAACATGTATATTGACTTGTGATTTCTAAGTTATCGACCGCATGATTTTGAATGCTATTTTTCACCAATCCGGATCTTTGCTGTCTCAAAAGTTTTGTAATGAAATTCTTTTCCACTTAAGTGTAGCAGATTTTTTTTTTTAGTAATTTTTTAATCTACTAATCTCCAAATATAGCAATAAGCGTTATTAAAATAGCTATTTTTGTTATTTTTTTTTGTACTTTAGAATGAAAAAAATTTTCCAAGCCTTTTATTAAAATTCTGTTTTAATATTTTAATATTTTATTTTAATATTTTAATATTAAAATAAAATAAAATAATGTTTAAATATTTTAATATTCAATATATAAATTGAACATGATTTCTTCCCACTTTTTTAATTTGTAGATCTCACTCACTTTTCCCTCGAAAAATACTTTTTATGTAATTAAGGGCTCTAATCTTTCAATATCTTATTTTACCTACCATGAAATATTATAGCGATCTCGAAACAGATGATCAAACAATACATGCTGAAAATTGAGCTTCTGTTCTCAAATATCGCGTGAAAATATTTACTAAGTATGTTAGGTCTAGAAACACATTTAGCAATTTTCATGAAGAATTTTAAACAATAACTTATTTTGTAAGCTTTTCCTTTCCAAAACTGGCTGAATATTTTAGAACTATGGTCAATATAATGATAGATTGTATTCACTCTATTCTAAAAATTGGGCTTTGAAATAAGCACGAGTAAAGATTGGACCTTTGACATAAATTAGCTCGGTTCACAAGAAAAGTATTTCAAATTATTTCTTCTGCTTACTTCTATGAGGAGCAATTTCAATTGTATTTTTTAGTTTAAAAAGTTAACGTGAAAACATTTTATTAGTTTCAATATTAATTTAACTAATTTTATGTTATCTTTTACGCCAAAGTATCTTTACACAAGTAAAGTAAAGAGAAAATATTAATTTTCTTTGCAATCTATTGCAATATTATTGATAAGAGAATACTGAAGCCGGGGTGAGAATGAAAATTTCGAAATATTCTATCGGTATATAAATGTCTAAAATAAGACTTTTCACTTTTACCAAAAAACATGTTTTGGCAGGATTTCATTCAGACGGGTTAATTGATTGCAATTATCTTATCCCAATTCAAGATATAAAATTATATTTTTAGACTTCCAAAAGTGACTTTTTTTATTTATTGTTATTCTAATTCAATAAAACTCGACTACCGTTTCAGGAAACGGATTTATGAATCAATATAATTTTTCAAAGAATATTATTTTATTTGTTACTACATACTTTTTCAGACCTTATTTTTTAATATGAATTCAATACAACATTTGATATAAATTTATCAAAAATGATTATACCATTTCTTTCTACAAGGCAACGGTCAGTTAATTTAATATATAAGTTTAATAAGTAGCACGTTGTTCGGTATTATAAAACCACTTTCAATAATTGTATATTTTAATTTATACTTGTTATTGTGTTTTTTACAAATCACTTATAATCAATACTTGAAAAACACTTTACATCAAAAGTAAAAAAAATGTTTAGTCAATTCTACATTTTGATTGGTTTTAATACAATATGCATTGCAAATCAATTATTCTAGCGTAAAATTGGTAATTAGTCTTAAACAGATGCACGCGGTACTGACATTTGATCCTAATCATTGCGTGGCGCTTACTTTACTTGCTCAAACGAACACTTGATTAAATTAAATTATAGCGTCAAAGTCAGCTGTAATAGTAAAATATAAATTAGACAAATTTTTAATTTTTCTTTCATTACCGTGAGTGCAACTTGATGAAATTCGTCCTTACAGTAAAGATATTCAAGAGTATTTTTACGTCCGTATTGAGCCACATGTACGCGCACGACCTTGAGGCCGAACGAGTATATATACGTAACAATCGTCATCGCAGCGTTGTGTTGGCAATTAATATGATAGAAAATATTGTGTGTGCTTTGAGATATGTGATCATCTTAAGTATCGCTAATTTCATTAGACGCGAGTCTTGCGTGCTGCACTCAGGCTTTTCCGAGTAAATTAAACCCGCGCTCAGAACTCAAGAAAATATCCCGCGAGCCTCTCGAGGAACGGCCAGTCTGTTAAATGAGTTTTTGCCGGCGCAAGGTGCGCACTGGAAGCGACTCGCGCTCGAAAGTGAAAGAAATACGTCCGAAGCATCGATATTATAAAGACGTCCATGTGAGTCCGCGTGAACCGAGACTCGATTGGCTCGTTTTTTGAGGAATACGTAACTCCGTCATACCTAAAAATTATATTGAAAATTACGGCAGTAAATTGCGTACGCGCGACGTCGATGTACGCACGTAGCAGAGCCTGTATTTTCGCATTTTTGTGCACCCAGAATGTAGTGCGCGTCTAGTATATAATAGCGGAGTGGGGCCCACTACAGCAGTCGCAGTGAATTCAAAGCAACCCTAATCTTGCAAGGAAGCGAAATTGCCTCATAGTTGGGATCGCCGAACTGTCGTATCGCTGTCATTCGTCGTTAGTGAAGCAAATTCAGTTTTTTCTTTGCTTCCGTTCATAAAAAAACCCAGCCTAATTTTTATCGTTGACCAGTGCCTCTTGTTTTATTTTATTTTTTTATTTTTTCATCGCCACCGCAGCCGGGGCTCTATAGATTCTGTGCACTAGCGAATAGCATAACTCTGCCGCGCAGAGAGTCCAACGGTCTCTCAAAAACTAATACTGTACGTGACCTATAGCCTACCATTGGGTCATTCATAATTCGCACCTCGTGCGTGTAGCGCTGAATTTTCAAAGCGCTCAACGAGCATTCGCAGCCTGTTTCTCAATTCAGTGAGTTGTTTTGATATTTTTTCGAGTGTCTGTTGTTGAGTTTTTTCGTTTTTGGATCCGTGGATTTAAAAAAATCAAAATATTTGCGTGAAGGTGTTGTGCCGAAGATTTGATTAATCGAAACTTTTGATTGAAGAGGGATTAAAAACCGAGTGGAAGTACTGTGGGCTTGATTGACGTGCGCGCGTTTAGTGAGTGTAAAATAAACACTGCTCGTGTAAAAAGTGAAGATTTAATCCAATTTAAACGTAATTGTATAAATATTAAATCATGGGGTGCAAAACAAACTTTAATTACGTTTGTACAGTAGTTTTACTGTTCGTCGTATTTACTACTAGTGCTTCGGAAAAAGTATGTCCAGACACTTTATCGGTCGATATTACAAACGAGAGAAAATTGGAGGATGGATCGGTGTACTTTGATGGTTTATTAATTCCGCCTCAGGTGCAATATAATAAAGATGATACTTTGCGTGCATGTCCGTGTGCTTTGAAAAAATGTGTGAGAAGATGCTGTCCCAGAGGTCAAGTTTACGAAGGAAAAACTTGCCGCCTGCCAAGGCAGGCCAGCTATAACATCGATTTTCCATTAATACCTGAAGGAATCCTAGACAAGCCAATAAGAAGTTTAGAGGAAGATTTTTATGTGCTCTACGACAATGAATGCTCGACAGAATTGAGATACTCTTTATTCGCCGAGGGTCCAAAAAAAGTAAAGTCGGAAAATTACACCATCAGAAACGACGGTGTACTTTTGTTGCATCAACTGAAGGACAACGTGCCCGTCAAATTACTATACAAACCAGAGAATTATTGCATTGCTTGGTCGGAAAATTTCAATGTGACCAAATTTCTGGTATGCGGCACGTCGGAAGAAGTCCAAGATCAAGAACTGACGAGATTCAAGCGATGGACCGAGTCGGCTGGATTATGGATGTCGATAATATTTTTAACTTTGACGTTTGTGGTTTATTCCATGTTTCGATCGTTGCGAAATCTTTATGGAAAATCATTGATGGCCTACGTCGCGACTCTCGCGATCGCTTACAGTGCATTGAACTTCATAAAGATTGGCGAAATTCAAAATCAAGTATTCGATGATATCGGATGCAGAGTAATGGGTACGTTCACTTTTTTTATCTTTTTTAGGAAGTATGAATATGAATAATACTTTATAAACGTGAATCATTCTTAATTTTAATGCGAGCTATAGTTTCATATAATATTCGTAATTTTAATCAATTTTAGTTCTAAAAGATTTAGTCATTTGTTTTCAAAAATCAAAATGTCTCTGAAAAAATGTGTATCAGTGATTCAGGTATTTGAAATAATTATTATAAATGCAGTTAATTAAAAACAATTATTATAAAATTTACATTTTTAAAATGGTTGTTAGACAATTAAATTTCATAACAAGTTTTTCAGAAAAAAAAAAATTTTTTAATAGAGAAAGTAATTTGCAAAGGTCATGCACTCCTTTTAAAATACCAAATTTCAAAGTCAAGGACATCTCTAATATCTTCGATCCTATTTTTAGTAAATCAGCATATAAATATACTGCTTTTTATGAATAGGCTCTCGAATAGTTTTACTCTATGGTATTGACGATATAATTCATAAATAAAAATTACCACCTATGACGTTATTAAAATCTGTAATTATATAATTTATAAAATTTACGCCAATAGCGATAAACATAGAAGTTTAGATATATTGTTTACTAGTCATCTGTTTTTATATTTTCCTCTTATTCAAAGTAAAAAACATAAAAACGCGTTAACGTCTAGCAATGATTTACTAACGGTTTAATTTTTAAACAATGGAAAAACCACTGTAGCATCTTAGAAAAATATCTCGTCATTGTTTAAATATAGTTTTTTAGTTTTTTTTCTCGTAAGCCACTTAGAAATTTCATTCAGATTTATAGTTGAACGTTTTTATATCACCGATAAATCTTATTATTGATTTTTTCAAAATAGAAAAATTTATTACAAACGTAACCCGTTTGATCAGGAAAGCCGATAAGCTGCTCGGCCCCCCTATAGTCCCGACCTCTAAATTGATGAATTTACCTACAAACATTCCGATGCACAAGATACACATTTTATGAATTTTCTTTGAGATTTTTGAAGCAATTGATATTCGCTAATTCCTGTCTTCCAATATGAAGTAAGCTTTTCAATAAACATCAATTAGTATTTCAGCTGCAAACAAAATTTCCTTTAAGCTTACCATTTCTAAGATAAAAAAATGTGGTCACAGCAATCTGAAAATTTTTTCTGCAATCAGTAACACTATGGTTGATAAATAAAAACAGAAATAGACATTCCTGTGACTTTGAATCCTATCGTTTCTGTCATATTTTTGAAGAATTTTGTAAAAGTTTTATAATTTTAAGAATAACATTTTTTATTTAAAAATTTTTGTGAATAATTGCAGTAGAGTTTACATTTTTCGTACACTTTAATTATATCTGAAAATAAATACCTCTACTTCTCAATAATCAATTTCCATTGTTGAAAAACACTCTTTAAGCATCAAATCGAATGGCTACAAATACTTCAAAAAAAACTAAACTCTTTTTAAACAGATTCATAATTTACTTCGTCCAAAGATTTAAATAATTAAAACTAAGCTATACAAGAATATGTCTACTTTTAAATTGAATGATAAACGACTAAAAATATGTATATTGCAATTAAACTCAAAATACGTCAATATTCACTGAAATTCGGTCAGCCTCTTCAAAAGTAATTGTCCATATCTTATGTTTACGTAGTTATTATATTACGTAGGTGTATAATACTTTTCTGACGTCAGATGAAATTAATCCTTGCAACTATGTAAATCAGTACTTCAGTAATTGTAAAAAATGTATTGAAACATAAAAAAATTATTGAAAACTGGATGACTTGACACAAGCGTCGATATAGCATTGATGATACATTTCACGTGAATACTCTCGTGATACTTCTGGTGACGTTCAGTGACTTGTGGGTTAGATTACTTCACAATCGGTTGCGTTGATAGCCATTTATGTCCTAAAAAATCTCGCGAAATCTTCTCTGAAAGTTGAAACGATTTTAGTGAAATAAAAAAAAAGTTTCATCATGATGACGAAAACTTTTTGACGAAGTTACACGCTGCAAAGTGATTGAAGTTTTATATTTTTGAAAACTACACAAGAATTGTAAACAAATTCCATTGACAGCATCAATAAAACTAAATGATGCTTTGAACATTTGAAAGTACCTTAGGGCCTCTGAAGCTTTGATCATAAAAGCTAAAATCTACAAAAAATTTTTATTTTAGAATCCAAATCAAAATAGCTATATTTAATATTAATCTCCTTGTCACCTCGAAGATTAAAATCGTGTCAGTTCACTTTGTTTAACTATAATGAGTAACAAAATAAGCATTACTCATATTTAATTAATTACCTGTTTATTGCACGGTAAATAAAACTTAAATGGATAATTTTTGTTGTTAAATTATATTTTTTTATTCATTTTTTGTACCTAATTACTGATGATCTAAGTAAAAAAAAATATTTTTACTCGTTTAACCTACGATTATAGTAGTTCCATTACAGAACTGTAGAAACTATCCTAATTCTATGTTTCATTGTGTATTTTTATAAACCTTAATGTACTTAGCAATTTAATTAATAAAGCAATTAAGGTCAATTTATTTTTGCTTATTTATGGCATAAACAATTCTCAAACGAATTGTCAAACGATATGCAAATTAGTAAAAGTTAAAAAGCATCGCATCATTTGACACTGGCAAAAGTTTGAAATAAATCCAAATCAAACACAACTGTTGCGTATATAAAATATCCGAAGTGGATGAGCCATACGCGCAATGGGCGAGGCTTAATATGAAAAAAACCCAGGCAGCCAATGCGTTGAAACGTTACACAGACGCAAACGCACACACGGACACCGTATAATCTTATACACGCTCCGCGCGAAACTCAGTCGCAAACACGCTTGTACAGTTAATCTGCGAGATGTGTGCGATGAGCTGCTGAGAGTTGTATCACTTAAATGTCGTGTAGTTTTGAAAAAAAGTTTGCCATGTGAGAGCCGAATAATACAAACGGAGTTCTGTGAGTTTTCGGAGTTGCATCGAAATCTCTCGAATGTGCGAAGGAGCCGAGGCATCACTGCTCGCTGAATATAGAGAAAAAGAAAAGATTCACAGGCGAATCCTGTCGTGCATCTGCTGCAGCAGCAGTGTAAAAAGAAAACACGCGTTTGATCGAGAGCCCGCAGCACAAGCGGCACAGGCGCGCGCGGCTCACGCAACCAGTAAAGTGCCATAAGCAGCGTGCGGCCAGCTGTGCTCCTCAGTAGCTCGTGTAACACGACCACCGCGAGATGAAAGTAGCATTAGCCGGTCTCGCGTTAATTTGCTGCTTGGCTTGGCCGCAGGTGGCCACGGCCAGTGGTAGCCAGCTCCTGCAGGAGCAGCAGCCCAGCAGCGGTGCGCTAGTGGAGTTCTTCGACTGTCCCACCGAGGCTCTGGTCGATCTGACGGGCCTCGAGGCCGCCGCGGACGGCTCGATCGAGGCGCACGGCTTGCGCTTCCCGCAAGCGGCCCAGTACCGCGACCAGGCCAAAGTCTTCGGCTGCCCTTGCCGGGAGCGCGCCTGTCTGTCGCTCTGCTGCGACGACGAGAAAGTGTGCAGCGCTCGTCGTCCCAACGTGCCGAAGCTGACCTCGCCGACGACCAAGAGCTTCCCCACGGTGCACGACGCCGAGACCGGCGCGCTCCGAGCCGGCCTCGGCCCGGAAGCTTTCTGGCTGCTTTCCTGGAATCCTTGCCAGTACGAGCGATACGAGCTCGAGCCCGATAAGATCGCCGAGGAGCGGTACGAGCTGCGCAGCGATGGCTCGATCTTTTTGCCGCTCAACAACTCCAGGCGAAATTTCACGCAGTACTGCCTCAACGAAGGCAGTCAGGGCTACAGTGTGCAGGTCTGCTTCGAGGAGCCGTTCGCGGATGCCGAGGACTCGGAGCCCGCCTACACGCCCTTGGCGCCCTGGGGCATGATCTCGTCGGTGCCGTTTCTCTTGGCCACTTTTTTCGTTTATCTGCTGCTGCCCGAATTGCGAAACATACACGGCCTCACCATCACGGCTTACGTATTTTGTCTCATCGTTTCCAATACGTCTCTGTCGACTCTCCAGATAACTCCTCCGGAATGTATTTCTATGCTCGGATGCTACATTTTCGGTAATTTTTGCTTTTGATACGTTTTCATACGTTTGATGACGCTTGAACGAATCGGATGAATTTTAGTTGAGCATAATAACAGGCTCGAGCTGTGTGAATTTATGCATTTTTCAATATGGAAAAAACTACATCAATCGGTTTTAAAGTTTCAATGTATCAGAAGGGTAGTAGTGAAGCATACGATAAAACAAGTCCCTGACTATTGTTTTTTTGAATAGCAGCTGGTTCGAGGTAGGGTATTTTAAAGCGTTATTCTGGGCGATTGCATCATAGATCGTGATAGAAACTTTATACATTGTAGAATTATAAAATATTTCCCGAAACATAAGTTATACAGATAAAAAATGATGCGATCATTTGAAAGAATAAGAGAATGACTTTTTTTAGTAGCTTACAAAATGGAAGCTACTCGGCTTACATTATTAATTTATATTCAAAATTAGCTATACTATGCATAAACAAAATCCATTTTCAAGGATATCGATATCTATAAAGTTTGTCGCTGTCAACCACGATGAAACACGCGTTATTTGATTACAATGTGCTCTAAACTTTTCCTTACAACAAACGCTTACAACAAGCTGTTTCAATAAAATGCAGGAAAAATTTGCAGAGTCTTTTAACGACTAGAAAATTTTCCCTATAAACTTTTATAATGCTTATATAAATACTGTACTTTAACATTAGCATATTTGCATGCCTACAACGTAATTATTACGCTGAGGAAAAGTCCGATTCAAATTATAAGGCGAAGAAAATTCTTCAGCCTAAGCTTCTAACATTAGATCTTTTTCGTCTTATTTTAGGCTTTAGAATAAAAATTAGATCATTTGAACGATCGTGAAAAAACATCGTAAAAATTGTTCGTAATTTTTCGATGTCGAATGAAATCGAATTTCGTATGTTTTTGATGTCGAAAGAATATTTACATTTTTACTATTTCACAAAGTTGTAGTTTTATTTTAAAGAAGAACCTAGGAGAAAAAAAAATTTGACCTGATTGAAATGATTGATTTATTGAATTATTTAATTAATTATTCTAAAAAAAGTATTAATGTAGATATAATAATAAGTAACGTTTTAATTTTTTACAGCTTATATTGTACACTTCTTCTTCTTGGCAAGTTTCTTCTGGCTCAATGTAATGTGCTTTGACATTTGGTGGACTTTTGGGTAAGTTTTTATCATAGTTATACGTAATTCGTTATTTTCTATCATACTTTCTGGATTGGGTAATTTTTTGAACTCTGGTTTCGATTTACTTTCGTGCATTATAGCCTTATTATGATCAGTACCCCGTTAACGAAAACCCTTTGAAATTGATGTTTTCGAATTCATTTTTTTTAAAGGGCCAATCACTTTAATTTCACATGATTTTTTGAAAGTTTGTAAAAAAGATGTCGTTTTCATCCACCTTTACTACAACTACTGATGTGGCCATACTATTATGTACGATAAAAAAACGTTTCGTATATTTTGAGAGAGCATTTTTTAATTAATTATGATATTATATTTAAAGTTATGACCGCTGATTAAATTATCACCGAAAGTCGATCATTTTTTGAACTTTTAAAGTTTGAAGGCCCCATGAAGATTTAAAATTTTCTATCAAGATGAGAAACAAATTATCGATTAACATCAAAATCTATTTCGAAATCATTTTGAATGTTATGATAATGTAAAATAAATTGATGGAGTAAGAGGAGATTATTTTAAAATAATTTTTTTTAAATGTTGAGCTAAGCTCGAAATAATTCAACATTTGTAAGTGATTCATAAAAAAAAAAAAAAAATTAAACAAGTAAATAAATATATTACGAGAAAATCTAAAATAATGTAACATAAATTAATCGTTTAGAATGATGTATTTTATTTTTACAATCATTTGTTGATACGATCGATACTAAGCACAACGGCTTTAGATTTTTAGACAGCACTTATTCTACTCGAGACTAGTCATTTATCTTAGAATTTCGAATGATTTAATACATACAATTTAATTTTTTTCTTGTTCTTCTACTTACATCTTACGAGAATATCAATTAAATTTACTGGAGAATTTTAATAGAGAAAATTTTGTTTTTTTTTAAATATAAAAAAAAGAAAAACTACTATTTTTTGTTATGCACAATCTAACGAATGAAAATATTTATTTTGAGCTGGTTCATTGAGTAAGTAATGCTTATATTTACCATAATTTAAGGAGCAGTTCGTATCGTACCTTAAAACTAAGAGTACTTTCTGTTTTCACCATAATATTAAAATATATAATCGCTGGGTACATTATACATTATTCGGCTGGGGTAGCATAGAAAATTAAAGAATTATACACGAGAGAAGGCTAAAAAATACGTATCAAAATAAATCACAAAAATCAAAAGATATTTTTTCTTCATCTAAAATGATTGATTGATAAGTCTGTAAGAAGATGTATAAATAGATTGAAACGTCTTAAATTAAGTGAAAAACTCTGTTAACTTCAGATGTTTATGGATAGATACAGGTAATAAAACGTACATTATGTTTCATTTCCGAATATTAAAAATATGATGGCTAGGAATAATCATGCGAAAAAAATCGTAATCATTTTTGAAGTAAACAACACGCGTTGAAAAATAATAGATTCAATAATTAATTACTTATTTCTCATTGAGAAAATTGGCTAAAATTTGAATTTAATTGAATTAATTTGTTAAGTATATAAAGTGAGTATTTTATTTTTGCAATGAAATTTCGGTGCATTTCAATAACAAAAAGTGAAAATGATATGAAAAAAATGTTGTAATTTTTTGACTTTCGTTTATTTAATATTGAGTATTCTCCATTCAGTATTAAGTTTAGCGGTTTACATCGAAACAGTTTTTTCTAAAAATGAGTTCTTTCATTTTAATCTCAATAAGTAAAGAATAAAAAAAAACAGTCTAGTAAAATACTTTCTGAGGCAAATTTCAAAACCTTCACTAAAAACCACACCAAAATTTTTTACTTTAAATGGTCATCGTTTTCGAAGTACGGTGTAAAACAATTAATGTACCCGATAACATTCAACTCAATTAAAATATTACAAGAGCTCCTTTCTAGAGATTTCCCTTGAGCTTCCTAAAGTGTATGGATGACAGGATTTTTTAATAGCACTAAACGATGTTACATACAGTTGCGCACGTTGTACTAAATTATAATTTTAATTTCACTTTGAAGGAGTGAGAAGCAATGCTCTAACGTTTATGTTATTAATTTTCTAAGCTTCTTTCGTTAAAAAACAAGTTTTCTAATTTTTTTTTTCAATGTTTCCTGTAAGATAAATTGAAAAACTGAATATGTGTACGTAACTAAAATAGCAGAATTTGAACTTATGATCCAACTTATTTTTCTTATTTTTCTAATTGAATATAATTTTGAACAGAGAATTTATCGCGATGGTAAAATTTGTTGGTAGAAGATTTTTAAACTACCCTAATTCTATGTCTAGTGAGCTAATATTCACGACGAATTTAAAAAAAATGTATTATCTTTTAATAGTCTGCAAAAGGCGATGTTAAAGGTACCGATGAACCAGCGGTAAGAGCTGTTGAAATAACTTTTTTCAATTGAATATAGCTTTCGATGGTTCAAATTTTCATTCATAGTAGTGCACGAGTAGTGTAGCAGCATTATCTGCATTATCTTTACTTTTAGCTACTATATCAATCTTGAACTCGACTCATAACTATACCTGATTATTTATTTATTCTGCCAAAAAAATTTAATTATGTTGCAAAAATTTTGATGCGAATGAATTTATCTTAGCTATACCTTGGTTTATTTATTAATTTTTTTTACTCATATTTTATTTGTGCACATTAGATTGAAGGTTCACATATTTAAAATGATTGAAACCTCGCACTAAAACTCGGGCGAACAGTTTATTCTCGTGTGCCAAAATAAAATGAAAATAATGGTAAACTCGTTACCAAATTGTATAATGTTAAATTATGTACTGCACATATTAACATCAGTATAGAGCAAGGAATTTGAAATCTAATACAACTTTTTCTATCTTTAATACTTATATTGTTAAAAAATAAATCCAAGATTAAAAAATTAATGATAATAAAAAATTTGTTGTCCAATTAATAATGATGTTGGACTTAATTAATTCGTCAGTCATGAGCTTTTAAATTGGCATTTAAACATGAAACTCCTCTACAGTGTTTTGAAGCTGGTTTATAACTAAATATTTATCTAAAAAGCTTCATTTAAATGGTTAATAGTCAACAATTTTCTTCTTAACCCCAGCTTTGTCACATCCTTACTAAAGTAAAATACCATGCATTTCACACGATGATATAATTCTCTTTGCCTGCATAGTCATCCTCTAATTTCTTACCTACCCTAATTTTTATAAATATGAAGGATATATTTTCAGCTATTTTCATTCAAGAATGATTTTTATGCCCCAATTTTTTAAGATTTTAATTTAAAAAAACATCACTGTAAAATAATAGACCCGCTAGATGTCAAGAATTATCTTCCCGTCTTTCCGAAAAACAATTATGTAAAAACTGCTGAAAATGATATTTTGGTTTTATACATGCTTGCAAAGGCATACAGAAATATTATGAAATTTCAAATAATGATTTCATTGAAAATAGTTGATGTTTTCCCATTATAGTTTTTCCTGGGACCTCGTAAAATCAAAAGAATTAAAATTTTTTACTTTAATGTTGCTATTTTTCAACAGTTACTTTCTCTCACACATAAATCAATATAAATGTATGATACAAATTTAAAAGGATTTTTTTAATTTTGTGTTTTAGGGGATTTCGATCTCTCCATGGAAGCGTAAAACAACGGGAACATAAAAAGTTTATGCTGTATTCGATTTATGCTTGGGGATGTGCCAGTTTACTCACAGGTCTATGCCTGATCATGGACTTAACGCCTGGTATCCCTAACGACATCATAAAACCAAATTTTGGACAACAGACCTGTTGGTTTGCATGTGAGTATTCCTTGTTTTTTATGTTGCACTATATAAGATGCATTGCATAGATATTTAGAATAAAAACTAGGGCAACATTGCCTTTCCAATTTATGAACATAAATGATAATAAACATATTTTTCAGCCAATGATGCTAAGGCTATTTATTTCTATGGGCCTATGGGAGTTACGGTAGTCTGCAATATTTTCCTTTTCATTATGACTGCAATTAAAATTTTGCGACACAAAAAAGACACAGCTCGACATCTGAAAGGTAGCGATAGTAGACGTCACGATGATAACAAACAATGGTACGTACTCATCTCTATCAATATTGTCATTTATTACAAAAATGTTTGCTCCTCCTGAAATAATAGCTTAAAATCACAATGAAGTTATTAATACTTTTATTTTTACTTTGAGACAATAAATGATTTACTAATTTCAGGTTCAATTTGTATCTAAAACTGTTTATCGTCATGGGAATCAATTGGTCGATGGAAATAGTCTCATGGCTTTTGGCAAAACGAACACCAGAGTACATATTTTATCTCACCGATTTAGTAAACTCGCTGCAAGGAGTTGTAATATTCATCATTTTTGTATGGAAAGAAAAAATCAAACAATTGCTATTAAAGCGTTTTGGCTGCGAGGGTAAATGGCTGTCTCGAAATTCAACTGGACAAAGTGGCAATCCTCAAATGACAAATTCGAGTTCACGAAACACTTGTACGACGATGACTACAGTACCAGTGCCTGAAAAATCGGTTCACGAAAAATTTTCTCCAGTTATTGAAACGACTGAGAATGTTTAAAGATCTATCGTCATTTGATTCAATTTGGCGCTTTATGCATTTATTTTTAATTCACAAGTTTGACGAATTTTAGTCTTACTCGTTCAGTTTTATTTGTCGATTTCGAAAATTCGATTTCTTATCGTATCAAGTACAAAATTATTTTTAAATGTATGAGAGTTTATGATTTTTTCTCAAATTTTTCAAATTATTATTAATAATTAAAAATTTTTTAAAATAGAATTCCAAAAAATTCTAATTTGGAAATTACTCTAACACTTCGTTCGTAAGGACGATATTTCTTTCTGATTTTACTGTGGTGATTCCACATAAACTGAAAACAAAATGTTCGTAAAAGTATTCCATATTTATCGCGGCCTTATGAAACTGAAAACACTCAACTTACAGATTTTGGATACCACTCCCTCAATTCACTTCAGGATCTCATTAACCAATCAAAAAACTTGAAATTTTCATAAAAATAACAATTTATTTTTTAGTTGTATTATAAATTGTTACACGGCTATCAACTATTCTGCAAAGTCAATCATAGTCAATAGCTGTTTGGAATAAGTTGAATTTTGGTTAAAATGATATTAAACTGCCATACACTGTAAATAACTGTTATACTTAATCTATAAACTAGTCTGCCGATAACTTGAAAAAATATCGAATAACTTATTATGAATAATTGTAAGAGTCAACATTTTACGTGCTCACTTCAAAATTTTGCAGCGCAGAATGGACGTATTATATAAGAATCTTTGGTCAGGATCATATTAAAAATATTGATAACTATTATAAGACTGCACTAATTCTAGTTCACTTATGGACTTATAAGTTAGATCAGATATCAATAATTCTGGTGTTTATACAATCATTTGAATATTGTGTGAAAAAGTAAATTAGCTTTGATAAAATATCATTTGTAGAAGCTACGCTTTTTTTATTAATTCAACAATAAACATTGTGAACATTTTTTATACCAAATAAACACCAGACATAATAATTTGAGAGAATTAGAATAATTTTGTCAATTTATACTCTGTATTTGAATTTTCCTGCAGGCGTTTTACGCGATGAGTGATTATACTCAAATTTTTATAACAGTAGAGCAGGCTGATCATTAAATTTCGTTAATATTGTACAGTTTTAGCTTGCAAGCTGGATTTTGTAGAAATAAGACTATTTTTTATCAAGATTTTAGTTTATTTTATGTTAAGTTCACACGAAACTATTGTACAAAAATAAAAATATCATGAAAATAATCACTATAGATTTCTTTTCGTATTTATACTTGAAATGAATCAAGAACTCAACAATTAATCTAAAATGAATTATTTGACAATTTGACAATCTTATTAAATATCTGAACGACAAACACGACTTGACGAAATCATAAATCGAATAAAAAAAAAAGTAACATATTTTTGTATAATAAAACTTGTAAGAGTCCATTGATTCACGAGGTTTTTGTAACCGATTGAGGTAACGATGTCAAACAAGGTTTTTCTCATGTATTTTGACCTTCTAAAGACAAGTATCTAGAAGATTTTCAAGCACGATAAATGGCATTATACATTCTAAGATTATCCAAGAATTCGTGACGTCAGTCATTTTTGGATTTTACAAGAAATTATCAAGTAATCAACTCTCAAAAATATTGATCGCGTAATAATTTCAGCAATTAAAAATCTCCTTTTTATCGAGCGATTAAATTTTTAACAATTTGTTCTTTAAGACAAATTTTTAGACGTTTTGGGACATATCTACAAAAATTATTCATATTAAAAGGGTCCAAATATATTAGAAAAACTTTATTGGACTCATTTGATAGTATCCCTCTATTATTTTAGTAATTGTAAGTATTTTCACTCTAAATAAACTTTTTTCAAATCTACTCAAAAATTAGTCATGGATAATGCACTAGTATCTAATTTTTGTAAATTATGCATGGAAAATAAAAAGGGTTTAAAATTTACACTAAAATTAAATATATTTAAAACAAACTATGTAAATAATTTAAAAAAAGAAAAATTTCCAAAAATTTGAATAATAGATCAATCGTAAAAAAACTACTATTACGATTATAAAAGCTCTAATCATTTAAAGTACTAATTCATAACTCTGATGAATAATTCTGTTAAATTGAATACACGAAATAACAATAATTATATGTTATAATAGTTATCATAATTATACTTTGAGCATTGATGTGTATTCAAATAAAATGTAATGTAAAATGTAATTCTAATCAATGAGATTGAAAATGAAATCTACTTGCTCGTTTTGATTATAATGAAAATTTTGTGTTTTGTAAAAAATAAGAAATGTAGAGCCAGTTCATTAGAGTACAACACTTAGCTCAATTATACAATGTAGTCAATTACCAAGAAAGTGAAAAGATCTAAAAAATTATCGCAACGAAACGCCCTTGGAATTATTCATGACTTTAATTCAAAGCATCAACTTCGAAACGTTTAAAAAAAAACCCAATGCTTATCTTTTTTCTCGCAATTGTTTGATAAACTGATTATTTTAATTAAAAAGCCATGTAGTTACTTATGTACTATGATACTTTCTTTGCATGTCCAGCTGAACTATTCAAAAGAACATCTCTTTCAACTGTAAAAGGTTTGACTAGAAATCGGTTGATTTGTCTGAAGTATACACCTCGATATATATTGTACATAAAATATACAGGTGTTTATTTGTAATATGCGTGTTAAAATAGTGGAAAAGATAATAATTGTACTTAAAATATACAGGTGCTTATTTGTAGCATGCGTGTTAAAAAAGTTGAAAAGATAATAAGTAAATTAAAGTACGACGCATGTAAATTTTCAGAACATACAATTGATCGAGGTAAGAAAGGTTTTGAACTAGGAAGGATGTGTGCGTGTGTTATTGTAATTTCTATTACGTATATTAGTCAATTATAACTCCAAATTTGTTGTTCAGTTAATTAAATTTTTAATCACTTTTTGTAGTACAATTGAATAAATGTAGAGTAAAAGGCAAATTTCAAGTATTATGATTAAAAATGAAAAAGTAAGTTGTGATACTCAAATGATCCTTTTTAACTGTATACATTTTTGTCTTTTTTTTACATGATGAATTAAAATATTTCGTCTTTAATGATGAATTAAAGATTGAAAATGATTATAATCAAATATTTACAAAGTGCTTAAATATGCTAAGATATTTATTTAAGCGTACATATCTTCACGATCTGCTCCAACACCATCACCATCTTCCAGACTTGCAAAGTTAAGGAAGTGGGCGGGTCTGTGTACTTCATGGTAAAATTCTTTCGGGTTCATCAATTGAAGTTCATACTTCATATTTGGATCGTGTCTCACACCTAAAAAAGAAAGAAAAAACATAGAATTTTTATTTTTAATATTATATCATATTATCGTAATATTTCAACGCGAAGAGCATTCAATTTACCGCTTTTAAAAAATGATTAAGAACTCAATTGATTTTTACAATATAGGTTTGAATTTACATATTAAAGAATATAAAAAAAGACACTTACCCATAAAGTTATAATTCCATGACCCTTGATTCGGTACCATGAAGAATCCAAGGAATCTATCAGATAGTAACATTTGAACCTTTTCGTAATGACTTGGAAGGTAACCTTTTGGATTATTTCCTTTGTCGGTGTTTTGTTTACCCCATTCAAATCCGCTAAAATATTAATATTTAATTAGTTTAAATAATGGATATCGATATGATTTTATATAAAATAATTTTGTAATTAACAAACCTTGGAGTCAGCTTATAAGCTGTTAGAGAACAGGAACCAGGAGTGAAACTGCAAGTTATCACTATTGTCTTTTCACCATCCCAAGCTGGATTTTCTGCCATCACTTTAGCGTGTGTTGTAATATCCTGTGGTGACAACTGAGGCAATTCATTAGGTTGAGTGTGAATCCACCCCAAAGGTTCCATTTCTTTGAGATACTGATGACCAGGTAACGTACTGGGGAGATGCACAGTTTGATGGGTTCCCCATTGAGGAGGCATGACAATGCATCTAATTTCTTTTACTTGAGGATTGTCAGGTGGACTGACACCATATAAATATCCGGCGATTTGAGCACGCAAATCGGAGATAGTCACGAATTTCTTTAGAACGTTTTTCGGTAAAATGTACGTGTAACCAGTTTCCTTGATATCATCAGAACTGACGTAAATATGATTTGTTCGCAAATGCAAATTAGTAGCTGAAATGGCTCGAATACGCCATTCAGTTTTGGAACTGAAGGATTGTGTTTCGTAGTTGGATGTTGTTGCGGTAATAATTTCATCACCGTGTTTGTTGACTGTTCTGGTTGTAGTAGCAGTGAGTTGAGATTGTTCTTTAGTCTGCTTCTCAATTTCAGCAATTTGTTGTCTTTGAGCCGATGGTGCACTAATTTCCATACCAAGAATAATGTCTCGAATTTCGGACTGTGTTAAAGAAGCAACGTTGACGTTGTTCTTCTTACCATAATCGGCAAGAATTAGATCCTTCAATTGTACTTCAACCTTGACCCATTCGTCATCAGTAAGTGATGGCCATATGTGATGAGGTTCAGTGATAGTTGTTTTATCTGGTTTAAGAACCACTTTGGTTCTTTCAGTATTCACGTGCAGAGCACGGAGAATTAAAATTAAACGAGAGAATGCAGTATAAGATGAAATTGTTTTGAGCCAATCATCGTATAGATTGAATAATACCATTTGTGGTTCAGTTGCTTTCAAAATGAGATCACCGAACTTCTCAACTTTGAGACAAGCTTGGAATGGTAATTGTAACTCGGAACCTTTAATAACAATATTTGGGAAGTCAAGTAAATGCACTTCCAGCGGGTCCAACATTCCCTTACGAGTAACGATAATTTGCTTAGGTTGTTCTTCAACAGGCAGTGAACGAATAAGAGCAGCAACTTCTTCTGCAGTCTTCCACTTAGCTAATTGACCCAGACGTTTCTGACCTGCCCATACCGAAGTATGAATAATCTTGAGAAACAGTTGTCCGGTTCTGGGATTGAAAATGAAAATTGCGCCGTTGATGGGCTTCGTCGTCAAGTTTCCTTCAAACGTTTTGTGAATAGTAACACGATAAACGTTGGTATCGTCGACGAACCAAATAATTTGGTTACAGAACAGCTCTCCGTAATTTTGCGACGATAGGTAGGGCTCAGTGGGCTCGGACGAGTACAACTGCAATGCTTTCCTTATACGTTCTCTCAACACATACAGAGCAGGATTAGCTTTCATAATTTTAGCCATGGCCTGTTGAATTAAAGGCTTGCAACCAGGGAACCAGTTACCATATGCACTGTGTAAGTTGTAGGCCAAGTCAATAGCAATCAATAAACCGGTTGGAGATGGATATATTGACATGTTGTCAGTAGTGTAATCTAAAAATTTGGCTCGGGCATAACGTTCTATGTCGTGAGAATCATAATCACCCCAACGTAACTGAACGTCAATCCAGTATTTTTGCGTCGTAGTATTGTCCATCACGTCTTTAGAGTCAGCCAAAAGCGATGGTCTTGAGACGTTCCACTTGTATGCAGAGAACAGTAAAATATCGGCACATGAAGAGTTCATTTTGTAAGATTTACGTGGATGTATGGTTTCTTTTTGTACTGTTTCAATTTCTAGAGCATCAAGTTCTTGATCAAAAACTTGACAAAGATCCATAACGATGGACTCGTGGACTTTTTGCCACAAGTGAGCACGGAAAATTTGAATAAGAGAAATTTTTAAAGTTGGAATCTTTCCGTGCATGAAAATTCCTGTCAAATCTAGTTGTACTTGGAAACCAACATATACATTGGCTCTGTTAATAGTGGGCGACCACCACAAGGTAAAACGACGATTAGGAATTTGATTCAAACCAGATCGTTGAGCGTTAGTCAATTTTTTGTACTTCATTGATTCTTCAAAGCCTGATGCTTTTTCCCAGAACAGACCTTCCCATGTAGGGAAGTATGTTCCTTTGAAAAGAGTGTGTTCCAAGATTCCTTCAACACCACCCAAAGCTTGAATCATATCTGTTCTATAGTTATTTAAATTCCACAATTTGCCGTCGTGACGTTGATGAGTCCACCAGAACGGATTTTGCTTCAAAACCTGATATTGTTTAAATTCTGTACGTATCCTCCAACCCTTGTCATACGCAAGAGTGTGTCTGTCTTTTTGGAACAAAGTATTAATACGAGGGATACCACGATCCCAACTGTCCTCGAGATCTTCAAGAGTTAAACGACGATTTTGTGCATTAGCTTCTTGACGTTTTAATGCGTATTCTGCCCACACTCTTTGTGAATCAATGAATTCAGATTCCCAGGGTTGAATATATCTGTACAAATTTGGAATGAGCTGATCTTCGTCGTGGCTCATACCCGAACGGAAATGAGTAATACCCACTTCAGTCTGTTTAGACCACCGAAGATCTGATTGTGGAATAAGTACATGACCCATAGACAACATTCCTAAGCCTCCCAATTCTTTCGGTGTATAAAATACAACGGGTGGAAATCTCGAAGGCATTTTTGAATTAAGACCAATTTTGATACGAGTTTGTATTTTGTTCTCACATTTAACTAATAAATCGAGCAATTCTTGTGTATTGACAACTGCTTCACGGAAATAGGTCATAAGACCAATCAATGCAGTGTTCCATTTGTTGACAATTTTTGTGAAAGTAGTTGAGCCTGATGCCATGAGAATTTGTCGGACACGATTGTGGAATCTTTGTAAACTCTCATCATCGACTCTTAAAAAGCATTGTGCCGTACGTTCTTTGGTTACTTCATTCTGAAGATTCCAAACACCATCTCTGTGCGTAAATTCTTCATGCGTCATTCGACATTTAGGCAATATACGGCATTCAAAGCCACTCATATTAAATAGCAAATTTGGATTGTCTTTGCTGTAAACACTGACAAAACTGTTTTCCCATTGAACAGTAGTTGCTGAACGAGGCAAACGGTTTTTGATATCCCAAAAGACAGCACGGCCAAGATTAACATCGTGTTTCATCAGACGCATACGCGCATCACGTGGCCAACATTTCTTATTGTTGTAGCCAACTATATTTTCATTGTTAGGATCTGGATGTTCTGTTAAATATCGCTGAATCAAATCACGCGCTTCATCGGCACTGAAGCGCAAGAAAAGATGAATTCTATCGACGTAACGACAGTACAAGCGGATTGGATGGGCAACTTCGGAAGCGACGTCCTGGAATGTAAGGAATTCATTGGGCATCTGTGGTGGACCAGCCATTTCACTAGCCCTTTGCAGACCAAGGACCAACAAATCCAATACGAGGCCATAGTATTGTGCAATAAACGAAGCAAATTGAAGACCCCTTATGATGCCATAACTGTTGGTGTGATTCATGTCTTTGTAATTTATGACAACGTTGTTTTTGGCTGTCATGTAATCAGCAATATTATGATCAACAATGAGACGCAATAATCGATTGAGTAAGGTTAAGTCAATCTTTTCGTACAGTTTCTCAAACTTCGATTCCAGCAGAACATTGCATTCACCTTCGCTAACATCCCAAACATCCTGAAGGTTATTTATACCTTGGCACCACTTGTAGACAAGTAATGGAGGAGGTTCGGCATCAGCGGGCTTAACCCATGGTGGGAAAAGACGACGCTTATCGGCTTCGTACCACAAGTATTGATCTAGATATGCATCTGTGATTTTTTCTAAAGGTTCTACATCATAAACCGGTATCAAATGGCTGTACAGATCCATGAATTCAATACCAACTTCTTTAAATGCTCTTTGAGTAAGCAAATGACGCTTGATCCTGGATAATGCTTCATGAGGATTATCATAGGCTTGTTCAATTAATCCGAGCTCTTCTCTTTGGCTCTGATTCAATCTTGATTTAACGCTGTAAGCTTCTTTCAATCTTTCAAGGGCTAATATAAGTAATTTGGTGTCATGTTTATAAGAAAGTGGTGGGAAAGGAATTGGAGCGAATCTTCTTGATTCAAGCCAATGAACGGTAGTAGTGTAAATTGCAACGGCTTCTTCAGGCGAAATATATGGCCCATCCTTCAGATAGTTATGTTGACGTTCTTGCTCAGCTTTCAAGTAGAGTCGAGTGAGGCGTCCCAAATTTTTTTTACATACGGTTTTGTCAACTGTAGCTCCTCTACGAATACGCTCGCGATTGTAATGCGCAGTATTTGTCCACCAATCAGCTTTCATTTTGACGTATCTAAGAATCATATTTTCAATAGGAATGGGCAATCCTGGAACCTTCCACGGAATGTTTGCTTTCCAACATCTCCAGGCTTCACTCAAATGCTGCAAGATTGTTCTGGCTTTATTCTGTTTGATACCTTCTGGCATCATGTCTACAATATCGTGCATAACAGATGCTCTAAGCTCTAGATCAAAGTGAGACTCTACTCTTTGTTTAGTCACAGTTTTTGCAACACCTTTAGAGTGTCGTCCTTCAAATTGTCTCGACAATAAATTCCCAAGCCATCTTTCTAATAGAGGTGTGATTCCACGCATGAAGAAAAGCCACACACGCCAACCAGGTGCCCAAAATCCGCAGCCTGGTCCTTTTCCAACTGGACCAGTATTGAATCGATAGTAAATTAAATGCTTCAAATCTTTGCACATTCTTATCTGTCTCATCAACTTGTATTTATAACGATACATTCCAGTTAACTGACCAACATGAGCAAAGATATATTGAAGACCATCAGCTAGTTGGAAAGCATCAACATTATTCAAGCGGTATTGAACATGTGAATCAATAATCAACTTAGTCAGCCGAAGAATTTCGCGGCAAAGATGGAAGGCGTTTCCGAAACGAGATTTTTTTCTTTCCTTGGTGGTTAGTGTCTTGCTAGGTTTTAAGTTGAAATTGTAATCCAGATGAAGGTAGTTCAGATTCTTTCGGTGTATCAATAAATTCAACATATTATATCCTTGACGGCATACTTGTAAACCAGCTTCTACCCAATCAATCATAGTTGTTTGGAAGAATTTCGTTGATTTGAATGAACGGAATAGATATCTTTTCTTTTGAGGTTTAGGGTGCCTGTGTTTCAAGGCATTCAAAACAAAATATTTCAGTAATTTTTGATAACTAACTCTGACTTTCACGGGTTGTCCTGGTGGAGCATGTTCTCTGTACCATGACTTTACTAAGGGAATATCGATTGCTCTTCTAGTTCTATCAGATCTAGTATTGAATGGTCGTGGAGCCCAAAGCAAAGCAATGCCATTAGCTGTATTGTCTGTGTAGAGAGGAGTTTCTTGATAGAATGGTTGAACACCTTCTGGTAGTACATACTCCTCATCATCATCAATTACAGGTTCATTTGTCTTTAACGAGTTTCTATGAGAAATTGGATTGATCAGAGGATCAAAGTAGAAGGCAGGTAAATCTGGATCTTCTGTTTTAATGTACACAACATTTGGAGCGTGATACCTGGAATTGAAGTTAATTATTTTTCACTTTTATAAAAATAAATAATAGGTATCATAATAATAAAATATAGATTTTATAAGAAAGAAAAATAGATTTATAGGTAGAGTAAGCGATCTCCTTTCAAAACTTAATAAAGGATTTGATAAACTGCTACCAAATTTACTATACCACACGGCTAGTAAGATTTATTTGTAACTAAACATAAATCTTAAAACTTAGTGTGAAAATAATAGATAAATACAAGTCAACATGAATATAGTTCATTAAATTTGGCTTACCATGATAGATGGACATAATGCGGCATGTTATTATACAAATAAGGAAAAGCAATTCTGTATTCAGTTCTAATTGGTTGCCTAATTATAATCTTGTTAATATCATTAAATTCATTCCAATCTTCATCGGCAGCATTTGAATCTTTAACTAGAGGTTCAAACTTTGGTCCACCAGGAATAGCCATATTCAAGGCTTTAGCAGTGAAGAATGATTTAGGATCAAATAGATAAAAGTAATTGTTATCTACTAAATCGGTCAACAAGGGATTTGCTAGACGGTAGAGAGCTGCCATAACTGGTAGAGATAAGTTCCACTTTCTATAAGTGGAGCCATTTACATACCTAAAATAAACGAAATGTAGTTAGAATACTAATTAAATTAATAACTAGTTTTTTAAAAGTGAAATAGATTTATTGTTTAATTTATGAGCATTTTTTTCACTTACTTTGTTCCTACAAGAGGTTTATGATCATAAAACCATTCAGCTACAGGGGAATCTTCGTCTGCATCCATTTCAATTTGGATAGCTTCCAAAGGTTCAACATCTAAAACATTGTCAGCATAATCTAATGGAGGTTCTTCATCATCAAAAGGTGGAAATCTCATGCGTTTAAAATGTCTTCGATCTCTTTTTTCTCTTCTCATCATAACCCACATGGTACTAAAATACCAATAGGCATTATATTTAAAATTTAAATAAAATATGACAATCTATAACTACAATAAAAATCATGTAATTATGACAAATTCTTACCCCCATTGAGCTATGTACAGAGGCTCTATGACCCATGGTATTTCATTGACAAATGTAATAGCACCAGTGATGTGGTACAATACTTTGACATCTCTTATTTGTTCCCAAGGCATGGGCATATTTTCAAGTAACTTCATCACCGCATGAGGCATATATTTAAGAGAACTGAAATAAAAAATTCATTTTCAAGAAAATGTTACCTTAATCGGAAATGAAAAAAAATTTTACCAACCCTAAATAAACTCGTTTATCATGTCTATATTTACGACTGCTCATGTCACCATGATCTCTTATTATTTTTCTAATATGCTCTGGAGGCATATCTTCTTTTTGAGCATCAACAAAACCAAATTTGCGCTTTTCAGCAAATCGTTTGGATTGAAGCTGTTGCCATTTTTGAGCTTTCTCTTGCAATTTATCTTCTGTAATAATTTCAGATTGTTTCATTGAGGGTGATGGTTGAGGCAGTGGTGGTCCTGTACTCATTGCTTGCATATGAGCATGATGAGCAGCTTGAGCTTGAGCAGCGGCTTGAGCATGAGCAGCTTGAGCTGCAGCCATTTGGGCAGCTTGTTGCTGAGCCATCATCTGGGCCCATGGGTTTGGACCCAGCAAATGATAAGGCGGTATGGACATTTTGGGTTAGAAATTGACCAATCTGAAAAAATCAACAAAAAATATTCATAAAATACAATGCAAACTTTGTTGATTCGTACAAAAAAAGATATTTTCCGAAAATTCAATCTTATATTTTAACCTATTCATGTTAACATCTTTCAATTGATAATCTTCTTAAAAATCATTATCCAGTAAAAAAGAGATGAAGTTAACGAAATTTTAACTGAATGATAGTTGAAGTATGAAGTAGTGTACAACAACTTTTGATACAAATCACGAGGAAATTTATCGACTAAATGTTGGGTAAATATGGGACCTCATGAACGTCGGATTCAGAGATGTTTTATTATGGGCACAATAGCAGTTGTTCGTGACTTACGGATGAAGACACAATACTTGATCAAGCATGCACAGCTTTCATCCTTGGTCAATGGTTATTTGATTTGTTTTTCCGCAAAAACACTGTCGTTGTTGCCGGTGAATTAGCACGCCATTTTCCACGATGCTATATCGTTCACACACACAATAGCGGGGTTAGTGGTACACGTATTTTAGACTGCGGAACAACGCCAAAGTACAGTCATAGAACGGAGGAGTAAATTTTTGCCGGGTGCAAGACGGTGGCGACCTCAAATCACCAAGTGGCAAGTTTATGTTTTACGGTGTAGGGCCGGACTCGGGACTCAGTCACTCAGCCCTTAGAAATTGCAACAGGGGAAAAAGTTCCAGGGACCAAGAGACCCTATAATTCGTCTATAGCGATTGGTAGCATCTCTGATTTGATACTTGAGGTGAATTAGAACGATCTGACGGTACTAGCATGATTTGGTCTGCAAATTATCATTATGAATTTCAACAATTATCAAAATTTCTTAATTATACCTATTCCGAGTTAATTTTTCAAAAACTATGGAATTTCAAAGAAAATACTTCATTATTACTTTTTCAAATTGAGCCTGTTCTGATCGTTCGGATGCAAAAGAAGTTAAGGAGGCTCTTTCGGTACCGGTTTTTGTACAGTCGAACGCGCTGTAGCTTACGCATGGTGCAGAACGCAACGTAATGCGCATGTGCCGTACGGCTAGGCCTTTCTCGAGCAGACATCTGATTTTAAGTTTATTTCCCATTGAGAAATAGATTTAGTTGATTTTTTTTATAAAATGTTCAATTCATATTTTAATAATAAAAGATTTCTTTCTCAGAATTGCCCCGTTTTTTATTTAATTTAAAATTTTTATTTTTATTCGAATTTGAATTTCGCGCTCTTTTGCGTTGCGTCGTCTTTCGGATCACATCGAGGAATTCAACGGTTATCACGTTATATTTCTTCAGAACGTTCGCCAACCTATATTTTTTATCATTTCATTTTAAACATTATTAAATTCCCTTTCAGAAAATATAACTTTTATCAAAGTCTCTCATCATTGAAAAAAGTTATTAACAAAAAAAGATAGCCTCCCATAAGACTGCATGTTAAAATGAGCATTTTCGACTGCAGTTTTCTCGGAAGTTAGTTCGCCGACCCCCAATTTTTTTTTTTTCTACATAATTGTGATGCTCTAAGGAATCGATGATATCAATTACATCAAATTCTCTCATCTTTGACAAAATCGAAAGAGCCTCCTTAAGTCGATTCTCTGACGTAAATATCTCGAGTTTCATACCTTGCAATCTTTTTTTTGGATTTTGTACAAGTATTATTAATCAAATTTTAATTAAAATGTTCACCATTTAAGAAGAAAAGTAAAATAGTTTTTTATTTTCTTTACATAATGGTCGAGTAATGAACCAAGGCGCCAGTGGTATTAAATTAATTTTTTTCGTGTAAAATCATCTAACAATATTTAACAGAATATCAGCCGTATTGAGTTTTCTTCCATAAATTTTATTGATTATTCATAACTCGCAAGGAGGTGACTGTTGCAAGGAATTTACTCAATAAACAACGCCAAAGGCGCGGCCTTTTTGTCGCGTCAATGCTCGAGACGTATGGCTTAAAATACGACCGGGAAAGTGGGGATAAGGATGTTTACTGCTTAAAATATACCTATATAGTGAAGCTCTGAAGCTCATCAAGCTCCGCTTCATTTCGTGTAGCTATACTTTCATATGAATCCAGACTCTTTGCTGTATTAATTATTTTATTGACATATTTCGCTGGAAATCAAACTTGCAATACGATTATTGTTTGTTGGCAGTATTTTTGTTGAAATAACATTCAATAATCGTCATTCGCGTAACTAAATTTTTCTTGAATTTTCAGTTGGTTTCTTTTTTTGTAAGATACTATTTGAAATCAATCTTACCACGATAAAAATTATTTATAAAAATTGTTTACAAGGTAAAAAGTCATGCAAATTTCAACAAACTTGTTTTAATGTTATTCGTGCTTTTTGAACCCAATATTTTGTACTGTTGTTTGACATTAGTTTTTAAAATATTCGAGATTAAAAATATCATTTAATAATTTATTACTGTAACAAACAGATATTTTCAAAAATAGCCAATTGATATTGCCTTAGTCGCAGATCAAGCCAGTGCCAAAAACTCCACACTGCTACATTTAGCGCAGACGCGTCTGTCAGTCGATTTTCAGCTTTTTAGACCTGACGGCGTTTTCCAGCCCAACGTACTATATTGCATCTCTTATCTATAATTACAAAACAGTTTTCTGTTGAAGTGCAGCTTGATTGCAACGTGAAGTTTTTATAAATGACGCTACGAGAGGCAGGAAAGTGAAAACTTATGAACGCAATGACTGATTGCCGAGCTTTGATAGCAATCGCGGTTATAAAAGATTAAATAATTAAATATTGTCGTGCCCATTAGCGCTCCAAAGTTACGAGAATGGAGAGGCAATGTGAAAGTGTAAACAAATAAAAAAAAACTACGATAGCTAATTGGAAAGATGATATTTTATGCGTTAGTCGGAAGTTATGTTCTCACGTCAGTATTATTGTTTAAATACCCAATGCTTGTGCACAAAAAGAAAAAAGTCAAATTCATTTGTCAGCATATTAGTCATAGAGGCGGTATTTATTATTAACTACATATGCAGCTTTTAAATATTTTTATACATGTTGCATTCCTTTCATTTCAATTTACATGGCGTTTACAGGTGCAGGAGAAAGTTATGAGAATACATTGAGTGCTTTTCAGAGGTATGTGTAAGTTTTATTTTTTTTTTACATAATAGTAAAATTTTATGATAAATTTATAGAACTATATGAGTATATGAGATAGCATTGAAGAATATGTACAAACTTTAATTTTGAGCACCTTATCTTCAACATAAATATCTAATGAATAATTAATTTAAAGAACTAATATGTACTAAGAAAACGTTTAATTTTTAATATTGCAGAGCTGTGGCTTTGGGTACACAAATGTTGGAATTGGATTGCCATTTGACAAAAGATGGACAAGTTGTTGTTTCTCATGATCACAATCTTTTAAGGAGCACAGGACTTGATAAAAATATTAGTGAGCTTGATTTTGATGATTTGCCTTTATTGAAAACTAGGCTACCAATAGATTTTGATCCAGGTATGTGAATTAATAATACAAGTACTTATGAATGGAAAAATAAATTTTACAATTTACAGGGGCTTATTATGAGGGTTCAGAAAATAAAGAAGAAAGAAAATTTGTATTGCTCGAAGAAGTTTTTAAAAATTTTCCCCAATTACCAATAAATATTGATATAAAAATTAATAATGATGAACTTATATACAAAGTATCAGAGTTAATAAAACAATATAAACGAGAAGATTATACAGTATGGGGTAATTTTAGCGATGAGATTACTCAAAAATGTTATAAAATGGTAAGTAATATGATTATTTATTTCATATAATATATACTATAAAAAATATTCTATATATTCAATACTAAACTATATCATTTACTTTTTAGAATCCAAATGTTAATTTGTTATTTTCTATGAAAAGAGTTATACTCTTGATTATTTACATGTATACTGGTCTTTTACCATTTGTGCCTCTTAAAGAAACACATCTTGAAATATTTCTGCCATCAATATATTTCAAGTAAGAACTAAAAATAAATGTTCATATTCAACTCTTTCAGTTTTAAAATTTGCAATTTATAAATACACATTTTGTCTTTTAAGGAAAATGGATAGACCTATTCCACCTTTTCTGCCAATTGACAAAGTTTTCTTAAAAGCCATGAATATACTTTTAATGAGACCATCTTTATTCAATCATTTGCAAGCTCGAGGATTGCATGTGCGTAACACCACTAATAGATATTTTTTGAAAAGTTTGTATAATCAATTATATTACATTTCAAGGTTTACTTGTGGGTATTGAATAAAGAAGATGAATTCAGAAAGGCTTTTGAGCTTGGAGCTACTGGTATAATGACTGATTATCCTTCAAGATTGAAGTTTTTTTTGGAAAAGAATAAACTAAAATGTACAAGTTAAAAACTGAATATATTAATTAAAAAGCAAAAAAAGCATCAAAATTAAAGTTCAGTAAGTATTACAATTGTTTTCGTTAATTGACTTAAATATTAGATCCAAAGAATTTTTTATTATTGTAAAAATCACTCACTTTTTTTCCAATTGAGTAAAAAGTACCACTTCTTTATGAATTTTACAAAGCATATGAGTGTTACACAAGAGGAAATAAAAAAAAATTATTTTTACTGATTTAGTCATCAAGCATAGTCTTTAAGAAGTGTAACATAAATTACTACCTATTTTCTTCTAAAATAAAATATTAATTTAATGATGGATTCACTATAATTTATTTGCGCACATAAATGAACTGATAGATAAATACCTTTTTATATAATATTGTTAAGTCTTCATGCAAAATAATGAATTAAATGAAAATAAAATGTATGCAAATACAAAATTTCAAATGCAGTATTATATATTTCTTAAAAACGATATTTTGTAAAATAATTTTTCATAAATCAAGGAAATTTTCAAAATGGAATAGTTGAAATTAATTTGTTAAAAATTTCAAAGTATTTTTTTCAAATTTGTAACTTTTTATAAGTATATTAATATAACTATTCTACAAATAAAAAGAAACAAAAGTTAAGGCAGTCTGCAGTTTTTATTACTGAATTTATTCAAAGTAGAATAAAATCGTAAAAAATATATATGTGTATAAGTAATTATTTCCATTTCAATATGTACTTAAAACAAGACCATTACAATAATGGTAAGTATTGATGTGAGATAACAATTTTGTTAATGTAGCAGATCGTAAAACTTCAATACTATTATAAATGTAACATAAATGCATAACTTGTAACAAATAATTACATAAAAAAATTATGCAAAAACAGATACCTCAATCTTTTCGTCGATTGATTTCTATTATGGTTTAACATTATGTTTATCACAAAATAGTTTTTTTGGTCAAATATATTTGTTCCTGAACGAGAATTAGGTACATATTAGTAATAATTTCATTTCATACTCATCCAATCTCTACATCTATGATAGTAAAATTTTTCTGCTTTATTGTCATTATTTTTTACTTTGTAATAATGATGTACTTTCCCAGAACAATAAATACATTTTATATCAGCTAAATGTGATCTATTAAAATGTTTTTTAATACTAACACCATTACCAATAAATGTTTCCTTACAACTTTCACAATAAATTAAGTTTTGTCTAAACCTTTCATGTACTGCATCTGTTACTGCTCTTCCTACATTTAAATTACTGTCGGGTGATCTATTCTGTGATGAAGAGGGTTCATCATCTTCAACGAAAGCTCTGGCACTACCATTGACAGACATTTCATAGCTGTAGAATTGTCCAAAAAAATATATGGTTATAAAAAATTTATCAGTCTATTCAGTAAAATACAATATTAAAAAATTTATTTCAAATTTATCATGCAAAATTATTTTCAACAAATATTATTAAATTAAAAATAAAGTTAAAAATACCTTTATGATGTTAATTTTAGTTGATATAGTTGCATCAAAACAACTCCATTTTTAGCAAAAAGTGTTACAATTATTAATAGTTGTGACGTTTGTTAACATAATTTTGAATTAACTTTACTGCAACTTTAAATAAACTGTTACTATAAGTTAAAATTTTTAATTTTTCACTGTGTCAAAAATAAATGAAGTGGAAGTTTTACCAAGTAGAAAAAAAATTCAAAGTGACAATCGATATGAGCGATATTTCAACGGTTTATAAACAACTATTGAGGTTAAGGAAGTTTGCCTGACCCTGAAGCTTGTGGTGGTCGTGGGTAACCAAACTAACCAAAACTATGGGCAAATTTATTGCGGTCTGTTATCAGTTGTTAAAATAAGAGACGAGCATATTCAATTAAATAATCATTTTATTTTTTGAATTTTATGAAATTTTTTTTTCAATGAAAAATTTTTCATTAATAAATTATTATTGAATATAATATAATTATCCTGCCAATTCAGAGATTACAGCTTATAATATTCTTATTGATGAAATGAAGCTAGCGCTTGTGTAAAATCTTAGTCAATTTTATTTGATTAGATGAATTAATTTATTTTTAATGTATACTGTAGAAAAATTAAGTTATATTTATAAACATTGAAAATATTTATATGGGCTTAATTTTAAAGTGTAATCCAATTAATGAAAAAACAAGACATTTCAAGTCTTGTACTAAGTAGTAGAAGCATCTTAATCCTTCTGGGTCCCTTGACTGGTTTACATCCAACAACGAACCAGTTTTTGACGTGGTGAATGATATGTGCTCATCACCAATAACTATTTCTAATTCTTGGCGACCAACTCTATCAGGCTGGGGCCATAGAGAATCATCTTCCTGCATGATTTCTGAATCCTGAATGATTCTTTTTAATTCTTCCATCACACACTGATGGACGTAGGCTTCTTTTCTGATCATAGTATCATTTTTGTAGTTTGAATTGTTGGCATATCTCAATTTGCCATCAGGTCGAAATTCGAACTCCAGAAATTCGTGTCCGAATTTGCCCTTGTGACCAACATAGTACCGAATGTAGAAATCAGTCGGCATTTTGTCTGCAATTTTTTCGTAATTGTTACAATACAGCCAAAGATAATAATGGATTTATACATGTAATCAATGTATAAGCTTCAAGTATAACATAAAATGACAAAACTTACGAATTAACTAGAAATGTTTGAAAGAAACCAAAGTGAGAATGTTTGTTGATACACTTTCACAGGTTAAGCTGTTTACTGCACTCGAGTCTGAATCTAGACTACTGTACTGTACGATATCATAGAAGAATGTCTCGTTCTGCAATGACAAGTTGTATGCCGTCAGTAGATAGTGCGTAACGTATTGCACGATGGACAAAGCTCCTATTGTACAACACCTTGCAACGTCAGCTCTTACTTCACAGCACGAGCGCCGGTTTTCGTATCATTCTAGAGCAGTGATCAGTCTGTGGCCTGTGCAGTAAACTGTCAGACTCGTGCATAGTCTAAACATTGACATCACAGTTAAAGTTTTTAAATATTTTATTTTAGTACTCAGTTTCAGTACTACAGTAAAAAAATCTGTTTGAACTTTTGACTTTGTAATAACAAAATCATAAAATAAAATGGACACAGTACCAAAAGATTTGAGGGGCTTGAGAGCTTGCTTGGTGTGTTCGCTGGTCAAGGTAAGATCATAATTCAAGATCCTAACTAATTAACTTTACTTTTAAATTCTTGGTGATTAAAATGAATTTTAACGCTTTTCTTTCAATGATAATCAACGATTATCATCATATCTTTAGCAAGTCGGAAACGACGCCTCGAGTAATCGTCCTTGTTCTGCATAGGTTAAGAACAATATTGTTTTTAATATTACCAAAATTATTACTAAATAAAACGATAAAGTTACCGTGAAATATGAATTTTAACAAAAATTTAACACGTATGAACTTTTAATTTTCAGACATTCGATCAGTTTGAGATTGATGGATGTGAAAATTGTGATGAATTCTTAAGAATGAAAAATAATAAAGACAATGTGTTCGATTGCACTAGTTCCAATTTTGATGGGTATGTATAATATATTACTTTTTATGAATTACAGTTTTACTATTTGAAGTATGAAATGTAACACCCTCCCCAATTTTAGAATTATAGCAGCTATGAGCCCGGAGGATAGTTGGGTATGCAAATGGCAAAGAATAAGTAAGTTTATGAAATTTATTACTTTAAATAGTCTGTTATATTATTTTATAATTTTTGCTTAATTGTCATGTAACATTGTATTTCCCAGATCGGTTCCACAAAGGAGTTTATGCCATTTCAGTATCAGGAAGATTACCAGCGGGAGTTATAAGAGAAATGAAAAGTAGAGGAATAAATTATAAATCTCGTGATACAAGTCAAAGATAAAACTACTTTCAATTTACACTATTAACAAACTGTTTATTTATAAGATTTTTATGTAAAATGAGTATAAGCAATACATTTAAGCTAATGTAAGTTCTTTAAATAATGAACAATAAAATCAGAGAATAACAAAAAATACATGAGATTCATTTAAATTTAAATTTCTTTGTAAAAAAATTTTTCTGAAATGTCAGAATTTAATCACATTAATTTATGCAACCAAAGCCTCATACTGCCTGGCATGATACATTATAATACTAACAAAAGAGCAAAAAAAATTTCAATTTTGATATGCTGTTAAAAAATAATTATGTTACTGGATACTGAAGTGCTGGTAGATTATTGTTGACAGCATGTAACCACAAATTTGCACAAGTTGAATGATAGCTAATATTGTTGTAAATAATTCGATTGCTAGTTATCATTGTTAAACATAGGGCACAAGAACTGCCTTCTGAACATTGCACTGGCCAGGCTGGTAATTCAGTAACAATCTATGAAAAAAATATGAGTTAAGCTTCTTTCAAGTTTAATATAATCTTAATGCAAGAAATATCAATTTACTGGAATATTTGCATAGTAGGGTTCCATTTCAGACCATATTTTATCAATATTAATAAGCAGATCATCAAATTCCATAATATTTACATCTATTTCTTTGTATGAGAAGTTTATTCTTCTACAAACAGCTGCAACTTCTGCCAAGTCTGAAAATTATGTTGAAATTAACTTTTGTTAACATTTCAGGTACAGCATAAAACTTATAATATAATAATCTTAAAGTTTTTCACTTACTGACTAAAAAGTTATATCCTTTTGCTGAAGATAAAACTTCATTCAAAACAACATCTGATGAAATGTTAGTGAATATATTAGCAGCCAGTTGTAATAATAAAATACAACTTTCCATATATTGTTTCCACTCCCAGTATATAATCTAAGTTGAAATGTTTAAAATATTATTGAACCAATATTTATAAAGTTTTTCTTTTTTACAGTAAATAGAAAATATGCTAATAATTACTTGGTGAATATTTTCAAATTTTTGCTCATCTTGTTGACTAGTTGATGAAAAAGATTTCAAATTTAAGCTGAGAACAGATCCAGATCTAGTTAAGGAATTTGATGGTGGTAATGCCAGTTCTACATTTTTAACTAGAGAACCATCTTCTTGAGATACAACTTTTTCTGAAAAAATTGTAAAAAGTTAGAAGCAAATACAGATCAAATAAGGAATAAATAGTAATCTTACCAGTATCAATAATGTCAAATTTATATTCACTATCAACAGTAGTATTTTCTTTTAAGGAAAAATCATTAAAATCTGTAGAATTATCTTGAATAATGAGATGACTAGATTTACTATTTGAATCACTTATACTTTCAGCGTTTAAATCAAGATTACCTAATAAATCAAAGGGATGTTTTGTATCAGAAATTTCACTTTTTTTGGTAGGTTTTGGGTGATTTGCAGAAACAAAATCTCCAAAATCATCTGATACAGAATTAACATTAAAAACTTCTTCCTCTGATTTTATGTCAACTGGGGCAGGTGTTTCTTTGACTAATGCTCTCAGAGCACTGTATTTATCTTCAGAAGATTTTAAACTCATTAAGTCTTGCTGGATTATACCATCATTTGATTCTTTTAAATTTGCTTTACTGCTTACTACTTCATCAACAGTATTTGAAAAATCTTTAACTGGTGGTTTTATTTTCCCAACTGAGTCAACATTTCTAATTGCAGTGTCTTTTAGAATTATTGTCTTAGCCTGATTTTTTACAGTGCATTTAGGAAAAAGCTCTAACAAGTATTCATTTGGTTGTAGTTCTTTAGAATGAAGTGCAAAATTATTTAGAGATGAAGTGTTAGCATAACTTTGGTTATTATAATTTTTGTTTGAATAGACTTTTTTACTTTTATCTGTTATTTTTTTGACACCAAGATTATGGTTTGCTAGTCGACTTCCAATTGCAGATCCTTGTTTTGTTTCCCATAAGCTAGATGAAGTGGTAGTTATTGGTGCACTTTGAAAATCAGAAAAGTCATCATTTAAATCTGCTGAATAAGATGTTGAGTGTTTTGAATCAGTTTCATAGCATGGGTAGTTGGTAGAGATTTTCCTATCTTTTAAATTTTCATTTCCATGATTGAATACTAGAGCTCCAAAATTATTGGTAGAATTACTGGACTGAGTGCTATAGTATTTAGAAGAACTGTCATGATTTTTATCAATATTGTAAGTATCCACAGTTGAAGGATTTTCTCCAAGTGAAGGAGATTTCATTTCATTTTTCCCAATTACATTGTTTGAATTAAATATAGATAGATTGAGATGTGGAGTAGGAGGAATTTTAATGTGGTTCAAAACATCTAAACTATTGAAAGAATAAGATGATTGAGCTAGAGCTACTAGAGCTAAAACAATATATAATTCTTGTTCAGTTAATTGTCCAGCATGCTTTTGATTAGCTAAGCTCCAAATGTAACCAAGAATTTCAGTAGATAATTGACTTGTTAATAAGAGAGGGAAAATTTTATTGGTATCAACAAAAGCATCTCTATGCACATGACCAATCTCCAATTGATTTTCACGAACAGTTTCCCAAATTTTTTTGTAAATAGGAGGTAAAATATTAGAATTAGGATTGAGCCAACCTGGAAGCTGTATCACTCCTTTATCACTGTTTTCATGAGTTTTGTTCATATTTCATGAATTTATTGATCAAGATTTGATCAAAATGGACGGTACAGATATAATGACTATTTATTACCGGAGTAATTACTGTTTAAGTCTATGATTTTCTGAATCAATAGTAGAACCAAATGGTAAAATATTAATGAAATCCATAATTAATATTAATTATTGTAATAATTTTTTCGGACGCAAGTATCTTCACACGAATTACTAAGAACTAAAAGTTCGGTAGATGTCATTATATTGTAAACAATGAACAATAAACACGAAAGATGTTTTTATAAACTAGAAAAACCAACGATCTGCACTACACAATTTGTATATTCGTGGAACTGCAAGTACTGCAACACCATACTGATAAGACGCAATATATATTGTTATCGATCTGTCAACTTGAATAATCAATGGGAATTGACATGTTATTATAATGTGTCAAAGATGTGTACACCTATGCGTGTACGTCAGAAAAAAGTAGGTACTTTATCTCTTCTACGCATAGGAAACATATATATGTATTTGTGAGATAAGGAAAATGTGCTACGAGGTACTGAACTTGAAAGGCAGGTGGCGATAACATCGCTTACGTCACGAAAATTGAAATTTTTTTCTAGGCCAAGTAGTTGTTTTTAATAACTGCACTTTGCTTTTTACTACTTCTAAAATAGAAATTATATAAAAGTAATGCATAAAAATTTCTTAATAAATTAATTTATTAAGTTTGAAAAATTAATGAAGTGAGATTCAGTTGTATACAATAGAGAATCTAATTAGTAGATTTAAATTCAAAGGTATCAAATGTAAATAAATTTTTAGAAAATACATATTTTTACGAGTTATTGATAAAATTATTTTGGTAACGCATCTACCGGTGATACAAAGAGCTTTATGGGTTGTATATTTATAGTTTTCTCATACGCTCAGCTTTTGATAGTAAAATCTTCTAAAAACTTTCAGTAGGTATTTGAAATATCGCATGAATCCCATCAGTCTAGTAGCTCGTAAAAACAAGCTTTCAGCTGTGCGTAAAATAAATTTGATTCGGGTCACAAGACCAGTCACTAGAGACTCGAAAGTTTCTAAATATTCGACAGCTGCAAAACAGCCCGCCAGGCGCCAGGGTCAATCGTCTCCCGCGTTTTTGTGCCAGTATAATAACATCACACGGAGTCGGAGATGTTACACGTTATGTTTAGCATTTAAATGTGCACACATTATAACGTACTTTTACAAGTTGGAGCACTAATTCATTTACTTCGTATATAATTGATAAAATCACCATAATAGTGTATTATTTACATTTAATTGAATATGAGTTACTAGTTTGCTCGTGTTTGATACGTACTCGACACCTCATCAGACTTTGAAAGACTCAGTTTATAATTTCTTGTACTATTCTGTAATTGTCCGTTGAACAAGAACGTTTACGCAGTTGCTCAACTTTTTGTTTGACAATTTTTGTCATTTCAACGGTATCATGAAAACCGGAGGATCTATCAAAGTCTCTTCTAATCATTCAGCCGCTCCAGAGGTTAGTAGTGATATTTAAAGTATCCTTATCTCGTATATTTCTTCTTGGAAATTCGAAAACTTAGTCCAAGTTGATTTTAATCGATTCTTATATTTTGAGCATTTATTTTCTATGTTTAGTTTAAGAAATCTATAATCATTAAAGAACACCAAAACAAAAACATTGAATTTTTTTGGTAATTTTTAGTGTATCTGTATGTTAAGGACTTCATTTTTAGCAGAAGAATGTTTAAACACAGTCCATTTTAAAGTTTTTAAAAATATCTTTTTTAAGAGAAGATTTTTTTAAAAATCTATAAAAAGACATATAAATTTTATTATTTTATCACAGGTTTTAATTTTTTTTTTAATTATCTGCATTAATAAATGTATATTAAACAAAATGAAAATTATATTGGTAATTTATTTTTTATTAACATTAAAATTACTCTTTTCAGGAAAAGCTAAGGAAAACATTGCATCAGTTGCAACCCGCCGCAACTGACAAGGAAAATTTAGTTGGTGCTGGGAGACGATTGCGCTCAGCACTCATGAGTAGAGACTCGATTAAGAAGTAAGCTTTATTATGTGTAAATCAAATATTATAATTGTTACTCTTTAATTAATGTATATAAAAATATGCAATTGTTTCAGTGAAATGTCGGACAAATTAAAAATTGATTTGAAAAAATCAATTGATAAACCAAAAGCTGATTCCTCAAAAAAAAGTAATGACAAACTAAAGTCCAAAAATCAAGCGAAAGATTCGAAGAAAGATGGTAGAATATTTAAAGATATTGGAATTCAAGCTACCCCTACAAATGAGCCTGAGATAACAAGCAAAGATCTCACTTCAGAAGGTAATATATTATTTTTATACCGGAAATCTCTAAAATCTTTTTGATTGGATTCATAATTGTTTATTATTTCATCTAATATTTTTACAGAAGGACCTAGTGAAAAATATTGGGAGATTGTAGCTGAACGAAGACGAGTTGCTCTTGAAGAGGCATTGGAAGAAAATCATATTCTAACTGAACAACTAAAAGTATATAAAGATATGTATGCTGAAGCTAGCGCTTTGGTAGAAGTGTTGAAGGTAATTGTTAAATTTGTTACATGTGCTTTGATTTTAATAAATTTTTAATTTAATTATAACCATCAATAATTTCTGTTTCTAGGAAATGATTGGCGAGGATGATAATAATATTGACAACTCTCTGGATGATAGTAGGCTATGATTTTGAAAGTATAATTTTTTTATTTTAAAAAACTATTAGAGTACAAAATAAGAATCTTTAAACTGTTTGTGTGTTGTGTTTTTAATGAAATTTTTCTAATCATGAAAAATCTCTTATCAAATAATTTTTCATGTTCATTTTAATTTTAATGTCAGATAATTTAAGAATTATAATCTTAGTACTTATTTTTTTAGCGAAATCAGTATATACTTTTTGCGTTAATATTTAATAATTGAATGACAGTTAATGGTACGCCACTGTAATTAATAGTATCGATTTCACAATGATTTATTTAATCATAATAAACATGTCATTTAACGTATATATTATTCTAGTACTCCTTTTGATGTCAATTAAAAGTAATTTTTTGATAAACAGCCCTTTTTTGTAATAAGCGTGAGTGTGATTTTTTATATAAAAACAATAAAATTCAATCTGTCATTTATGATATAAACATTTAAGTAACAATTTTTTTTACACCTGCAATTTTGGTATCATTAATGATATTTATATGCATGTAATACTGACAATTATTTTGACTTGAGCAGTCATGCACAGGATATAATTGAACTATTAAGCATATTTTTATAGCAAATAGTTGAGATGGTGATTAGATTGTACAAATAGCTTCACAAATAATGAAAATAGAGTGATCACATGTACTTTTTAATATTCAAACTTTGATTAGTGATTAGTCTTCGTCCTTGAAGCGTCGATAAATTGACTGAACGTATGTAAAAACGCACTTCCAGTCTGGTCGACTCATCATAACCATATCTTCAACGTCTAATAGTGGAGCGATTCCAGCCACTTCGCTGTAAATATGAAAATGACAATTTAGTTATAATTCATAACTATGATTTTGATTCATAATATTCACTGTAGTCGAAAAAAAGATATACATGAAAATTAAGCATAATTATAAAAAGAATTGAAGTTTACGTTCCCTTCACTCAATTTTTCCCCTAATCTATTATCGGAAAAACAAGGATTTGCAACACAAGTCGAACGTCAAGTTAAAAATGTCTGCCTCAAATAATGAACATTTTAAACTTATTATTTGAATTTAAAATAGGCTTCTTAAAAATTCCGAATGAAAAACAATTGTTTTTATATTTTTCGTTCAATAAGTTAGATTGATAGGAAATTGAAAAGTATCATTTTCGTTAATACGAGTGTACGATTTATGCAGAATAGAAAATAACAGGCGAGAGGAAACTTGAACTAATCTATATAAGAAATACGTACTCTGCTTTGGTAAAAGCCAATTCGAAATTTTTTTTGCGATTTTCTGGTTGAAGGCTGTGATAGTCGAACGCATCGGGTCGGAAATGATGAATAAGAGCACAGAATCCCAAACCATTACTCCAACTAGTCGAAAAGTTGTTCAAGTGAACATTCTGTAACAAAAATTAAGACGATATAGTTATCATCAGATTATACACATAAAATTAGTTACATTGATAATAAAAATCATTTTTAAATACCTCATACTCTTTAGTTTTAGCTTGACACCAAGCCAATAATCGCTCTTTGATGACTGCTACATTATTCTGATTGCTCTGATTGTTCGTATTGGTATATTTGACTCGATAATCTGTTCCAGGAGTTTTGAGAACTCTGCAAAAATTTTTTTCATTTTTAACTATTCATTTTGATCGTATAAATCAAAAGTATGAAAATTATAAATGTAATTTACCCTGTTGACGCGGGGCTATTTTGCTTCTCCAATTGTCGAAATTTCGCAAATGCCGAGATGGGCTTTTTTACTGGAGCTATAAAATTTCATGAAAATTATTCAAGTATCCTTGTAATATTCATTTTCAATCAAATATATTAATTACTAAATGAATTAAAATGTTATTATCAAAATAATTTTATAATGAAAATTTTCTAATTATAATATACTCATGACAAAATTATAACTATCTAAAATGTATTTAAATTGTGCGTGAGTGTAGTGTATGTGAGCGTGTGCATATGTGAAAATAGTATTAAGTTTATACACTGCTTATCGCATATTATTTTACATGAAAACGTATAATAATTAAAGGTTTGATATCAGATCGTTGTCCGGATCGTTTTTCGATAAACTTATAATATATCTTTTTATAACGATATAAAAAATTAGTTAAAAAAATTAAAAATGTTCGTTTCTGACATGTGTTTCCCATTCAATTTTATTGATTATAATTTATCTGTGTTTTTAAATTATTTTATATAGGAGATATAGAAAAGGAATAAGAGTGAAGGATTATTGAAGATTGTACACACGGAGGTGGGAAAAACCTCATGCTATTTTTTATTTGAACCCAGTCATACAATATTTTGCAACATTGTTTCATGGACAGTTTTTTTATAGAGAATCGAGGACTAGAAAACAAGTCGTATTTGCTACTTTTTGATGGATGTAGCTCAACAAATAACCGACGAGGAGCTTTCAATTTTTGAATTAATTTTTCCAAGTAATCATAGTTAACAAGTATGAGGGAGTTTGTTTTTGTGTTACGATTGGTTGTTTATTTAATGACATTACACATCCTGCCCTATCTATTTTTCAATTAACTAATCGAGTCATTTTCAAAAATTGAAAATTTATAGTAATTTAAAATTTCTAAAATCTCAGAAATTTATAAAGCGTTATTTGCCATTAGATATGAAGATAATAGAGAGCGTTATTAAAAGTATATTATTTAATTTTCCAAAATTCATTTGTTTGACTTTTAATTGCGATCAGAAGCAATGAACGCATTTATTTATCCCGCAAGCTTTACGAAAAATTGGATGTACATTGTAGCGGGATGAACTTTTCAAGAGAAAGATACATGCGGCATGCCTGGTAGGATTTAAAGAGACAAAATTTGATTGCTTTTAATATTTTATGAGAAATGACCGTTCATGTTTTGCATTTATAACTTTATACTTTAACATTAATCAGTTTCCGCCTAATGATTCACAAAAATTTTTTTCTCGAAATTTATTTGTTGAATGTTTACTGTATGAGGATATTTATATTGAGTGTATTAAATGTACAAACGAGGAAATTGTTTTGGTTCGCGTATTAATGTTATTGGCAACATAAATTGAGCAAAACTATCAAGAATGAAATTGATGAGAGGTGTATGAAATTATCAATTATTTAAATGTTGCGCAAGATTTAGTATAGAACAAAAAAGAGAATGCATTATTTTCGTTAATTTAGATGGCAGCTATTTTGCAATAAAATTAATTTCATGAGAAATCAAACTTCAAACGAAATATATCAAATTATATAAAGTCGAAGTATGGAAGATTTGTTAAAATTGAAATTTATATGCAAGTATTGTTATTGTTTTGCTTTTGAAAAAAAACGACGAATATTTTGCCATGAATAGAGTTAATACTACAGTAGAGATCGCGAATTTCAATAATTGTCTTCTGTACTTCAACCATTTTATATTGCATATGAAAAACAAAAACTTTCATTTTCATTCGAGAAAAATCGACAAAATGAATGAGACTCACTGCGTATATATTCGAGCTGCCTTCGAGAAGAACGCAAAGTTTGCCTCTTTCAAAATTTTCTTAAGGCATTGAAAACACACATCAGATACGAGACTTAAAAAATCTGGTCTACATTTTCTTTGTAAATCAATTTGTTTGTCAGACTTAAAATATCTATAAAAATAAATAAACTATTGTACTCGTTTTTGTTTTTTCATCATACTAGTACAGCACAATCTTCGGTAAGAAAAATTAATAATCGTAAAAAAATTCAATCGTTGGCTCCTTGCGACAGTGCGTCACATAAATCGTCGATGGATCATTATTATCGAGCTTATAACATCATCTAAGATTGCTGAATAGGAAAGAGAGAAATGGACAGAGTGAAAAAGTGTGCATGCGTGATAGAAAGAGAAAGAGAAAGAAAAGAGAAATAGAGATAGAGAGAAAAAAAGAAAAGCATAGTAGAAAATAGAAGAAAGGTAGAGGAAAGAGAGAAAGAGAGAGAGAGAGAGAGAGAGAGAGAGAGGGAGAGAGAGATAGATAGGTTGACAGACACCGAGATGACATTGTTGCTCGTCTATTAATGATGCTTGTCAGATCGAGTTGCTTCCATGAAAATATTATCAAAGGCCTGTTCTATATCGACATCCTCATCGAAAATTCTTTCGTCATACAGATGCGGCATCGTATGACTCTTGGACAAGCTATTCATCGACTTCTTGGCGTGAAAATTGCGCTTGCTCGATTTCGACATATTGATCGACGTCTGCGTCGTCGTCGTTGGAGATCCAGCTGCGGACTTATTGGCGGGCTGGAAGTATCTCTGTATCTTTTCCTCCATCACGCCCGTCGCCTGGGGATCGAAGTGCGACAGTCGCTTGCTCGACGACGCTCGCAGCTCGGGCTTGGGAGGCCTCATCTGAGCCGTTATCGCGCTCGTCGTCAGCTTGGGCAGCTGCAGGCCCTTGGCGCCCTTGGCCACGGCGAGCTGATGCCAGGACTCGGACTTGGACAGGACCAGGTTGCGATTGGGCCGGCTGGCGCACGACATGAGGTACTCGTCGCTCGTGTCCACGGGACTCGACGTTTGATTGTTTCGCGCCGCTGCCGCCGTCGCCGCGCAATGGATTCGGCTCTGCGCCTGGCGCTCCTCGAAGAAGTTGATGCACTCCTGGGCTTTGTGCTTCTTCGTCAGCGCCTTGAGAGCGACGGGCTGCGGCGCGACCGGACTCGTCGTTGGAACGAGACGTTTCGGGCTCGCCGTCGCGTCCCGACGAGGCGACTCGAACTGCTGCAAGAACTGCTGCACCGGCGAGGCCTTCTTCTGCTGCTGCATCTGCTGAATGAGGCTCTGCTGCAGCAAATTGTGACGCTGAACGTCGCTGAAGTCTCGCTGGGGATTCGACATCTCGGCGTAGTTGGGCCGCGGCGCCTGCTTGATCGTGCTCTTGGCGATGCCGTCCTGGTCCTGGAGCTTTTCCGCCTCCGTTAGGATGGTCGCGGTGGCGCAGGGGTGCCGCGTCACTATGCCCTCGTTGCTGATGTCTTGGTTCTCTATGAGCGCCGCGTCGAAATCTATTATGGCGCTCGGTGGAATGCTACCGCTCGCTGCTACCGGCCCGTAAGAATTATCCTTGTCGATGACCGATTCGTTGTAGGATGCAGGAGACGTCGTCGTCGCGTGGTCAGCTGCTCGAATGTCTTGGTACACCTGGCTCCCAGCGAAACTAGAAATATCCACCGGCTTCGCTCGTTCCTCCGGATACTTGCTGAACTCGTTGTAGAGCTTCTGGGAGATGCTGGGCGCGGAATTGAAGACGCGCTCCGAGCTGGACACGCTCGTCGTCGGGCTCTTTTCGTGAAGCAATTGCGGATGATAATTTCGGACTTGCTGTTGTACAACGGGTAAACTCGTCAAATGATGATGATGGTGATGATGGTGATGATCGTGCGGTACTTGAGGTGCGGTACTTTTAGGGCTGCTAATCATCTGATGATGCTGATGATGATGATGATGATTCGGCGCGTAAACGTTGCTGTAGCTGGGAGGAGGCAGCTGTTGATGATCGACCATTGCATTGCGGTAAGTCGGATTAAGGGCTTGCTTTTGCTGGTCGAAGTAGGATTTGGAGACCGGCACGAAGACGCTGATTCTACTGCCGTCCAAGTTTTGAAAGTTGCTGCTTGGCGATTGCAGCGTCTGCTGATACGGCGAGCTCTGGTAAGGCACAGCTCCTACGTCTCGAGCGTAAGATAAATTATTCCTGTCGACTATTATCGGTGAATCTTTGGCTTCGTTTATCGGCATCGGGTAGGTTTGAGCTTGACTAGTCTCGTGGGCCGAGCTCTTGATCGGCTGAAAGCAGCACGTCGTCGCCGTTGGCTGCTGCTTGGCCTCGGTCGTCATCGTCGTCGTCGTCGTCGGCGCCGCAGAGAAGCATCCGCACTGCGGCTGGCTGGTCCACTTCTTGTCCACTACTTTGCCGTCGTTCAGATACGGACACGGATGGAAGATGATGTGCCGCGGCAGATCGTAATTGTCGCTGGAATTTATCGTGAGTACGGCGATCTCCTTGGGGGGACTTTGCTGCTGTGGCTGCGGCTGCTGCTGAATCATAGTCAACTTGCTCGATTCGTCCAATTGCTCTGGCCTGGATAAGCTCACCAATTGCATATTGGGTTTGGACGCGGGATCGACCACGACACAGCTAGTTCGTGACGGCTGCAGCTGCGTCATGCTCGACGATGGGACGGGATGATAGGCCAATGGCTGAGGTCGTTTGCAGAACGGGTAACAATTATTGTCGATCGAGGTGAAATTTTCGGCCGGTTTAGCTTGAATTGGGTCGTACGTGGCTATTCGTCGATTCGAAGGTACCTCGACGGCGATCTGTTTGCCGTGTCCAATGCGCGGAGATTTTTCGTACGCGCGATTGTCGTGAATAGCGATTGAAGATCGTTTGTCCGACGTCGGGCCGCCTTGGTCGAACAGCTTGAGCTTGGCCTGCAGCATGCTCTTGTTTTTCGACGACGGATGCGCCGCAGTTTTGCCGATACTCTGGAAAGGCGAGGTGGGCGCGTGACTGAAGTTTCCCTGATGATTCTCGGCTTTGTTATTGAACAATTGATAGCAGTACTGAGGAGATCCGGCGGAATTTCTACTGGCGACCTCCCCCTGACAATTGACGTCCTCCTCGAATTTCCGCCTGATGTACGATATGCCGCTCTGGTGTTTGCACTTGTTGTGGTTCTTGGACGAATTATTAGCCGACAATGGAATGCACGACTGATCGTTCTTCTCGTTACCACCGCTCGACGTCGGCCGATCGAAGTTGGTCTTGATGCTGCTGAAGCGATTGCTCCAGTTTTTGTCGCAGCTCATGTCGCTCGCCTGCCTCTGGAAGCCGAAGTTTCTGAAGGGATTCGTCGTGTCGATGACGGCGCCGCTAGTGCCACTCGTGTCGTGGTTCTTGCTGATCAGCGCCAGGAATTTGCGATCGTTGTCGGTTTTCAGCTCGAAGCTGGGCACGCCGCCGCCACTGCTCGATAACTGCTCGCTGGCCGTTTTGAAGGTGTGTCCGGAAATTTTGATCGGTTGACTGCTGACGGCGTAGCACTTGTGATGATGAGTCGTGGGCCTCTGGGAATGAGAATTACCGCTACCGGCCGAGTATTGATGAAGCTTCAGATAGGACGGAATGTCAATGGTATTGGCGCGTTTGATCTTGCTCTTGCGGGCGGAAAATTTATTCGGTCGCGCTGGATTCTGCTGTTGCTGCTGTTGGTTCGTATCGTCGCGGCTTGCAGCAACGATGCTGGTCTCGCTGGTGGCGGTGGCGTCGAACGAGCGCCGCTGCAGGAGATTTCGATTGCTCTCGTTGATCGCGTCCTTGACGCATTTTTTCGTGAACGCCGGCAAAGGCACTGCCGTCGCCGCCGCTTTCGGATTCGCTGATGTGGCTGCTGCAGTAGCTGCTGCTGTTGCAATTGGCTCGGCGGCAACTGTCACCACCGACTCTACGTTAGCCTGTTGCTGCTGCTGCTGCTGCTGTTTTGGCCGCTCGAAGCACAAACGAGCGCGTGCCAAGTCGTCGGCCGACACGCCGATCGTGTGCCGGTGCTCGAGCCGGCGACGTCGAACGTTCACCGACGACGCACTCGCAGTATTAGGAGTTTGCTGCTGTACAGCTACTACCGGAGGCTGCTGCTCGCCAATCGTAGTCCCAGTGGCTGCTGGCCCTCCTGCCGTTTGCTGCGCGTTTTCCGGCAGTCGGAGCTTGGCCAGCAGGCTGGATATGAGGCGCAGCAAGTGGAGCTTGTTGCTCGAGTCGAGATCGGCGTTGTAGCGCGCCAGGGTGCCCGGGTCGACGCGGCGCAGCGTGTCCTGCAGCCGGCCCAGAGCGGTCTCGATGTCGACCAGCATCACGTCCTCGAGAAACTTGAGATCGAGGCAATTGTGCTGTTGCTCGTGTTTTATATCGCTGCTGCTGTCATGGCTGTTGTTGCCCAAGGGCCGAGGCTCCTCTTCCGAGTCGACTCCCGAATCTTCCGGATAATTTGGCTGTTGCGACTGTTGCGACTGCTGCTGCTGCTGCTGCTGCTGCTGCTGCTGCTGAGACGGACAAGAGAGCTCGAGCACCGAGCGCAGCTGCTCCATTAATATCGGCAATAAATTGCACTCACCGGCTTGGGGCCTGTTAGGCATCTGAAATCGTGACATCGGCTGTACGCACTGCTGCTTCGGCTGCTGCTGCTTCGGCTGCTCCTGGCTCGTCGGTTGCGGTGGCTGATCGGTCTTGGCGGCTGGCGTCGCCGCGCCTTCTACCGATTGTTTTCGTTCCAGACTTTTAGCCGCGGAGACGGTTTCGCTGCTGCCATTGCTGCTGCCGCGTCGATCCCCTGCGAAACGAAATTTAGCGTATTTACAAAAAAATGTCCACCTGCAAATATACTTCGCAAGCTGATCGTCGATAAATAAAACTAAATATAATTCTCTTTCGTGAATAATATCGCGTTTTAATTTTAGGCCCGTAACTTATAATCGAGACTATTTTCGTTTTACATTCGACTGTATACACAACTTTTTCTTTGATATAAAAAAACAGTGTATTATTGTTACCTGGTTTGCCAGAGTCTGTTTGTGAATCCAGTTGGTCTTCGTCCACGTCTTCGCATTTCGTCTCCGAATTTTGATGTTTGATTGCACCATTACCATTTTTCTTCTCGCATTCGGCTGTGTAATCTATGTATTAAAAATAAAATAAAATTACAATTTTCGCATTCCAAATTTCTTAAAAACAATAAAACAAAATGAAGCAAAGTCGTTGCCCACCTTGTGTTTCTGACATGTTGATTGTTGCAAAAGATAATGCCTGAAATGCAATTGTGATGGTCAATTTTAGCTTTGTATACTTTTTTTTTAATAATTTCATACATACAAAGTACCCCTCAAATGATTTAACGAGTATGTAATATTTTTTGGTAGTTAAAATGTTTATATATTGATCGGTAATGAAAGATTGTTTTTGTTTAATGTAAAGGGAATATATAAATTTGTTTGAGGAATTTCGAAAAAAATTTCTTGTCTATGAAGTTCGAGTTTTAATTTTACAATGTTGAATTAACGACAAACAATTTTTTCAAACTTGACGAACATTGAAAACCAGAGCGTAATCTATAAAATAGATTGTTAAGGTCCTCCAAGAATCAATACATACGAATATATTTGATTTTTATAAATTTAATTAAAATTTTTATTGTTCAAAAGTATAGAAACAATTTAAAGAGAATGTAGAAACTAGTAAAAATATACCACTTAATATCTTAGATTCTTATTAAGTATTTTTAAAAAAAGTTTGTTTTTACAAAGCTTTCACTTTGTTGTTCTCCTCATAAACATGTTGCTTTTCAGGTAAATATGTCATAAAATATTTAGAAAGCGTATTATTGTTTTTTTTTTACAACGTACATATGATCTTATAAAATATAAAAAATAATCAGAGTGCCAAAAACTGCAAAACTTTCAAGTACAGAGTTGACGTTTTTAATTGTAGAAGTTATAATAATAAAGATGGGATTTTATAGACATTTTTCTAGAACGCACAGCTTCATATTATTCTCTAAGCTAAAAATATATGTTGGTCCAGTTTTTTAATTATGATAACATACCTGCAACCTCTTTCGTGTAATCCGACACGAGTTGTCTATTTACTTTATGTTTATTTTCTTTTAACGAGTATAGCTAGCATAAATTGCTGCCTTTGAATTGGTTCGCAGTACTCGTAAAATGGTAGTTTATAAAATAACTCACCTTCAGTTAATAGCTCTAATATCAAGGTTACACATACGTAGGGTCGCTACAGATTTGGACAAAAAAATATTAAAAATAGTAACCGATATTTTATTGCATTTTAAAAGCAGAAAGAATAAAAGAAATTTCGCTGGGGGCTGAGAAATCAGCTTGATAAGAGAAAAAACTAGTTTGAGATGAGCGAACATCAATAAATGTCTAATCAACAGGACAATACGAATGCCGAAATCGTATTTGCGCGAGAAGTCGGTTGTTCTATAAATAATTTCTAAGCGTGTGTAGAATTTCGTAAAAAGAGCAAAAAACTGCGAAGAAAGAATATCGGCTGGCTACAAAGGCTATTTTGGAGAAAGTTATTGTGTAATAAATATAACATCAGACCGTTTCGAATAAAGTAGATTCGATCCTATAATGGTAGCAAAATGTTACGAGACGTCAGTCAATCACTACAGATTAAATGTCTTTTGAAAATAACATCGCATTAAGCATTTTTACGCTTCTTGGTTTCAAAGCGAAGTTGATTGAAAAATAAGTACAACTAACTGACCGAACAATGACCTCACTAATTCATAAATTGAGAAATAAATATTTGATAGTTTAAAAAATCTTATTACTAAATTTTCCGTAAATTTCATTTCATATACACAAAAAAATGTCTACTTTAGATTTTTTATTTATTTCAATTTGAGTTTATATAAGTTGAATATTAATCGGAATGAACAATAGTATGTCAGAATAATATTTATAATATAATTTTGTTCAAATTTGGAGCCTGATTTATAAATAATTTGGGAATAATGCACATTATGAATAATTGTTATTTATTAACTAAACTCTTTCAGTGAAAATTATCAATGATTTAAAATTTATAGAACGAGATATAATCGCACAGTATATTTTCGAAGAGTAAAACCATGAAAATAGATTTTACTACATTTAAATTAATTTAAAAAATAATTTCATGACATTGCCAGATTCAAAGGAAAAATGAAATAAAAACTTGAATAAGTTAATAATACAGACGATTTTGATGAAATAAGTTATTAATAAATGAATATAAAATAAATTTTGGCACGTAAGACGGGTTTTGTGTTGATTCAACTCAGATTGAAGTTTTTGGAGTTACAATGAAAATCGTTAAAAATAGTTTTCCGATAAAAAGACGATATGTGTTTTGTGCAATATAAAAGAGAAATTTTACAAGTACCTTCGAGGAGACGCGTTAAGGGTTGACGTTGGCACCACTGCGATGGCTGTTGAATTCTTGAAAAAACTTTTTTAACGTCGTCGAGGCAAATAAGAAAATTTAAATTATTCTTTCTTCTATCATTGGAATCGAAGCCCGACAAAAATATGAAAATTCTATCGTTTAAATGTTGTCATGTACGCAGCTATCGAGGGAAAAATTCAAGAACAAGGTGCAATATGTGCAATGACGTCGCTGCTGGATGAGCTCGCTTGGCAAACTGTTGTTACTGTTGATCTTTCTGCTTGTGCCACTTCCGTAATTTGGCATCGTCTAAGCGTGCGTATTTTTTAGCCCGCTCTTTCTATATGTATTCGCGTACGTACGCAAGCTACCCAGAATTAGAAGACGCTTGAAATAGTTCCGGACAGTCACCTTATTTTTGGTAGTTGCTTCTGTGTAGCAGCTAACGATCGACGCATTGTAACTATTGCCCCCCTTTTAGCAAACAATTTGTCCATAAACTCGATCAAAAGCCGTAACCAGCGCCTTCAATTTTTTGGTTTTTGCAAAACCAAAACGGAATATAGAGCACGTATTGCCAATTTCTTCGACAGTAATGAATTCAACAAATACTTTATGATTCTATACACAGTCTGTTTATTGTAAGAGATCGATGTGAGAGTATTTATAATGGTATCAAACCTGATTATGAAAAATAGATTAGTAAAGATCAAAATTTCTAAATTCTTTACAAAAAAACGTTAATTATTTTCATGGTAGCAAATTGAAAATTTTTCCGATCGACAAACGATGTAAGAATGATTCCTTATTTAACACTGTAATTTATTTAAAATTTAATTGAAGATCTAATTTGTCAATTTACTTAACGGTTCCACAGATTTCACTTTTCGTTTGTATGTAGCACTTTCATCAAGTTTTCCTCCTCAAAAATGTCTCTAGTCTATCACTGATTAAATTATTTAATAAATTTGTTTCGAATATTTACCTATCTTCTACAAACTATAAAAAGATGCTCCAAGTTTGAAGATCTGAGAAAACTGACTGAAAAGAAGTAATTGTTAGACCGTCTATGCAGCAAAAATCATGTGTGATACGCACTGTTTCTCATGCGTTCTACTAAATTAGACGATCTTTATAGAAAGAATAGGTTTAGCCGGATTTAAAAAACCATAATTATGATATTGAAAAGTATTTTAATTGATAAAAAAATTAAGTACGTGAATTTCACGCTTTTCACCGCATCTGACTTTTCAATATTTTGATTCATAAAGAAGCTTTAAGTTACTTAATTTTCATGTACTTCTTCATCCACATAATATTTATTGAAAAAGTTAAATATATATGATACGATAACCGGTTCTGAGTAAAAAAAAAACTTGAAAAAGTAAACACTTTTCAATCTGCATTGCATCTATTGAAGCCTAAATGATTAATTTTACATTTCATATCGTACTAACAAAACAAAACTTCTTCCGTATTTAATATTAATGAAAAAAATTATAGATAAATGATAATTTATACATTAAAATGTTATACCTGATTCAATGAAACGAAAAATTTTTGAATAAAATTGTATACACTTTCAAATTCGTTGGAAATTTGAATTCGAACCTGATGTACATTGATCATACAGTTTTGAAACTTATTATCTCTCTATCAACCATGGAACATCTTATGAAAATGAAAAAAAAACTGAAAATTTCAGAAAGTCAGTTGGATTCGCCAGACTCGTATTTAAAAAAAGATATATTGCTGCATAACGTCCTGATAAACGGAAAAGGCTCCGAGTACGTGTGATTATCAAAATAAGAAAGAAAACGCACGTCCACTGTCAGATTGGAAAAAATGCTGTCTCTTCAGAAACTTTCATTTATCATTCACACAATTCGAAAACAATTATGAAAGCTTTTACTAATTTTAAAGAAATTCAGAACACATTTTTAGGTTTTAATTATATTACGAAATGGTTTCCACGTTGGTTTTTTCAGGTAGAACATATTGTTATAATCAATTACGTCTTTCTAACGCGAGTTTAATAAAAAATCCAGTAGTCAACTAAATTTGTAAAAAAATTCTTTGTTGATCACTGCACGATGAGCTACAAGAACCAAGCATTAGTCCTGGATGGCCCTATTAGGTCGGTGTTCCCTTCGATGG